TTTAGTTTAAAACAAATAGTTTGCAAAAGAACTTTTTCACTGTTCTTCCTTGATAGACCTTCAACAGGGGGATGGGTTGAAAAGACAGATGCGGCTGAAGCCTTTCCAGATAGAACCGACGACTGCTTCTGTTTTACTGGTATCTCTTATCAACTTGTGTCAAGACAAATGATGTTTGCTCCACAAATAACTGGAGAGAGAGAGAGAGAGAGAGAGAGAGAGAGAGAGCTAATTCAAATGGTACATAGCTGGTAGCGTCAAAAGAATGAACTTCATTATTCCGCTGGGCATATTGAAGTGTGACGATATTAGTTGTCAAAAATTGATTAGTATGCTAAGACTGTTCACGCTAGGAAATACCTAAAAAAACTTTTGAGTGGATTAGAAAGAAATAAAGGAATGATTACTTCAGAATAATCATGTGTTCATTTAGGCAATGCCCCGCCATTTTCAGCTCTCTTTTTTTTTTTTCCATTTTCTGAACATCGTTAGTTAAGTTACTTTCTTTTGAAAAGAGCTTATGGACAATTTTTACTACGAAATCAGTGCGGATTATAAGGCTTTAAGTAGAACTTTGTAGTCTTTATTTTAATATATACCAAAAAAGTCATGATTGTTAAACTTGTTATGATTGATAACTTTTAGAAGTAGCTATGTTTGCCAAGTAAGAAAGCAAAGAAATGACTCTAATGACGATCAGAGAGCGTATTCTTCACATGAAAGAATAAATGCATTGCATAATAACAAATGTCTCCTTAAATTTTTCTTTTGTTATCTCTAATCTCCCCTTAGGCTCTCTATATCGCCCTCATTTTGTACTTTTTTGTTATTTGACTTTTATTTACAGATTGAGACCTGAAAAAGCTTGCAGAGTTCTCACAAGAGTGTCATAATTTTTAACTGTGATGACTATAGGAAAAAGAGAGAGAGGCCAACATCAATTATCAAGCAAAAGAATTTGAATATGCAAGTCTGTCATTTAATAAACCGTACATCAGTGCACAATACATGCATGTAGCCCGCAGCGTTCCTAGTGTCACACGGAATTTCAAAATTACAAGTTTCAGCTTTTCATGCTTTTCTCTTCAAAACAAACAATACACAAATGAATGACGAACAGAACAATCATGTAAAAAAGGATCAAGAGTCTCACCAAGAATCGTAAGTTTCTATATATGTTTGCCCCTTTTTTTCTTTGACAAGTTGACAGATAGCTTTATAGTAATGTAGTTGCAATGTTTGTTGTGCAATTTGATGTTCATAAAGGAAATATCCTCGAATGGCAGTATCCTCCTGGTATATTAATAAAAAGCATTAGCTAACTATTATACTTAACAGGTTTATTTAGAATTTGATTTACAAGGTATCGAGTATCAAGCTATCTGTAGTGGACTACATCGTATCGAGTCAGACGTAGTGTAGGTATAGAAAAAAAAAAAGGAGAGAAAAGAAATTGACAGATTGGCGCTTGATAGGTATTTTTCTCGATCTTCGTATTACGGAATAAGCGTGTTTCAGAATATGTCAATTGATACATCAAGAGGTGCTTATATGAAAGCTGTTGGTCTTGTGGTCAAGCCGACAAAGAGCACCGGAGCATGTGGGAATATTTGGAGGCATAAGAGCTTTTTGATGCAAGAACTAAGGTATAATAGAACACAAAGAGGGAGGGAGATCAAGTCACTGATCATTTTATATAGTCACTTTATGACCCCATCTCAATCTGCAGAGCCAGCACAGTATGAAAGCTTGATTGAATATTACAATAGATACAAATATCAAGAACGCCAAGTTGAGTCTGACCCTATATATATGTCATGGCTTCATGATAAGAGCTTATTATACGCAGCAGAGCACAGCGTCAACTATAATTTGGCACACAATATAGTATCAGTCAATCACGATTTGATGGAAGCAAGCGATCTACCAGAGTTTGTAAAGTTGTTTGGTCCTGATATATTCGTCTTGTGGAAGGCTGCACTGTTAAGAAAGCGAATCATGTTTATTGATGTGCCACCAATGGAGACAAGTTGTCGCTATGGTAAGAACTCCAATATCGTAAAAAGAGCTTTAATAATGTATCTTAGTTTATTCCATGCACTTGATGGGACATATTCCGGACAAGTTTAAATCTGTCAAGCCAATCATATCCAAATTTACTGTTGGTGTAAATGATATTCCTGAATTAGAAAACAGCAGTGATTGTTATATAGCATGTATGTGTATTTGATATTCAACCTTGAAAAGTACACGCGCACTAACACAGCTTTGTATCAGGTACACCCGATACAATCTTTCAAATCAAGTCTGACCTGTACGATCTAATGATCACCTTCCCTACACTCCCTTTTTCTCACCCTGTGACTCAGACAGCTTCAGTGCAACAGATCGCCCTGTCCGATTTAAGAAGCAAAACTGGATTAGAGATAAAGTCAAGTATTCCATCAGTGCCGTCTAACCACAACCCTGCAGATGCGAGACGATATCGTATCTTGCAAAGGCTTGTGGAAAATCAATCATTTGATCTCGGCTCTAGTTCATCATCATCATCATTATGCGTTGCTGATTTTTATTACTGGCTCTATGAAGTACAGGATGAACTACAGAATGAACAAAAAGAATTGTTTTGTAGATCCAGCGGTCAAGGCACAGCAAGGGCTAGCAGCCCTTCTTCTAGACGTGAAAGTCAAGAACTATTAGCGGATGAAGAGCAGGATGCATTAGAGATAAACCCGAATGAAATACTTGAAGTGGTGGCAGCAAGAGCATCTAGTGAAATGCTTCGTACAAGTACTGAATATCAACAACAGCAGTCTATCAACAATACCGTTATCAAGTAAACCCTTTTTCTTTCTTTTTTGGCTATTGAGACTAATGACTTTTTTTATAGCTTCTTTCAACATCTAACATTCTTTTTACTCTTGACGTTACAAGACATCATTTCTACAAACGAAAGAGACGATATAACTATCCTATGGCCAAAGGATATGGTAGAATTAGGATTAGATCCCTTAAAGGATTCTGAGTTCGTTATTGAACTGGCTCGACTTTATTTCAACAAGGAGATACAAGTGCGTGGAATACCTGATTGGCATGCTTGTTGCTCTGCTTGTTGTCTACAAGGAAGGGATAGACAGTACATTCGAATTTAAAATAGGTTCTCTTTCATTTCTAATTGACAATAAATTCTCTACAACGCCAAAGTTCAACAGCTAAGTCGACTGTTTCGAATGATTTTGGTACACCTAATGCACTCACTCGCTGTTGTTCAGGAGTAATATTCAGTCTTTGTAATATCTGTGATATCTGTTTGTCTGACCATAGATCTTTTATATAATAGCACGGTATATCCTTCTGCGCCTTGTCTTCTGATTGTATGTAGACAGAGTGATCATGTGCACAAAAGTCTGTATGGTTCTGCTGTAATATGATGATACATTGATATCCCATGGGGGCTGGCTTGTCTGATACCCAGCTTGAGTCATCCACAGGCTGTAAGATGTGAATTGAACTCGTAGAAATCTTTAAGAATTCTTTTAGTGATGCTTGACATAATGCATCTTGTACATGGTCAGTCATATCAGCTCTGTACATTGCATTTCCTCGAAATACGCTGTTGTATACTGCTATGAATTCAATACATGTGTAATTATAAAGAGATAATGGACTTACCTCCCCCCTTTAATGCATCCAACAGACGCCTCTGAAGGCTAACGTAGTATCCCGCTCCATGTGTCTTTCCCTGAACGGTCGGATAAGCCCATACTCGTCTTGTTTCTGGATGCCAGCCGAGGCCAAAACGAAGTAAAAGTTCTGTTGAGAAGGAATAGAGGTGAATGATAAAGATATAAAATCATTTTGATATATCTTTACTTGAAGGGAATATTCTACGTTGAAGTGCGCATTGTCTAAGAGGAGAAGCCATAATACGAGCTTATAGAATATGATTAGATCTATTGTGTTAGATCTAAGTGCTGATCTTACCAGCTGGACTCGTTGCTATTTTTGCTTCTAGAGAATCAGGCCGAGTTTTGATTATTTCTTTAAGCTGATCAACTGTTGGTCTTGGTCCTCTTGTTGGCTTTGTAATAGTTCGCCATTGCTGAATGATGTCAGTGATTGCCCTTGACATATGGTGAAGCTAAAAAAGGAATTGAAACTCCAAGAAAGAAATAGGTGTGCTAAAATTTAATTGGCCAGCCTAAAGAGCTTAAAACACGTTTTGATTTAAATTAAGCTCTTCTCTTTCTCTCTTTCTTGTTCTTGGCGGTCAAGCACACACACAGACACAGAGGACACACACATATATATACATACATAAAAGTCACACTATGTCTCTGCTAGACGCCATCTCTATTCTCCTGGTGACTATTATATCTATTGTAAGTTTTATTATTGTATATATAAACAGTGTTTTAATATAAAGGCATAGATTATTGGTTTTCTTTTATTATTTTCACCTAAACCAAGGCCAAGAACAGAAAACGAAACATATTATCGAGATGCGTCATCAGAGAAAAGAAAGCCCTTACCAGATCTATTCGATGAGCCCTCTGTCAAGCTGTCCTGTATTGTACCTGCATATGATGAAAGTAAACGACTACCAAAGATGTTGAAGGAGACAGTTGAATTTTTAGAGCAAAAGAAAGAGATAAACAAGGATTATAGTTATGAGATCATTATTGTGGATGATGGAAGTCGAGATAATACTATTGAGGTGGCCATGGGTTTTGCAAAGGAGTATCCGCATGTTGATATTCGTATTCTTGCCATGGAAAAAAATCGAGGGAAAGGAGGAGCAGTAACTCAGGTAAGAATATGATATACTCATATAGATATAATGTGCTAATGACCCTTGAAGGGAATCTTAGGTTGTCGTGGTGAACTTTGCCTGATGGTAGATGCTGATGGTGCAACTAAATTCTCCGATCTTGATAAGCTACTCGAAGAACTTGCTCACATTCAAAAAGATGATCAGGCTGTTGTTGTCGGATCAAGGTCTCATCTTGTATCTACTGAAGCTGTTGTCAAGAGATCATTCATTCGTAACTTGCTGATGAGAGGCTTTCATCTACTAGTCTATATTCTCGGCATTCGCGGAATTGAAGATACTCAATGTGGTTTCAAACTATTCACACGTAAATCAGCACAGATCATATTCCCTAATATGCACGTCGAACGATGGATCTTTGACATTGAGTGTCTCATTATTGCTCAACAACAAAATATTCCTATTGCAGAAGTGCAAGTGACATGGCATGAAATTGACGGTTCCAAAGTCAATTTGATGGTCGATTCTATAAAGATGGCAGTTGACCTGTTACTGATTAGACTTAATTACATCTTGGGTTTTTGGACTGTCCGAAAGAAAAAATAAATCTTTCTTTTTTTAAAAAAATGATAATTAGTGCTATTGACAAGCAGTCAGTGCACAGAATCTGTTCTGGACAAGTTGTGCTTGATTTGGCAACTGCAGTAAAAGAGTTGGTTGAGAACAGTATTGATGCTGGTGCCAGTTGTATTGGTAATACAGCAAGAAAGAAAGCGTATGTCATGTTAATATTGCATTAGACATCAAATTTAAGGATTATGGAATTGAAGGCATCGAAGTTAGCGATGATGGATCAGGCATTGATCCTGTCAATTATGAAACATTGGCGTTAAAGCACTATACTTCCAAGATTAGTCAGTTTGAAGATCTCGAGAAAGTTGCAACATTTGGATTCCGAGGAGAAGCAATCAGTTCACTATGTGCACTCTCACAATTGATTGTGATTACAGCTACTAAAGAACAAGCGCCTATGGGCATGAAGCTCGAATATGACGACAATGGAAAGTTGAAATCAAAGACACCTATTGCTCGCTCAGTAAGTTGCGTGTAAAAGAAAAAGGAAATGAATAACACATACCTTAGACTGGAACAACTGTTCAAATAACAAACATGTTTCATTCACTGCCTGTCAGACAAAAGGAATTTAAAAGAAACTGTAAAAAAGAATATGGAAAAGCACTGGCCATTCTACAAGCTTATTCTATTATATCCTGCAACATTAAAATTTCAGTGTTTAATCAATCAGGCAACAAGTAAGGAGACAACTTCAAAAAAAAATGAGAACTAATATAGGTTAGACCAAGTACAAAAGTGATGTCTACAAACAAGAATAGAGATATAAGAGACAATATGTCGAATATATTTGGATCAAAGATCGTTTCCCAAATCGTCCCGTTTGAGATAAGCCTCGAGAGTCTTTTAGGGCAAGGTTCTGTCGAAGGATTCATATCCAGACCAGAGTGGGGGTTGGGCAGAAGTAGTTCAGATCGTCAATACTTTTATGTAAATGGTAGACCATGTATATTACCAAAGGTAAACAACATTCGCTCTGTGGTGTACCAAGTTATAACTTTTTTTGTGAAAGATGGCCAAAGCCCTGAATGAAATCTATCGTTCGTTTATTACAAATCAATACCCATTTATTGTTGCCAATTTCAAAATACCAACTGATGTTTATGATGTGAACGTGAGTCCTGACAAACGAACGATCTTTATTCATGAAGAAAACAAGATTGCCGAGATAATCATGGAACAACTAAAGGGTCTATTGGAGCCTAGTCGATCGACGTTCCAAACGAATGATTTGACAACGACAGAAGAAGAGATTATTACAACAACAACAACGACAGCAGCCGTGCCAAAGGTATCGCTGCAGTCGTTTGCATTGGCTAGCGGGAGTCATTATCGACCCAAGAGTATGTATGATACCAACCTTGGCAAGCGAAATTATACCAAGACAACTACTAGTAGTGAAACAGGCAATATCAAAGATTACCTGTTAAAAAAGCCAAGATTAGATAACGAAGAAGTGGATGAGTTAACAGAAGAGTACGACAATCAACCAGAAAGACCATCAGTTATAGGGAATAATGATATACTACAGGCTTCAGAAATATCATCAATTGCATCCATATCAAGCATATCTGAAGCTGTGATTGAACCTGATATTATAGCGATAGATGTCACTCAGAGAAAAGTCAGTGAAATCACACTAATGAATGATATAACTGAGCCTATGACTGTGGATATTCAAGAAGAACAGTCAGCCACAGATAGCTGTCAACACTTTGAGCAACATAAAGACATCAGATCCTATGAGGGGAACTGGAAAACAAATGGTCGATCTATGACTGTGACCGTAAAGGACTTTGTTAATATTCCTATAAAAAAACAAACAGTGCCTATAGACAACATACCGGATGGTCTCCTGATGGATGCTGGTATTCAAAACGTTCAAGACAATGATAAGGCAACGGAGGCATTAAACCGAGTTATTCATAAATCAGATTTTGCGAGGATGAAAGTGCTTGGGCAGTTCAACCTTGGCTTTGTGATTACTTCATTAGATGATCAAGACCTCTATATTATTGATCAACATGCGTCTGATGAAAAGTACAACTTTGAGACTTTACAAAAGACGGTACGAGTTGATAGTCAAAAACTAATAAGGCAAGTGTTGCAAAATATGTCCTCCCTTGTTTATCTCCCCGAAAGCTAATGGTATATCCATAGTCCACAAATCCTTGACCTCAGTGCTGCTGAAGAACTTGTCGTCATGGATCATTTGGATGTTTTTAAAGCGAATGGGTTTGATATTGAAGTATTGCCTGATAATGAACCGACGAAGCGTATACGTGTCTTATCACAGCCAGTGACAAAGAAAGCAATGTTGGATAAGAAGGACATAAGCGAAATTATCCATTTGTTGAGCGAGCATCCTGACGAGATGGTTCGATGTAGTCGAAATAGAGCCATCTTTGCCTCAATGGCTTGTCATAAGGCAGTGAGGATAGGACAGTCTTTGACAAAGAACAAGATGACAACGGTAAGGATGAGTTGTATATAAAAACAACAACTGTTGATCATTTATTATAGATTATAAGACACATGGGTGAAATTGACCAGCCATGGAATTGTCCACATGGCCGTCCAACTATGCGTCATTTGCTAAGTCTTTCCCAGTTGAAGCAAACGAGAAAACGAAAGTTTAGTTTTAAAGGAACGTTGTTTTGCTGATTTTATTGTTTCCAAAACATTGTATTTTCTTTTAAATGTTTATGGGCTGAAAGGGGCATATTTAATGCAGCATGAATGGGTTGAATGTTGGGTTCATTCATCAAAGACAATGTAGCAACTCCCATATAAGAGTGTAATAAATCTATATTTATATAAATATCTCCCCTCCTTATAGTTTGTGTATATTAGCATTACCTGGAAATGATTCAGGGTCCTTTGCGAATCCTCCTATGCGTGATTCGCTTTGTAAGAGAAAATCTTTTAATGCATCAGAATTGACAAGATGAAAGCTGTCCAACATGGCTAAAGATGCACCTATCCAAAACCCATAACACACATCCTGCAGCTTGTTTGGTCTACCTTGGAACCCACCGATTTGTCGAAACAGACACCATTGAACGAGTTGATCTTTATTTAATATACCTTCATCGAGGTTCCCCATTATTGATAAAGCAGCTGTTCCGCAAAAGGTCGAGCCTCCGTGTGCTTCCTGTTTTGGACACTGAGCAAAGGCATGCTCATAAGACTGTATTCCGTCAGTAGCTTGAAGGTTTCTTGACTAAATATATATACAAATACCTGAAGTTGAATAATATGATCTAATGTTCTTTCTCGGTCAATACCAGACCAATCATTCAGTATATAAGATATAGCACACGCACAATAGATGAATCGAACGTCTCTTTCTAAACTTCCGGTTGTAGGAGCAATGCTAAAAACGACCCCCTGTTAATAAGTGTACATACACAGCTTCATGTTCTCATTTTTTTCTTATATACACTCAACCTTCCGTCTTGCTGTTGTAAATGTCGTAGCGTATTTGTAATGGCTTTTCTATTGACACGAGATAGATCGTCACCCAAAAGTAAAAGGTTGATGAGAGCAGTGTATGTGTTTGCTACATGACCGGAGTCATAGGGTACATACGAGCAAGTTGTCTATCATTTAGTCAGTTTACTTATCGCTTGTATGTCACACACTCTATCTCTCTTTTTACAGCATGAGGGTCGAATGATCTTCCTGACCAAGGTGATCCTCTAAAGCCACAAACAGCGTCATTGGCATCGTCATTTTCAGTTGGAAGTATTTGTTGTGCATACACCCAATCTATCCAGTCTAATCTATTTTGTTCTGTGATATTATTCTCTAGTTCTCCTAGTAAAGTTAAAGCTCCTAAACAAAAGAATGCCAAAGTCATCCTTTTTACATACGCGTTACATGTCACTGAATACACTTTTTCTTCTTCTTTTCATACCTGTTTGTCTCTGTTTGAGTGTAATCTGTAGGAAGCATGCATAGATTGGATTTAAAGTATTTGATGAGTTTTTCTCTATTGTAACTAGTCATCCTTAACAAAAAGAGAAGCGAAAAAATAAAAAGGGACGATCGGACTTTCTTTATTTGGCCAGATTGGAAACAGATGAAAAAGGTGCCACTGCAGTAACAACAATCGATCTCGGTTCATTATTTATGGATATTCCCTTTTGAGCACGATGAAAGACTCGTGTTTGTTAAAATAAGACTACTTTAATCGCTTATAAGCCAAGGAACTTGTGTTTATCAACGGAACCTATGGATGAGTGGCACCCAGTACTTATTTTAGTAATTTTAAGGTTACAGAAAGAGAGAGGGAGAGGGGGAGAGAGGCACTCTGTCCAAAAGTTGGGTGTGGTGCTTCATTTGTTACATTTCACAGGATGAAGACTCTAAGCACACAAAATGAAAGGGAGTGCATTATAAAGACTCAATCATCTATGGGCATGAAATTTATTCATTATATATAGATTGGCTTGCTTAAATGGGGGGGAGTGAAAACCTCGCGTGTGTCCTTTCCCCCAAAATGATCCTAATCATCCATTTATGAAAGAAACACGCCATCATTTACCTTAATATATAATTGATGTGTGTCTTTATATATCTGAAACCACACATATATCAATTCTACCATTCCCTTTTTAAATACCCTATTGACATATAATCTCCACTTCATAAACATGACACATGCACCCCCAAAAGGAGGAACTGCTTTGAATAATAAAATCAATTCATATAAACCTTACTCCTTACCTTTTAAAGAGAAGGGAGACCTGTTGACATATTTATCTTGTACGGAGCTCAAATGTGATTAGACAGAAGAAGGAAAGAAGGAAAAAAAAAGCGTGACGTGCATAAATGGAAACTATTTCGCCCTTAAAAAATTTGGCGAGGTCTGTTTCCTTTAATAAATAAAAGCACACAATTTTCTTTTTTCTTTTCTTTTCTTTCTTTCTTGTTGCTTGTTGCTGTTGTTTGTAAGTTCAAGGAGATTGTAGTCTTTATCGTTTCTTACTAACGTTACTTAGCATATTCTTACATCTTCTTCATTCTTTTTTAATATACATTCAATTACAACATGAGAGAAATCATTCACTTGCAAGCAGGTAAGATTTTAAATAGTAACAATAAAACAGTAAAACTAATGATTTGAATAGGTCAATGTGGTAATCAGGTAAATTAACCTCACATATTATATATAAACAAAAAGAAGGGAGAGATTAACTGTTGTAGATTGGACAACAATTCTGGGAAACCATCTCACAAGAACATGGTATTGATACCAACGGTAACTACATTGGTGACAACGATCTCCAATTAGAACGCATCAATGTATTTTATAATGAAGGCTCTGAAGGCAAATATGTGCCAAGGTAAAGCGGGATAGGATAACTTCGGATTATATGTAATAACCCCTTGATTAAAATAGAGCTGTATTAGTCGATCTTGAACCTGCCACTATGGATGGTATTCGTAATAGTGCTTATGGTAAAATCTATAGACCTGATAACTTTGTCAATGCCCAATCTGGTGCTGGTAACTCTTGGGCAAAGGGTTACTACACTGAAGGTGCCGAATTAGTAGAATCCATCATGGATGTTGTCCGTAAAGAAGCTGAAAACACCGACTGCCTTCAAGGTTTCCAACTTGCTCACTCTCTTGGTGGTGGCACCGGTTCTGGTCTCGGTTCCCTTTTACTTTCCAAGATTCGTGAAGAATATCCTGACCGTATCTTGAGTACTTACTCTGTCGTACCTTCACCCAAGGTATCCGATACCGTCGTTGAACCTTATAATGCTGTTCTTTCAGTTCATCAACTTGTCGAAAACTGTGATGCCACTTACTGTATCGATAACGAAGCTCTTTATGACATCTGTTTCAGAACACTCAAACTCACCAACCCCGATTACCCTGACTTGAATCAACTTGTCTCTGCTGTCATGTCTGGTGTCTCCACCAGTTTGCGTTTCCCCGGTCAATTGAATTCTGACTTGCGTAAGCTCTGTGTGAACATGGTCCCCTTCCCTCGTCTTCACTTCTTCATGGTCGGTTTTGCTCCCTTGACCGCTTTTGGTTCTCAGCAATACCGTAACTTGAGCGTACCCGAATTAACCGCTCAGATGTTTGATGCCCGTAACATGATGGCTGCCTCTGATCCTCGTCATGGTCGTTACTTGACTGCCGGCACCATCTTCCGTGGTCGTTTATCTACCAAGGAAGTCGAAAACCAAATGTTGGCTGTTCAACAAAAGAACTCTTCTTACTTTGTTGAATGGATTCCCAACAGTGTCAAGACCTCTCTCTGTGATATTCCTCCTGTTGGTCTCAAGATGTCTGGTACTTTCATTGGTAACAGCACTGCCATTCAAGAATTATTCAAGCGTGTGAACGAACAGTTCACGGCAATGTTTAGAAGAAAGGCTTTCTTGCATTGGTACACTGGAGAAGGTATGGATGAAATGGAATTCACAGAAGCAGAGTCCAACATGAACGACTTGGTCTCTGAATACCAACAATACCAAGAAGCAACCATCGAAGAAGAATACGATGAAGAATACGCCGATGAACAAATGGAGGATGATGAAGAACACATGGAAGAATAAAAGAGACAACACGCATTTTATATTTAAAAAGTTTTAATAATAAAGATTTTCTTTTTTAATTGGGAACTACACATCTTTTTTTTTTCTTTATGGATTCTTCAGATATTCTAAACTCTATCATATCATCTTCTTTAACAGAGGCTTCCATTAAGACGAATAATAGACCTGAAAGACAACGAACGTTATCTGCTGGATATTCAATCAACAGTAACGCCAACTTTTATGATATCCCTACAGTAAATAAATACATATTCATAAAAGGGTTCATGTTGTTAAATAATTAGAGTGATGCCTTCAATGACCTCTTAGAGCGTTATATACCTTTACAAAATAACAGACCACAACGCAATGTGGAAGACAATTTGAAGAATCCAGAACTGATGGTGGTAAGGGTTATATAATTTATGTGTGTTTGTGTGTTGACATTGACCTAGATGAAAAACATGTGGAGATCAGTAGCCAAGTATGCTAGACAACACATCATCCAGTCCGATCCTTCCAACCTCAAATCCATTTTAGAATTATGGCATATGAGACTATTAGCGCTGACCAAACTAGGACTCTATCAGCTAGCAACAGCCGAACTTGAAAAACTAGGCGACCTGAACCGATCTGAGCTACGAGACCCGGTGACCAAAGAGTCGATGGTTCCGTTTGCTCTCTGGATCCTCTGGGCACGTCTGCCGTCCTTTTTAAAATACCCTAACGTGACGCTAGAGAGGCTGACGATGTTGGCAGCCAAGTGTAAGAGGATGCAACAGAGAGATCCTGTATGGGAACGACGAGAGATCCAGACGTACCTGGTGATCGCGTCACACTGGATCGCCATTCAAAACTACTCGGCGGCGGCGAGTACGATGGAAGACGTGTTGAAGAAACGACCTGATCAGGTCGATGTCCTCTCTGGTTTGGGTAGACTCTATCTCCAGATGGGCGATGTTGGTTCGGCAACAAATATGTTTGAGCGTATAGAGCAGTTGATAAAACAAGATGAGGCAGTGATCATCAACAAGGCGTTCACGTCCATGGCAAAGGGTGAATGGAGTCAAGCAAGAGATTTGTTGGAACAGGTGCATCAATCCAATAAGGACAATTTGCTCGTCATGAATAATTTAGCCGTTTGTGAGATCTATTTAGGAAACTTGGTCAAGGTATAAAAAGGAGCTAAAAAAAGGGAGAACTGTTCTCATAGTGTCCTATAGGCGATTGAAATTTTAGAGACATTGACAATGAAGAATCCAACATCAGCTGGAATATGTGAATCCATCGTCATGAATCTTTGTACTTTATATGAATTGAGATATGAGGATTCAACGGAAAAGAAGGTGGAAATAATGAAGCAAGTAGCCACCTGGGCAGGTGATTCTTTCCAGTCAGAGTGTTTCAAGCTTCAATAAAGCATTTATTCTTCGTTCCTCTCTCTAACCCACACTGTTCTTCTATTCTTTTTTTAACGTGTGACCAAAAGCTTTCAAATAGGCTTCTATCTTGTCCCTTTGTCCAACTGATCTGTAATACTGTGTTTGGTTCCAGTATCATTTCAAACGTAAACAGATCCTGCTCTGGTTCACTCGTTATCTTTTGTCGTTTCTGTCTTCGTGCGGCTCTAGACCAACTGTTTCTTTTCGCAGTTCCAATCAGACTTTGACAGTCTTGTCTTTCAATGCTGATGTCCAAGTCAGCAAGTATGGTCTGAATGTGTCTCATGACAAAATCAATTGATTGTGGCAATTTGATAACAAACTGACATTTGGGACGGTATTCATCTAGACTAGGCGTCTTAACAGCTCGTTCGGGATGAAAGGACCATGCGATGGCCCAGCGTGTAGTCTTGCCCTGAGTCAGGTCAGTGACCAGATAGTTTGTGATGCCAGACGCCTTCAACATCCTGACGAGGGGCCATATGGATTTCTTTAGACCAATCATGCTCGTGTACCATCTGATGCGTGTTCGTATCTCTAAACTTTCTTTGATCATCCTACTTATAAACCCATACTCACCGCCTTGTGTGATCATTTCATGGTGCGATCCGGTACATACCGCAGATGGCTCAAGCTCTTTATTGACAAGTCCTTGCTCAAGTTCCTCCTGAGATTCGTAAAATGGAGGATTGCACATACAGAACGTATACTCCTCCTCATCTATCACCAATATCTTTTCTGGATCATCGTTATGTCTTATCTTAATCTTATCTTCCAAACCATTCTTCCTTACGTTCTCTTGTGCCCATTCTATTGAACGATGATTGATATCTGTGCCTAGGAATGTCCAATGAGGATTTCTTGCGCATCCGAGTAGAGGATAGATACAGGATGCGCCCACACCGCTTTTTGATGATAAGTTGCTTTTGTATTGTTATCATCTTTGTTCTTACATGTCAATTCCTCTTATCTTGTCGTCTTGTATGGTTTCACTCACCAAGTCTTCTAACCAAAGTATATAGTTGAGTCTGTTGGGAACAGCGGGACACAGAGAGTCCAGAGGGAAATCCAGATCAATATCAAAATCCCTTTTCATTAGACATTTACATAGTTCTCTATATAAAATAAGTATTGCTTTTTTAAAATAGGATTTTATCTTACTTTACTGCAAGTGGGTCTTTAAAGTCAATATAAGCACGTCCGTTTGATTGTTGTTTTACACTATTAAAGATTAGACATGTTCAAAATAATAAAGAATGCCTTACAATGGCTTAAATGAGTCGAAGTTTGTTGCTAATTCTTTGAAATCAGGTTCGACATTGTAAATGTTTTTAGGATGCATTCTTTGAAAAAGGAAGAGAGCAAAAATTTTATTTTTTATTTTTTTTTTGCATAATGGAAATATTCTTGTATGAAAAGAGTGATTTTAATCAAGAAGCAAATCAAGTTAGAAAGGATGCCAAAAACATGTAAAAGAAGAAGAAGAAAAAGAAGAGAAGAAATATTTATATAAATTTAGTTATAATCGTCTGAGATCTATTGTTGATGATGCTTCATTTGTCATGACTATTTCTGACCTCTTTCCTCGTCTTGCTCTTGTTGGTAAAAAAATATAGACAACAATAAAAGTGTTGTATGTATTTATACTTTATAGCAAATGAGCGTTGTGGATCATGGTATATCGATCGACGAAAAGTATGTATCTACTACATAAAAGAACACGATCTAATAACAACAATAGAAACAAGCTTATTCAGCCTATTTCAAATCTACAGACGGACACATGCATATCTGGGACTTTAATATCAGAAGAAACAATCTTCACTTGATTCCGATCATAGCACAACATCACGGCTGTATCCTCGTTGATTCAACACGGAAAGGCAAACGAATCCCTGACGCGCTTTCAAAGACAATACCGATTTGGTGTTGTACCATCAACCGAGCTGTACAGCGAATCAAGGGCTATCACTGGGATACTGACTTCCACTCGTTACCGTCGGCTGTATCCAGATCAGAGCATGCGCAGATTGAAGCCAAAATGGAATCACTGGTGGACAAGTTGATGAGTTCAGGAATAGATGTTTACGCGATCGCTGATCAACTCAAAAAGCCATTAAGGCCAATCTGGTTTACACCTCAATCTTGTGATACGATCGTGCCAGACTTTGATGATTGCTCATTTTGGCCCGTGGTGTGTTTGAGCGCATCAGAGGCTGTCGAGAATGGCTATCAAGCAAGACCTGGGTATCTTTACGTTCAAGGATCAGGTGATGATCAAGAAGCTTGGTGTCTGGTAAAAAAAAAAAGCGAGATAAAGCGGGGTTTTTGGGGCTAAGAAAGCCTGCATTAGGGCCTGACTCCTTCTTTGTTCTGGGAGAATCATCAGCTCATACTGGAAAGCAAGGGAGAATGTGAACGTAGAGTAATAGAGATTGTGAAGGATAGTTTAGAAAAGATGAATTCGCAGACAACAGGTTCCTTTGCGTTTATTAAGCCTACAACTATAGCCATAAGTGACTTGGCAAGTGCACAATCCAATTGGCAACAATTTGATGTCATTATCAATTGCTCTGAGAAAAATCTTGAACTGAACTCTGATACCTATTTACATCTGCCTATTCCTGAAGGCAAAAGGGGTCAACAGGCATTTCTTTTGGCCATACCAAAGGCTATCCGTTTTGTAGAGAAACCATTATTAGAAAAGCAAAATATCCTCATCTGTTGTGATTCAGGTTAGCATAAACACTATTTGAGAGATACTTTGAGCAAATTTTAAAGATGCATATCTCTGTATGAATAGGAAAAGATAGTTCAGTAGGTATAGCATTATCCATTCTAGTGAATTATTTTGACCTTGATGGTCAATTACAAAAAGAAGCCAAGCCTCGAGGTCAGTTGTGTGCGTTTAATGGCACATCTTTGTATTTACAACTTAGACTATTTTTATAGTGGACAAAAAAGTGATTCAGCATCAATTGGTTCGCATTATCTCAAGTTGGGAAAAGGTAATAATAGTCATATAATTGATCGCCTTTTCTCATCTTTTTCTTTACTAGGCTTCACCCTCCCGAACGACCTTGAAAAAGGTAAACGTATACTTTATGAGTCACTCAAATACTACAGACTAGAGGCAGTGTTTATTCATTTTATTTATAAACTTTCTTGATCACTTGTTCATCCTGTACGCTGCTTCTTCCATACTTGATTTCCTCGTTCAGATAGTTGAGAATTGATATCATCCCATTCCAAACGAGCACGCTTCTTTCTGGATAAGTCCTCCTTGAGCGCCTGTACCAAGTGTTCACATTCATCAACCAGTGTACTGACAGCATCCTCCAATGATCTTGTAGCTAAAGAGTACTCCTCCGTCTTGCTTATAAAATCCTTCAATGTTACATCAAGATTATCCTGTTCTGGCTTGTTCAATTCACCATTCGTTTCATCACTCTTCAGCTGGATGATTAAGCCTTCAATCTTCTGTTGTATATATATAAAAAAAAGATCAGTCCCCAAAACGAATGATATACAATGATAACCCTACATCTCTTAGTCTCATCGCATAAGTTTCCTTGAAAAGCACAAGTGGCATAATAGAATCAGAAAGTCTATCAATAGTCTTTTGATGTGTCTCTTTAAACACGTTCTTGAAGCAGGCAATGGTAGCTTTGGCCGCATTAAGTAACTTTTGGAATTCTGTGTTTGATACAGAAAGTTTGGAAGTGGTATCACTAGATAAATGTAGGTTAAAACAGGGTTATACCGGTACAGACGACTTTACTTTGTACTACTACCCTCGTTCTTTCTTAGTTGCATTATAAACGGAGAAGGATCGCCAAAAGTACTAAACGTGGCTTTCTGTTCTGTTTGATCGACTATGGAGCACGCGTTTGAGCCATCGGAAGTTATGCGTTGTTGTCTTTGATCGGCAAAGGGCGATGATCCTAAAGGGGTAAGGTAACTCTTACGACTGGCAGGACCAGGAAGTTTAATCATAGGATTGATGATCAATTTACCGGTGGGACGAGTGCGATATCTTTCTCTTCTTTCTTCTTCTGTTAGATGCGATATGCCACGAAGTTTAATCATAGGAGTCACGCTGATCCCGCTTTTGAATCCAGAGAGAGACCCAGTCGTCGTCGTCTTGAGACCGCTTGTTTGTACTAACTGATTTGAGGTAGAGGAGGAATAGGAAGCACTACCATCTAGAGTTGCATTGCTTATATTGTCAAATTCTTCTATATCGAATATCTTCATTGTAAAGTAAGAATGAAAAAAATAGAGAAAAAAAAAAAAAGAGAGAGAGAGAGAGAGAGAGAAAAAGAAAAGGTATTTATATTATAGCTGTGTGGATGTTTATTGTTGTTCGTAGTAATAATTTTCATTGTTTGGCACAATGCTTTATAATTTTATTGGATATTCATTATACATCCTTCTTTCTCTCTCTCTCCTTATTTAACAAAGAAACATTACCTTGTCCTGTTGATGCTGTCCAATTATCCTATAATTAGAACTGGAAAAAATATATATATCATATGATACACCTTTGAATAATGAAGTATGTTCTTGAAGTGACTGCAAAGTCCATCTCTGAACGCGTATCAATTTATTATTTGTAAGCCTCGTGTCTCAACTTTAAGCTATTTCCATAAATATATCTCATGAGTGATTATATATTTACACAAATCATACTCTTGATTATCTTCAACTAGTACTTGATGCTTATACAAACATGGAGTATCTTTTATAAATATGTCTTTCATACAACTGTCAGACATTCCCTTAACAACTGGTAACTATGTGTGTATCATAGCATTAATACTTATTCATTTTTAAACTGGTTATCACAAACGTCACTATTGTCTAAACAAATTTTCTATAAATGTCGAAAACAGTCGCGCTCCCCCTTTATCCACTGTTCCTCTTTGTCTGTCTCGCTCACTGTGTCTCCGTTTTTTAGCGGGAAAATAAACTGTGATTTCGACCAGTCTTGCAGCGTGACCTAGTAGGCTCAAGCATGACTTATCACGTTCTTATATCGTCATGTCTTATAAGTCCCTTTCCCTTTCTCTTCTCTTGTTTCTTTTTTTTTTCTTTTTTTCTCTTTGTTGTCGTTCACTTCAAAGCTTTCTCAACTACTACTATTACACATTGTCTATGTTCTCTTCTTGGTTATCATCTTGGTATCATCAACCCCAACAGATTCAGGAACCATTTAACGATCACTACGAACCTTTAGATGAAGATTGGATAAAGGTAAAGACAACAAAGGAACGGCAACCAGCGCAAGATCCAACCGATGAACGGACCGAGGCAAAAGAGGAACGGACCGAAAAGGAAGCTCCTATTGTCGAGAAAAAGATATCGAGGCAGGAACGCAGGGCTCAATTACGTTTGGCTGCCAAGGAGAAAAAGAAGCAAGCGAGAAATGCGCTTCGAAAGTCTACCAACTGTATCTTGTCCTCAGGTCCACTTTCCATTGACCATTAAATTTCTTGTTTTCTATATACATAAAAATTAATACATTGATCTTTCTTTTTTCTCTTTTCAGGCTGTTGGAAGATTGCATAGAGAGGGGGGGGGCATATGTCCTAAAATTGAGATACAAAAGATACGATAAGTATTCTCGGATACATACCAAGCAAAAGATAATAGATAAGATTATACAAAAAAAATTAGCATTCTAGTTTATTTATTTTTTAACGAAATTTACCTAAAGCATTAGAGTCTCTTTCTCCCTCTGGCGTTGCCTGTACGGAAAGTCAGCGGCAAGATGGTTACATTTTCCAGCGTTGGAGGAACTGGATCAAGGCAAGGAAAAAGTAACACCAAAAAGAAGTAAGGTCCGACAAACCATGGATAGATTTTTCCCTGCCAGAACGGAAGAGCACATTGGGCTTATACATTGAGGAAACTACCGTTAACTATTTTCACTTTATGTTTCCAGTAATTCGCAAACGATATTGAATCTTATTGTAGCCAAAAAAAGAGAGAGACAAGCTTGAGACGTATTATGTTCATTCATAACGCACACTGACGTATATATAGACTGTGCTTTGTATCCAATCACTACACTATGTTCTGTCTCTAGTCAGTATGATCAAGTACTGTTGCTTGCAACATATTGACACTCATTAGAGCATAATCTTATCAATATATTTTTGTTGTAGTTTGCAGGCTCGAAGCTGCCCTTACTCTTGCTGGCAAATAGTGAGCGTACCATGCTTTATCGCTATTTTTTATTATGTGCTGGTACCCATCTTCAAGTATATCAGCGTCACTTCGGCTGGTATGTCTGCCTCAAGTTCAATGTTCATGGTTCGTTTTCTTCAGTTTCTCCTTCGATTCTTTGAGCAATATTATTGCATCCTACTTTTTACACAATCTATCGGTTTCTTCACATTTCTTTTTAGGAAATTCTCCATTTCTGTTACTTTCAATTGAAGTCTGGACTCAGCACTAGTTACGATTTCTCTAGGTAATCGAGAGCGAGAAAGAAATTCACAAAGGTTTGAGCACTCCAAGTTGTAGGGACTAATAATCCATAACCATGTCAGCCTGAAATTACTGAATGTACAGCTCTGTTTGAAGGCGCTAATGGAGAGATGTCGAGATTTTCATTTTAAAGAAAGCCGTAACTAAGCATACGCTGCATCGCCAAATAGGTAGGGCAGGTGAGGGTACACGCCTTGAAAGGTCTAGCAAAGATATCTTTTGTCTTGTTGACCAGTATCAGCGTAAAGAGACTGGGTTTGGTTCTCCCAGACAGCAGATGATGAGGGAAAGAGCTATCTATTTTTGCTTGATCGAGTTGAGGAGTTTGAACGTTGATGGTGAAAAAATCTAAGCTGCTGTGATTCGAAAGTATACACTTGTTACTGTATTCAACTGGCCAAATCATTCTTTTTCTGTTTCGCCTCAATCTTGTTCAAATCATGTCTTGCTAGCATTATTGCTTTAAAGAATGACATTATCAATTTGAGAAGATGATGGGCTGATATCTATTGCAGTGATGTTTATACGTATCCTTAAAAGAAGCGCTCTCAGAGCCTCCTGGTTCGAACTATTATGGTCCATTGGGCCATCTTTGAAGCTCTTTTAAATGCTACAAGGTCAACAGGCTATGCTTAGATTTTATTACAAGGATCCATTGTTTGAGCTATCACATGCTTCCTACATAACGAATCGAATTACCAATGCACTGAACTACACAAAGTGTAGTCTGTTTTATTGCTGTTAATTGATTGTATGATAAATACAGGCCGTCTCATTGGTTTTTTTTTTTTTGGGAATACTTCATAGAGAATAAGGCGCTTTACTCAATTACCTCTTTATTTTCAGCGTTGGATATAAAGTTATTGGGACTAGATGGGACAGGAGAGTGTCGTAGAAATTGCCAATGATAATATTGCATTCTGTGTACTTCCTGGGTATTCTCTGACGTACTGATGTAATCTCTAAATTCTGCATGTTGTAACAAATCTAAAAAGTACAAGGCATGAGGATATCTACATATCATATTAGTGTGTATGCTTTATATGTTTACACATTCTATTTACACTACAAATTTTGCATATTCTGGCTGTTTCCAGTATTGCAAATATTTCAGGTAATTAATAAACGCCGGATCTTTGAGATACTGTTGTTGCGCGAGATCTATAGATTCATTTACAATTTCTTGAAATGTACAACAATTGTTGAATTACTATTTAAATACCAAGGATTTGCTAAACATTGTATAAATTCAAGTTCAATCTGAAAGCGTTTCTTTTCTTCTTCTGAATTAAGCATTTCTAAAGTAAAAAAGAAAGAGTTTTTTTTTTTTTTCTTTTTTGTATTTGTATTTGTCGCTCATTAAAAAAAGAGTTTAATGCATATTAACATTTTAGTTGGTAATCAGTCTTTTCTTTATTGTTTCCAACTTGACAGCATCATCTTTTTGAAATATATATAAGATACATGTGGTCAGCACTTTTAAGCTTACTTACTTTTCTTGCTTCTCTCTTTCTCTTATAAGTTCCTCTTTTTAATGTAACTAATTTACTAGGCTTTTTTTTTATACATTTCATTCTCCTGCTCTCTTTTTGTTATTTGTTGTCTAACATTTTATTTTTCTATCAGTGCGTGCGCCTAATTTCTGAATAAAGTTGTAGTTTTTGCTGTCAAAATTTAAAGAAGTTGAATCATTTTCCAGAAAACAAGGCAGTGCCTGATTGTCATACACTGATCTTTTTTAAATTTCGCAACGTGCCCCTTTTTTTCTTTTTTCTTTTTTTAATCATTTCTCTCTTTTTTCTTTTTTACTTTTTTTTTTTTTTCTTTATTTGTTGTTGCCATGACAGCGCACTCTATACTCTCAGAACGTCAAAAAGATGAACTGTAAATAAATATTAGGAAAAAAAAAAAATAATAGGGAATACTGACTTTTGTGTGTGTGTGTGTGTGTAATAGTCATAAAGCCATTTTAGATTATCTGAGTTCTTCTGGTTTTAAAGAAGCGTTCAACGCATTCAAGAACGAAACTGGCGATGACTTTGTACCTGACCCTAAACAAAAATATGCTGGTCTTTTGGAAAAGAAGTGGACCTCTGTGATTCGTTTGCAGAAAAAGGTTAAAGTTGCGGTGTTATTTATTGGATGGAAAAGGCTGACAACTTTATAAAAAAACTAGATTATGGAATTAGAAAGCAAAGCAACTCAGATGCAAGAAGAACTTAATAATGCTCCAACACGTAAACCAACCAGTTCGGTTGACTGGATTCCTAGAGGCCCAGAAAGGTTCTGTTTAGCCGGTCATCGTAGTCCACTGACACGCGTATCATTTCATCCAATCTATCAAATATTAGCCTCTGCTTCTGAGGATGCGACTATCAAAATATGGGATTATGAAACAGGTGAATATGAAAGAACACTCAAAGGACATACAAAAGCAGTGCAAGATATTACGTTTGACGCCAAGGGAAACCATCTGAGTAAGAGAGAATATGCAGAGAGAAAAGGAAAAAAAAAGGGGGGAAGGAATTAGTGATTAATATCTGCTGATAGTTTCTTGTTCTGCTGATTTAACTATCAAAGTTTGGGATACCAATAACGACTACAAGTGTGTTCGTACCATGTATGGCCACGACCACAGCATTTCTTCGGTTGTCATGATTCCTTCCAGTGATATTATTGCTACGTCCTCACGTGACAAAACGATCAAATTGTGGGAAATGACATCAGGGTAAGCCCAGGTTTTGCTGTAGACAACAAAGCTGACAAGAGAATATAGATACTGTGTCAAGACATTAGTTGGACATCTTGATTGGGTCAGAAGAATATTTCCTTCTGAAGATGGTAGATGGTTAGCCAGTTGCTCTAATGATCAAGTAAGTCTAACAAAATAAAATAAAATATAAAATAAAAAGAAAATATTAATCAATATAAAGACGGCTCGAGTTTGGGATATCCAAAAGGGAGAATCAAGAATGGAATTTAGAGGACATGAGCATGTGGTCGAATGTGTCATCTTTTTGCCAGTCGCAGCTTATCCTTTTATAGCCGAGTGGCTAGAAAATAGCGTAAGTCCATTCATATGAAAATATAAATGCAGATGTGTCATGTTACTGATGATGCTTGCAGATAAAGTTAAACAAAGAGCAAGCCGTGCCTGGTCAGTTTATCCTTACCGGATCCAGAGATAAAACTATCAAGCTTTGGGATGTCTCTTCTGGACAGCTGCTGAGCACTCTGGTAAGCTTAGTATACGTTTCAATTGTTGATGTTACTAAGCAACAAATATAGGTCGGCCATGACAACTGGATCCGAGGCCTCGTTGTTCATCCGAATGGTAAATATTTGATCAGCGTATCGGATGATAAGACAATGAAGATCTGGGATTTAAAGACGGGTCGATGCGTAAAGACAATCGAGGCTCACTCACACTTTGTCACCTGTATCTCTTACTGTACGACATCACCTCTTGTAGCCACAGGAAGTGTTGATCAAACTCTAAAGATATGGCAATGCCGATAACTAGATCTTGCCTATCCATATTCATTTATATACCCCTCTTTTTTTGATAAACGCAATATAGTATCCCCTTTCTTTTTATTAGAGTTTAACTGCTGTCCAAAATGCACACTCATAAACGTATTTGAGCATACTTTCTGGATTGGAAGTATAAGTGGTAGACACCGTGGATTCTTTCTGTGTATAAAAGATGAGTAAAAATAAGAGCATAATAACAAGGATTACCTTGAACTCAAAACCCATCTTCTTGGCTACATCCTTTACTTGTTCAAGACTTATTTCGATAGATGTGTCACCTGCGGATGAGTCCTCAAAATGATACAACAAGGGGCCTAGCTATCATTCAGCATATGATATCACGAGATAATCTATTTTATACCGATATTAATCCATGTGCCCTGTGGCTTCAAAATCTTGTGAATGACTTCCAAGTATTCCAGGATATTCTTGGCAGTGTCTATAAAGAAACAAGTGACGACGACATCCCACGCTTCTACAGAACATAAGAGATTGTCTATAAGCTGTCAATCACGTTTACCGAAATTGTTCTCTTGTTGTCCATAAACTTCCACAAAATCACCGGCTACCATGGAGAAATCGACGGTAGATGGAAGATGTGCGGGTAATACGTCAGGCACTTTAATAGGAGATAGTTGATCTAAATCCGATTTGATGTTGGAGTAAGAGTGAATAAATGGATAAATGCTGTATTCGTTGACTTCTTTGACTCTAATGAAAATGTTGAATGACAAACGCATCATTAAGCTTATTTTTTGTTTTACCTATTAAGAATAAAGTGAGATCCAAACAACTATAAGCAAAAAAAAAAAAGAGGTTAATGGAACGCATATGAATTAAATCATCTGCTTGCCATGTAATAAGAAAATTCATTTCCTAAGAACACGCGTTAATAATACAAAGTCTACAATATGTATTTCTTTCTATTACCTTGACAGCTAAACCCTGTTGATTGGGAAAAAAGGTAAAAAGGTCTCTATCAAACGCATTGATGTGTACACAATATATACCTTGACTTGCGATATCAAATGCTAAACGACCTAAACCAGCGCCAGGCACGAGTACACGGATATCACCTCGTTTATCTGCAGGAACATGCTGATAAAGGGTATTCAACTCTTGAATGACCGGATCATACGTCAGCTTCCTTTCTCTTTCTCCCTGTTTTGACCAATCTCTCACGAATTGTTTCAAGGTACTTCTTACTTTATCCATATCCATGGGAGAGACAGGTGGTCTATTTGAATTTCTCATGCTTGAATACAACTAAAGTTATATGCATATATTATAGATAAGCATTTGCTATCTTCATATGTGTGTGTACGTGTATATGTATTTGTGTGTACTTTTTGTTGTGAATGTTCCATAATACTGGGGTCTAGAAACATGTTTGCACTTTTGACAATGTCACGAATAAACGTCATGTTGTGTTCAATACATTCGTCCACTTTATTGACTTTATCAAGAAAGTCAGGAATGAGCTTTTTATGGTGTTCAGGAAGTGAAAGATAGTCGCGTCTTCTTCTATGGTTGTTGTTTAAAGAAAATCTCTTGTAGGAAGCAAATGCTGTAATGACCTTGATCAGATACACTTGCTCTGACTCTGCAGGGTCCTGCTCCTCTGTGTTATGACAGTGTCTATCAGTCATGATAAATTTTAAAAAAAAGAAAAAGAAATAAGCCACTTGTAGAACGGTATCACTTTAATGCAAGATAACAGTTCGTGTGTATATGTGTTTGTGGGCGGGTGTGTGTGGCAAAAGAAAATATTCACATGTCAATGGAATTTAGTTTTTTATGGAAAGTACAAAAAATAATAGAGTAAACTAAAGATGAAATATGAAACGGAATCAATGTCATTTAAACAAAACAGAGGATTACAAAAAAAAAAAGCTGTGTTTATGTTTACACACAATAGTAACCGCTACTATGATTACATGCTATTACCATGACTACCCAACTTACCCAACGACTCCGCAGATGTACGCGTGATTTTACATAAAACTGTTTACATTTTATCATTTTCCTTTTTCTTCCTTCTCTTTCCTTCTTTTTTTTTTTCAATAAAACAAAGGATGCCTGTCTTTGATGTCTGTAAAGCTGAACCAAGAAGAGATCATCGACGACAAACTAGCTTAGCGAGCTCTTTTGATGTTACGTCAACAACAACCGGAACAACTACTACAACAAGCAGTAGTAGCCTTAGACCTATTTCATCCTTTGAAGTTTTATTTTCAAGGTTATTAGATGTGCTCATATTCACCTCAGCCATCGCTATTGCAACCTATAGTTATCTCACTGGCACATTGTTCAGTTCATCTTTTGTAGAATCATCCGTATCAACCACAACAACAACAACAACATCATCACCATCCACTCCAACAGCATCTACTCCAACACATCATCATAAAATACAATACAAACTACCATACAAATATGAAGAACCTGACCTTATCAAGAGGCGAAGAATCCAAGAATGGACACAGGAACAAAAACTAACCTATACAAAAAAGAGACATTCTTCTACTTCTTTATTAGAAAATAAAAAGGTAAACAATTCCCTTGCCCCCTTTTTTTGTATTGCCTTTACTTACTTTTATTTTAGGTTCAACTGCCTCGTAATACGAAACGAGATAAGAAAAGAACCCAGTCTTTATCTTCGCTATCCATTGACCGCCAACCAGAGGAAATCCTTCTCTCTAGAATGGAAGAAAGATTACAATCTCTTATTCAACAAGGTCAAGAAGCTCTTTTGAGTCCTGTAAAATACAATAAATAAACGTGTCATTATATATACCCTTTTGTCCTTTCTTTGATCTTTTGTTCTTTTGCTCTCACACACACACTCTCTCTCTTTCTATTTCTTTCTTTTCTCCTCTTTATCTCCTTTTAGGAATAGACAAATTTGGTTATTTCTCGGTTTGTGTGACTGTCTTAAAATTTTCCGCATAATGCTGCCCCTGTTTGTCTTTTGCCTTTTTTTTTCGTCTTTTTTTCTTTTTTGGGAGTTATAATGAGCAGTCGTGTTCTTTTAAGACGTCTCTTTCAACAAAGCCAGCCAACGGTCACTAGAAGAACAGTCAACGCTTTACCTACTATTGCTCGCATGTCTATGAATGCAAACAGACGATTAATTCAAACAAGATATATTCTCTCTGGACAAAACGCGAAAAAGGTTTTCAATTTATTGACATTCTAAACTTCAATCAATAACATCCCCTCGTCTATAGATGTATTCTACTTCATCCACTTCTATCTCAGGCTTAGAATCTACTCAAGTAAAATAGGCAACTTTTTTTTTTTTGATAGAACACAACTTATACATGTTTAATTAGACAGAAGTCATTCATAAAAGCAATTTGGCTGTACGCGAAGTCATTCTCAACCGTCCCAAGAAACTGAACGCATTGAGTCTACCTATGGTTCGAAGCATTCTACCCGAACTTCAAGTAAGGGCAAATAGGGAAAAAAAAAAAAGATGATATAAAACTGACTCTTCATTTAGTCGTGGGAAAAATCTGATTTAGCTAAAATTATTCTTCTGAAGCACTCCGGAGGCAAAGGATTCTGTGCTGGAGGTGACGTTAAAAGTAAGTCATTTCTGTCATATCAGCAACTGGATAACCTAACATTTTTGATATAGCTGTTGTCGATTTAGCTGAAGCCAAGGATCCCAATGCGGCCAAGTTCTTTGAAGAAGAATACCAACTCGATCACCTTATTGCCACATTAGAGACACCCTTTGTTTCCATCATGAATGGTATCACAAGTAAGTTGGAACCTTTTAGAAAAAAAAAAAAAGACTGACTTGTTTGCTCAGTGGGTGGTGGTGTTGGTCTATCTGTACATGCACCTTTCCGTATTGCAACTGAGAACACATTGTTTGCTATGCCCGAAACTGCCATCGGATTCCTTCCCGAAGTCGGTGGTTCTTTCTTTTTACCTCGTCTCGACGGTCAGTTGGGTCTCTATCTTGGCTTGACAGGCAAGCGTCTTAAGGGCGTTGACGTGTTGTATTCTGGTGTAGCCACTCACTACGTGCCATCCTCACGCCTATCCGCACTCGAGGCTCGTCTGGCCGAACTCGAAGATCCTACACACGATATGGTCAACCAAGCCATCGAGGAATTCTCAGCCGAGCTTGAAGCAGAACCTACCTTCTCCTTGGGAGGACCTATTCGTCAAGCAATTGACCGATGCTTCAAGTATGACACAATCGAAGAGATTATCAAAGCTCTCGAAAAGGACGAACAGACCGAATGGGCTCAAGAAACACTCAAGCTCCTTCGTTCAATGTCTCCTACCTCACTCAAGGTTACCATTCAACAAATCCGTAATGGCAGCACACTGAGTATCTCTCAATGTTTCAAGATGGAATACCATCTTGTTCAAAAGTTCCTCCAGGGCCACGACTTTAAGGAAGGCGTCTATGCTACCTTGGTCCGACGTGACAAGGCTAACTGGAAGCCCAGTGATCTGAAGGAAGTAGATGCTCGTCAAATCAAGCAAGACTATTTTGACTCTCCCTCTCCTCTCCGCTTGGACTTTTTGGTCAAGCGTGATTATAAAAAGTATCCTCATCGTAAATACATGCTGCCCTCCGAGCAAGACATCATGCGTGTCGTCACGGGTGAAGCCTCTGATGTTGGCAACTATGCTCTCACTCGTCAACAAGTCATTGATTACTTTGTTCGTGAACGCCAAGGCAAGCAAGGTGTGAAGCAGAAAGTGGCTGAAGTTTTGGATAGAAAGACGATTGAGATCGAGAAGGATGCAGACAAGAGCTTGAAATGGGTTTATGAAGTTTAACACAATTTTTTCTGTATAAAGCATGTTTTTTTTATTATTATTCCTTATTTACAATTTCCTGTACCATCTCTAAAATATCCTTGCCTTCATAACCCAAGAGTTTAGCTGCATGGATTAGAGCGCTTAGGCTCTTCATGAACAACTGACGACCTGCTTCCCTGTAATATTGTGTTTGTTCTATTCTATCACCCGGTGTCTGTGTCCCTGATTCTGGATAAGCGCCTGGACACCTTTCAGTAACTTGAAGTGATTCTATCTGAGGAGCCAGTCGAGTCATGGCTGCCTTGGGTAATGGGTTGATAACGGTAGATCGAGTGCTGGTCGACCCACGTGGCTGGGGAATCGAGGTTTGAAGAATTTGAGTGAGTTCAGATAATGCGGCTGTGTGTGCGTCCATGAGGTTGGGGACACTAGGTACTGTAAACAGAGGATTGTAGGACTGATCATATTCTTCATCAATCTCTTGTTGATTGATTGTACTGAGGATACGACCTTTCTTTTGTTCGTCAGGTCCAGGTGTCAGTGTACCAGGATCCTTACTCCATCTCGTATAATATTCATCTTCCGAGTCCTCTGTTTCTTCCTGATCTGCCTTTTGTGGATTAAAGTTTGACCCTGTATCTTCTGTAGAACTTGCTTCATCTGAGGACCAGTCTCCCCAGTAATCCTCTGGTGCTTCCTTACCCCCTTTACTACTCTAAGTATACCCATTAGTCTTTCTCTCTCTCTCTTTTTTTTCCTTATTCTTACATCAGGAGTATCCATCGTAAATTCTCTTTTATGTCTCGTCACCTTGGTCAGAAAGATACGTTCAGCCTCTTCAAGCGTCCTTGACCAATTTTCAAATATATCCAACCATTCGGCATCGGACAATTCCTTAATATTATGATACTTTGCGTCTGACATATCTCCACTTCCATTCTCCAAGATAAGAATGACCACAAAGTGACTCTTGTCTCTTTCTGCAAACTCGACAATAGCATGTAGTGTATCTGCGTCCATGCGCTTGTAGTAGACTTGTTTCTGGTACAGTTCGTCTGCGATATTGCCCTTTTCAGTCCAGACAGATTCGATCATTTGAGTGCAATTGTCCTTTTGCCATTGATACCAGTCCTCATTGGGCAGGAACTGAGCTCTTTGTCGCAATGGTTGAGATGAGAAAGGAAGGAGTTCATGGTACTGGTGGTTTTGGATCTTGTCAAGTGCGGTGTAGGCTATAGAACGGACAATGTTCTCGTTGGCGTAATCGTCAATCGCTTCCATGGTTATTTTTAAGAGTAAGAAAAAAAAATAAAGGGAAAAAGAAAGTATATATGCCGTGTGAACCATTAAAAAATCAGCTCATTTGGGAAGTTTAATGCTCCCCAAATGTGTACACAAGTTATTGTTACTCAGAGAAAAATATTCTGATTCTTAAAGAAGCTTATCATAAAAATAAGTAGTGGATTCATTGGCTGTTTCTTAAAAGAAAAAAAGAAAGAAAAAAATGAAAAGGAAGGGCCTGTGTTGTTTTATTATTGTTTTCTTTGGTTAATAACGGACAGAGGAAGGATCTGTTGAGACAAGATGGGGATTGGCAGCTGAGTTCCATTAAAGATTATCCAGTGATCTACATCACTTTATAAAGTTTAATTTTATGCATCATATAGTGAACGAAAAGGTGTGCTTAATACAAGTAAAAATTATAGAATGATTGTTAGGTTCATATAGCTAAATGATGAATTATTTAAGATCTACAACTATGACTATTCGCTTGGGTGATTCCAGCCTTACAACACAAATAAGCTGATGTCTGATGAATTCTTGTTCATAATTGGTCAAGTCAGTACAAACTGTCATCGTATATGCAGCTTGTTATTGATCATTTACGGTGGCCATCCAAACACTCTTACAGTGGTTGTTTTTGATGCATACATATCATCTCAGAATTGAAGTAGGTAGAGCTTTGCTGTCAGTATTGATAGAACAACCCATCTCTGCAGTCACTTTTAGTCAAGATTTATAAAGTTCTCCAACTTTGTTGACAATTTAATCAAGGAAGAACATTGCTGAATCAAGGGATTGCCGTCAACTATTAATATTTGAAGATTAACGTTTGGACGGGAGTTAGTATTGATCTGTAAAATGTGTAGTATCTCCAAATCTTTTATAATCAAATAATAGCTAAAAACAAGAAAAAGGGAAGTGTTAGATTGCGCATTTAATACATTAATAATATTTTGATTACTTTTGATATTCAAGAAGATCTGTCTTTTAACACAATCATAGGACTTCATTTTCAACAGTAATGTTATAGTGAATATGATTATCTTTGAAAAAAAAAAAATACATAGTAGTCACTGCTATTATGTTGAGAACCAAAGTTGAATGAAGCTTATGATACCATAGTATAAATAACTGTTTTATTCAACGATTCTACAGTCATTCCTCTTCATCATTCTCAATAGTATTATATTAAGCCTTATGATACTCAAAATCGTATGGCAAGCTATACGATTGTCTTTTATAAGAGATCCTAAAATGAAGGAAATGGATGAAAATAATACTTTTTCATTTTATAGTAGTTTTTAATATCCAAAAGCTTCCTGAAGCGTGAATTATTGCCGATGTTACACAAACTACTCTAAACTTGTACTAGATCACTTTTACCTATGGTGTTTTTAAAATTTGACTAAGTGTTTTGAAAGCATATCTCTGGTACACTTTACAAAACTCTCTCTAAGATTAAATAATATTTAAGAAGAAAGACAAATCTTACAAAAGTAGTTATTCTTTATCAATTAAAATAATGCTTTTTCGAGGGAATAAAAGCGTGCCTGAATAAATTCAAGATCCGGGCGAATAAAACCAAGCTTTTGGCTTATGCCCTCATGCTAGATCATCCAGACTAATTTTCAATTGTATATGATATATAAATATTTTCTTGGCTGTAAAAGCATAAATCCAAGATAGTAAACTCATTGCGTTGTGTGTATGTGCTTCTTTTGAGTATGATTTTCCTTTTAATTGATTTAAGTAGAGTTTGCCTAAGCTTGTACTACTTTAAAACAAGCATACAGCACGAATACGTTCAATATAGTATTTGCATGTATAAATATATATGTATGTCTGATAGAAAAGCTTCTATTGTATTTAAATATAATTAATCTCTTATTTTTGTTGATTTATCTTATAATTGTAGAAATAACTAAAATTCAGGTTGGCTTGCTTTTGGCTAAATATACTTTTTGGTTCTAAGAAAAATTATGCGCATGTTGATCAATGCAGAAAATATATAAGAGGATCTCTTAATAATTAAAAGTGGTTCAAGAATGAGTATTGGTTAACGATAGGGAAGGTAAATAATGAAGGTTTACCATTTATATTACAGACATGTGACAGATATACTACAGGAAGCCTCCGTTCAAGCAAATTAAATAGTCTCTAACAGAGGTTTAAAGTGTGTAATACATCTCTATTGTTGTTTTCATTTTAATTCGTTAGATTTACTTCCTTTGTGCCTAAAACTGCTTTACTTGCCAATTGTCTAAAAATAGCGTAGAAGGATAAAAACCTAATATAATAATGCCCAAAAAAAGATGATATAAAATATGTGTTTTAGAACATTTAAAAAAACAAATGTTATGTTAAATGCCATACATGTTTTGGTCTTATTTACATTAGATGCTGGATGATTAGATCAGGACAGTATTTTATATAACGCTAGGGTATATTATGAATGATAAATGTGAATAATATTGATGATGAAAATACAGCAATCTATAGCTACTTGGAGAAAATTTGAGAAAAAAGACTGTATACAGAAGAAACTTGAATTATTTGTAATTTCTTTAAATAAACATCAAATTGTTGGCTTAAAGCATACATTGCGTCAAATTTGGATATTTTAAAAGAATCATTGCAATTCTAGTAAGAAGAGACTTGCTCTTATCCTTCAAAAAGGGAAATTAACCAGAAGGGAGAAACTACATAGCGCTGGCATATATCCATTCCAAGAAACACATGTGAAATACCCTTCGTTGCTTTATTTGATTAATGATTTTGTGAAATCGCAAAATCTGTTTCTTCCAATCAATTGATTCTTCCATGTTTGTCCTTTTTATATAATGTGCGGAATATATAAAGACACATGATGCAAAGCACTGCTTGCAAAGCAGCAAACCTATCAACAAAAATTTAGATTCGCTGTCTCTCTCTCTATTTATGACCACTTATGTCATAGACCAATTTCTGTTATATTTATATGGAAATATAAATGAATGCTTTAATGATTTGCTTTTATTTAATAAACATGGGTGAATTGCAAATTATTATGTGTTTCAAAATCCACTTTCTAAGCAAAAGCAAAAGAAAACTACATGTTTATAATAAAGAACACAGTATATTCATTATCAAGTAAGGTTTAATAAAGAAATTAGATTGTTCGAATTGAAGGTCTGTTGCCTCGGAAGCCTAGTTTCCAGATGAACAAAAGAAATCAATTGTAATTCCGATCATGAGGATTGCCAAATAAAGAAAGTTTTGCCTCACTTTTCGTATTCTTTTGTTACACGCAACAACTCCTTTACCTTTTTCTTTTTCTTTATTCTATTTTATTTTTATTGTACAGATGAGCCATGTTAGTCATTCGGTGCCACCAGTGCAATTTTCAGACAGAACTGTGAGAAGGAGCAGATCAAGACATCAAGTCCAGCAGATTGGAAATTACGTGATTTACAAAAAGACACTTGGTTCTGGTAGTATGGGCACAGTTAAGCTTGCTGAATCTCTTTCACCCAAGGATCATCAGTTGGTAAGATGGGACATTCCAAAAAGAAAAGGTCTATTGAATGACTTTTAATAGTATGCAGTCAAGATAATGCCCAAGATCAATCTCGATTTGCCAGTGAACGGGAACAGCAAAGATCCCAAGGATACACCAAGAGAACGGGAGCAGAGAACGGTGAGAGAAATGGCAATTATGCATCTGTTGCGTCATCCAAATATATGTCAGTTGAAAGAGTGGATCATACATGGTGATCACTATTATATGTTTCTGGAATATATCGAAGGAGGACAACTACTAGATTATATTATTGGTCATGGTAAATTACGTGAAAAGTTAGCAAGAAAGTTTGCAAGACAGATAGCTAGCGCATTAGGTAAATGACCATGGGAATGCTTAGATCTTTAATTAATGACTTTTTTAGACTATTGCCATAGAAACTCTATTGTTCACAGAGGTATTTGTATTTAATAAGGAGAAGATTAAAAAAAAAAAATTCATTATGTGAATAGATTTGAAGATTGAGAATATTCTGTTGACAAACAATGAAGAGATTAAAATCATTGACTTTGGACTTTCAAACATTTATTCACCACGTAAATTACTAAACACCTTTTGTGGTTCACTTTACTTTGCTGCACCCGAGCTATTACAAGCAAAGAACTATACAGGGCCAGAAGTAGATGTTTGGAGTTTCGGTGTTGTGTTATACGTATTAGTATGTGGAAGAGTACCCTTTGACGACACTAGCCTGCCTGCATTACATGAAAAGATTAAAGCAGGTCAGGTAGAATACCCAGATCATTTGAGTAGAGGTACATATTACTATATTTGTATAAATACAATTATCTCAGCTATGCATATATAGAATGTGTTGATTTATTATCCAAAATACTCGTGGTTGATCCAAGAAAGAGAGAAACACTGTCTAATGTGATTCGTCATCCTTGGATGAATAAGGGTTATGACGAATTGGTATCTAATCACTTACCTCATCGTCAGCCATTACATAAGATAGATAGACAGGTAGTACAGGGTATGCAAGGATTTGGTCTAGGTCTTCCAGAAGAAATTGAACACAAATTGGAGCAAATTATCCGTTCACCTGAATATCAATATGCGGCCAAGCAAATCGATCAAAATTACCAAGGCAACCACAACAACACAGAAAGCAGCCAACAACAGCAGCAACAACAGCAGCAACATAACTCTCTGACAAGATGGAGAAGAACAGTGTCTATTCGAAGAACAGCAAGCAGTTTACATTCGAAACCCAGAGATGATCCACAGTCATTACCAGCCATGTACGACCCTCTGATATCTATTTATTATCTGGTAAAAGAAAGAAGAGACTTCGACGAAAAGATTCGCTTGTTGGAGAGTGAAGGATATCAATCACCCGTCCAGTTGGGTAGATCAGCCAGTACATCTTTATCCAAATCAACAAAGGAGAGTAATAGCTATTTGACACGACGAAAGACAGAGCGTGTAGCGCCTTCTCATACGCGACAAGTGTTTCAGCAACACAATGAAGAGGATTGGGCAGCACCCACGAATCACAGTACGACTGTTCAGAAGAATAGCTCCAAGTCAAGTAGTAATTTACTCAAGCGTAGTAAAAGCGCAGCCAAGAGATTGGGAGCCATGTTACCAACAAGAGGAGGCAGCCATGAATCCATTGAAGATGGATCATTAAAGCAAAAGACGATGAATATACTGAGATCTAATTCAGTAGCGCATCGTAACAAGGAGAACAATAATAGCAATAGCACAGGACGATTCGTAGAAGAAACAGAAGGTAGGAAAAGCAAATCAAAGGACGTGTCTAACCCATCCTCAGTTACGATACCACCCAACATAAGCACATACCCCAAGAGTTTATTCAATTTTAATAGAAGACATTTGTTTAAAGTAACAGCAAAGGAAATGATTGAATATGTTGAAAGAGTACTTAGATGGAAGAATATATTTTATAAACAAGAAGAACCCTTTGTGTTTAAATGCGAAATACAAGATGAAGCTATAGAAAAGGAACATGTTGTATTTAGTTTGATGATATACCAAGCAAGATGGGCCAATGGTCGATTGGGTATTAAACTATTGGAGAATGAAAACACCAAGACGGTCTCTATTTATCATGAAATATTAAACGAATTGAACTCTTTGATCAATAAATAAACCAAAGTGATCCATTTTTATATACATATTGAAACATACGCGTTACCCAATTAGCGCGCGTCTTGAATTGCGGGAAGCGAAAATGCTTATAACTCTTCCTTTCTTTCTTTCTTTTTCTTTTTTCTCTTCTCCTCTTTTAATAAGTGCAAAATTAACAATGAGAGATCTTGCTGTTATTCTTCCCGAACAAAGATTTCAGAATTGTGAATTATGTGAACAAGGGCAGTTCCTGAGCATTTATCGTCTTTCAGTTCGCCCTTCAGTAGAATCGCGACCTGTACTCATACACGCCCACTACTCAGAAAGTCTTCAGACCTTACTTGCTCGTTTATGCGACGAATATCCAGCGATTTGGCAACAGAATACGGTGTATTACTTTTATATGGATATGGGTGGTGTCTATCATCATGTCGAAGACGCAACTTGGTTAAGAGATAAAGATCAATTGATTGTCACTACAATTGAAGATGCAGAACTATTCCCAAAACTCAATTTAATGGCTGGTAAGATATCTTGTTATTCGAAAATAACAACTCACTCATTTCTCTAGTGCATGCTAGTCTTCGACCTCACGTGAAACTAAGACCTCATCAAAAAGAAGGGGTTGAACGAATGATATTTATGGAGAAAGTATATCGTGGAGGAATTCTTGCAGATGATGTAAAAAAAAAAAAAAAAAGAATGTGCAGGAAAATATTTACTTATCATCATCTTGCCAAGCTTAGATGGGACTAGGAAAAACGTTACAGACATTAACACTTATCCTCAGACAGCAACCGAGACTGAATGTCCATGCTCCTACCTTGGTCGTCATACCTTCCATAGCAGTTGGAGAACAATGGGCAGATGAGATTAGATCAAAAACAGAGTTTGGAAGTATTCCTTATTTTATCTATCAAGATGACAACAGCTACTTGCTCGATCGTAAGTGTGTTATCATGAACAGTTCTTGGTGACTTAACATCTTCAATAGAGCCTGTGTTTCGCGTGGTGATCGTTACTTATGATCGTGTGAGAATGGAGTTCAAGAAATATATTAATGGTGACAACAATTGTCCCCTGTATAAAGTTGATTGGTATAGGATTGTCTTGGATGAATCACATAAAGTGAGAGCATTACGAACAATGCTGAGTGACGCGGTCTTACAGCTGAGAGGAAAATATAAATGGTGCTTATCTGGTACGCCTATTCAAGTAAGCATGACATCTATTGATATATACAATGAGTTCATTATTTATGTGTAGAACAATATAACCGAACTCTATCCTATATTCGCTTTCTTACAAGTGGACATTAATCAAAAGTTAAAGACAAACAAAAGTTATATGGCAGAACTACTTAAATTACACATGATTCGAAGAAACATTTCTATATTACATACTGAATCTGTACTATTGCCTAGACAGGAGATAAGAATCACTTTGGAATTTACAGAATCAGAAAGAGCTTTGTATGACTATTTGGAGAAATTATTATATGATCAAACTGTAAAGAATCGTAGACAGGGAGAAATGTACACGACATTTGCCACAACAGCCATTCTGTACTTGAGATTAAAGCAAGTGTGTGGTCACCATATGATCCTGCTGGATAAATTTCCAGATCTGATTCCAATGGCTCAGGCTGGTGTTGAAAATGAAATCCTTGATGCATTTAGGGAAGATGAAGAAGAATTGATTAGAGAAAGAGTGTATAGCGAAGGCTTAACCGAATACGAACATATTGTTGGGTTGATGCAAAGTTATTAGTAAGCGTGTAAAAGAAAATGCAGAATGTACTATTGGATAACTTAGACTGTATGATTAGTGAACAATTTGGCGATTTAGAAAATCAAGTGAATGTGACGCAGTTGCAAAAGCTGAAATTTATCAGGCATTCGACCAAAGTGTCATGGTTAATTAATTTTCTCCAAAATATCATGGAAAATAACCCCACTGACAAGGTCGTAGTTGTTTCACAGGCAAGTCTATTGTGTATTTATTAGTTATACATGTGTTACTAAATGTTTTTGCAGTTTGTCGATCTTTTAAACAAGGTTGCCGAAGCCTTGAGCTATTCTAGAATCCCTCATCAATTATGTAAGTCATTCTCTATAATCAATTGAATATATCTTATCTTTTTTATATTGTAGATCATGGTGGCCTATCAAGCTATCGTCGTAAACAAGGATTACAAATGTTTAATTACGATCCAAAGATGAGGGTTATGGTTATGTCATTGAAAGCAGGTGGAATTGGTTTAAACTTACAAAAGGCCAACCATATGGTTGTCATGGACAGATGGTGGAACCCGGGTAACATATGAGAAAAACAAAAAGAAAAGGGGTGTAGAGAAAAGATTATAGTAACACCTTTTAGTATAGCTACCATGGATCAGGCAGTTGCCAGAATTCACAGAATGACACAATCGAAGCAAACGTACATTTATACAATTGTGATGAAGAATACAATCGAAGAGACCATCTTGGATGATATCTTAACCAAAAAGGTAACTTATAAAGGATGCAACATCTACACACACACACACATACACACACGGATTGACTCGTATATTAGAACAAACTATTCCAAATGGTGGTAGAAACCGATCAGGATGAAGCTGAAGAGGAAATTAGACCCGCGGAGCCTCAAGCAGATGTTGATGAAGAATTAGAGCCTTTTATATACATATAAAAGACGCATTGTAAGTAAATGTTTAAACAATGAAAAAGATGAATATCAATGATGTATATTATCGCTTTAAATAAGTTAAATATAAATATAAATATATATATATAAATAAGTATGTATAAAACGTAAAAAGAGACGACCAGCGTTGACTATTAGTGTGTAGTAGAAGTAGAGGTACTAGAGTAATCTTCTTGTCTTCCATAAGGATCATAAAAACGATCTTGTTGCTGTGATTGTGGTTGCGCCCAGTGAGAATTATTAACTGGCATCTTTCCTCTTGCGCCCATCATGTATGGGTCTGCTGTATCGTACACGGGTGGTTCTACAGAGGACTATAATGTTTATATAAGAATTTGCCCTTTTGTGTGTATATCTGAAATGACTAAAAACTTACATTAGAAAAGTATACATTTGCACCATTTGGATCATTTGCGGTATTATTCTGCTGGTAAGGTAGAAAGACATTAGATGAAGGGTGAACAATAGGAGGTGGAGGTGGTGGTGGTGGTGGCGGATAAGCGGCGCCTAACGAGAAAGGATAAGCGTGATAGGGGCCAAAGTCACGAGTGGGTGAATTTGGCATACTCGACGCAAATCTATGAGGCGGCGAAGCAAAAGCATCTTCAGAGCCCTTGAAGCGAGTGTGTGAGTCTGCGTAGTGGCCAGGACTACGGCCTCTGACGACAAGTGGGGCTGAATGACAGGTGGCGACACATATGGCCTCGCCTCTTGATAGATTAGCGTAGAGATCTACCACGATCTCGTAATATTGCTGTGCTGCACGTCTTTTGCCATTATTTGCTGTTGCTGTCTTGAACTGCAGTCGCTCAAAAGTGACAATGTTATGATTTGTTCCTACGGCTGCCATATGAAGATTACCACCTGCACGCACGGGCCGAGGCTGAGGAATCATCTGGGGTCCCTTATCACGTTTGGGTGTATGCTGTACCAGCTCAATCTTTTTATCGTGGTTGGCTACGCGAGCATGGATGCCAATTGAGAAGTAATCCACTGGAAGTATTTCACCCGTATCGGCCTTTCGCAGCAAACAAGGTGCTTCTGGTCCTTGCAATATATAATTTGTTCCGTGCATATCAAAGGTTGCGCTGACCTGAAAATAGTTGCGGCGATAACATGTCCAATCCAATTCTGCCTTAAAAAAGCCTCGATCCATTTTTGCATGAAGTTGAACCTTGTAACTAACATAAAGTTAATATGTCGGGGATAATGAAAAAAGTGGTGCTATATAATTTTTACTCATTGGTTTGTTCAAGGTTACATAGTTCGTGAAGCTGCTTTGTTGATGAAAAAGAAGGACCCATTTCAAACGAAAAGAACGATTCAGTTCTTCTTCTTCGGACAGGTCCAGCTGGGTTGGAGGGAAACGTCGTGGTTGAAAATCCTTCGGGTCTTGAAGGAAGTGTTTGATGACCGCGACGAATCAAGTCAGGAGGTACTGCCATCTTTTCTGCTGATGCTATTGTAGGTGAATGATGTTCCTGGGGACGAGGTGTCTCAGGTTCAGAGATGGACATGATGCTACACTCATAAGTATCCTTAATATTCGACTCACATTAAAACGTTACCTTGGTTGCATTTGTGAAGATATGATCGATTCAGGACTTGGGGTATATTCAGTACCATGGTAAGTAAACGAAGGATTAGGTAAAGGCATAAAATTGGCCATGGTTGATTACAAAGGAATGTATTCCAATAGCAGTAAACACGAGCAAAAAAAAAGAGAGAAAAAAAGAAAAATAAAATAAAATAAAATATAAAACTCGGGAAAAACCACTTAGATTTTGAGCACATGATAAATAAAGACAGCTTCTTTCTTCTATTCTTCTTTTATTCTTTTTTACTCTTTTTTCAATGATTAATCAAGGACGTAACTCATCTGTTGATATGTGGTCAAATATATGATAACCTGCATAGCAACATCAAATATCGCCATGGAAACAAAACCATAGGAAAAGAAGAGAAAATAAAAAAGGAACCCCGCTAGAAAACACGTGAATTGTATTTATTTTAGTCTTGGGAATTTCAGCCAATTGCAAAAGGGAAAAAGTGCCATATTAGTTATTTTTTTAAAACATGCAGAATTTCCCAAGTTGTGTGTTGCTTGATATCGTGATTGGCTTGTTGGATGTCTTTACTCAAAGCTTTAGACACGGGCTTTTCTTCCACAAACTTTTACCTTCCATATTTGGAGACTCTTTAAAATGCTACCAGGCAACATAAATCAACACAGTTAAAACCAGGAAGCTATTGACTCCATGTTTTCAAAGTTTGAGATCCTTCACATATTCCCAAGATGCCCTCACTGGGAAAAGATGGGATTCTTTCGTCATAATAAATCTACTAAAACGGGTTCACCAACGCCCGTATTTCTCTGCTATGGCAGTACTAAGACATATAAGGCTGGTACCATGGTGTACAACACTCAACCTTTTGTTTCTCCTAGTGCTATTGTAAATTCAATAAACATCAAAGCTTTTGGAATGTCTCACAGCGCACAATTCAACCTGCATGGTTGCACAGCCGATCAACTACACAGTCTGGATATGCTTTAGCGCCTCTCTGCCGAAATAGCAGCAGCCCACGTAAAAAAACAGACAGTCTACAATAGGCTCAGCAGTATTTACATTCGACCTTTACCAGCCAGTCTAAAGATGTTTGATCACCTCAATCACGACAGCATTCCTGAACTCTCCTTTCAAAAATAACCCTGTAAAGCACCAACAGCAGCACCGCTTACAGCGCCATGAAGCCGCCGCAGGTTTTGTTTCAGCCTCCCTCTGAGAGAATAATCACATCTTTTACATTCATTATCTAGACTGTCGACCCATTGCGTTATTCGTACACAACGACGATGTAAGCGAATTTTGCATGCAATTGCGACACTTTAAATTCGCTGACATGCATAATGAGATAAATCACTCTAATCACTCTAATATATATACTGGAATTAGGAAAAAAAAAAAAAAATACGCCGGAAAATACTAGAGGCAGACCCAGATCTGATCATGCTAACAGTATGCCAACCGCATACATCTCACAGTTATCCCGCCTTCGCCCTTTGGAGCTGGGGAGAATGGACAAGGAATGTTCAAACTGCTACGCTTTGCATTGGGTAGATGGCAGACAACGGAACTCTTCGCAAAGCAGCCCTGTCTGGGAATCATGCTGTAAGTAGGGATTAGTCCAACTGCCACTCCTGGCACAACCACCTGGGTACTTGAAAGACTTACTCGCTCGCACATATGCTATAGGACGCCAGTTCAAGGACAACCTGCGTCAATACAACGCTGCCTTTGCATTCACATCATTAGGTTGTAACACTGCTTCTGCCGAGGAACGAACCAGCAATGAAAACAGCAGAGGTGATCTGCACGCATTTCAAAATCCATGGTGAACTTTATCACCTCTAGGACCCCTTACTTCCAGTGATGATAGTTCCAACCCCTCATATGCTCAGCTTTACATATACGACCCATCATATGCAGCTGAAAGACGCTCAGAAAGAAATAACAATCTTGATCCTGAGATCATAAGAGAGCTTTCCTTCATGCTCTCGTAGTGCAATCCCTTTGCCCGAATTTACCGCCACGCATATGAGATATTGAATGGGCGAGAGAGTAACGATAACTCAGCTGACAACAACAATGCCTCACCTTGCATAGCTATTTCTCCTAATAGGAGAATGCGATTAATCGAAGGAGGTGATAGATGCACCCAAAACTTGCCTACCATGGAAGAGGTTGCCACCATCATTCCCACTGAGTATGGTGACAGAAGCTTTCGTGATATTGTTCTCATCTTGAGAGGCGCAGTTAATAGCACCGGCGCTTCATTTCGTGATCAGTATAGCTCTGAGTATCCCTTTCAAAGAATAAGCCAAACTCATGCAGCGTATATGCCTACTCGCTATGTGCTACTGTTCCCCCATGGAGACTACGGTTGGCACTGGGGCATGCGCCTATCATCAACGAATACCACTTCCAACAATCACAACAATAACAACAACGAAGGCGATGATGTTGATGTCAGTGGATCAGCTGAACTCATCAGAACAAGGGATAGGCTATCTCAGTGTTCATTCCATCGGTTTAGACTTCATTTGAGAGGAGAACACGAGTTTCCTACCATCTTTTATAGCAAGAGATTGTTTCAGAAATCCTTGGTAGACACATGGGCTATTTGCGATCAGAATAAGCTTGAATGGTTACGAAATAATCAGGATAGACTTCGTGCCGATGTTTACAACGGTCTATCAGACGCCATCACTCAGGATGACCAAGTGGACACTGCAAGCTTGGGACGTAGGTTTATTTTCCCCAGCAGCTATCATGGCGGCCCCTGTTTCATGAGTAGGCTATACTATGATTCCATGGCCATTGTTCGCCATTTTGGGAAGCCATCTCTTTTCATTACCTTCACGGCCAACCCCAAATGGAAAGAAATCACTGCGGAGCTGCTGCCCGGACAAACAGCATCTGATAGGCCTGACCTCATTGCAAGAGTATTTAATATCAAAGTTACACACCTTTTGAATGATTTGAAGAAGAAACAGATTTTTGGTCGCTACAAAGGGTTGGTACGCACCATTGAATATCAAAAGAGAGACTTGCCTCATTTGCACTTGCTGCTCTCCCTTGACCCCCAAGACAATTTTGTTGATGCTAAGAAAATTGATCAAGTAATTTCAGCAGAACTGCCAAACAAAAATACAGACAGAGAGCTCTTTGAGATAATCACGTCATGCATGTTCCATGGCACATGTGGAGATATTAACCCACGCTCACCATGTATGATTGAAGGCGCAGGTGGAGGATGGCTGCTCTGCTGTTCTAAGAGATTCCCAAAAGAAGTTCAAGATGAAACTGTCATGCCAGAGAACGGATACCCTCTATATAGACGAAGACGAGTACCTACTGAGGAACAGAACAATTACTTTTATTCTATAAGGTCATCTGGAAGAGTTGATTCTGATTTTGCTATGGACAATAGGTGGGTTGTACCATATAACCCGTAAGGCCAATCATTAAAATATGTAGAAGTTGACTTGCGGCGTCCGCCGTTTATGCATGGTCAGCTATATGTCACTCTTTCAAGGGCGACTTCTCTCTCTAGCGTATCAGTCCCGACACCAATGTAGTCGAAGCTGAAGACTTGTTGGAAGATGCAGTGGATGAAGATGAGGAAGAGGAATCCATCGATTTGACTTCAAGTCGTGGGTGGACTGCTGATGAGGTCTATATGGACTCTCGTCTAAGTGGTTCAGCAGAAGGATTCACTTTCTTAAACTCTCGTTTAATTATGAGCAATGGAAGATATGCCTCTCCATTGGATTATTTCTTGTTCTTCCTTCCTTCATGCAAGAAGTCTCGGCCATTGGGAAGATATTACCTTTCATGAATATCTCATGTGGATCGCACTCTTGACGGTAATGACTGTGGTCAGACATGGTGATAGAAAGGCATATTGGAGACAGGGTCAGCCTTTTTTCTTGATGAATGTTGACTTTAGTCAATATATGTCTTTTAACAGATTCAGTGACATTATGAAGATGCATGTTTTTGAAATTCCTTCAAACCAGGCTCAGGAGCTTGACCCTCTTTATCAAATTAAGTCCATCACCCAAGCCTTTAATGATCACATGGATAAGTGTATAATACGAGGAAAATATCTTGTTATCGATGAATCTATGAATCAATGGTTAGGTACTGGTATGCCAAATTTGAAGAAGATTCCTAGAAAGCCACATCCAATCGGACAAGAGTTTAAGACGCTGGCTGACAATCACTGCTACTGCATATTGCGTATCGATACAGTCAGTGATCCTTGCCCAAAAGAATATGACAAAGATCCTGGCATGAAGAAGCTGAAGGTCACTGTAAAACTTTTGGCAAAACCTTGGTTTGGCTTTGGTCGAACAGTCATTGCTGACTCTTGGTTCGGTTCGTCCGATATGATCTCAATGCTGATGAATCATGGCCTTTGTTCGATTATGCCGGTCCCAAGCGTCGTTACTGGCCTCAGGACATGCCTGCAACAGACATTGTGGAGAGAGTAGATGCTAACTATGGTAGCTAATACACTATGAAAAAAGATACAACCAGCAGGAAAATGTCTGTTCGCGCTTTTCGGGCTCAAAAAGTAAAAGCTTTTGTCAAGAGTTTTGTTAAGCACTTTTTGTTAAGCACTCGGGGGGGGAGTAACGACGCCATTGTGGAGATTGACGAATACTAGTTTGGTAAATGTAAGTACCACTAGGATCATGTTGTTGAGAGTCGCTGGGTGTTTGGGTTTTGTATTTGTTCACTTTTGTTGACCCAGCCTGCCCACATGCATGATCCAACATAATTGCCTCTTACCGTTTGTACAACACTAATGCTTAGCAAAGTGCTTAACAAAAAAGAAAAAGAAAAAGAAAACACGGCAAAGCCCACACAGATCGAATAATTCTTTTTATTTTTGAGTTGATTACTAATTATGTTGATATTTCAAATGACATGGTCATCTGCGATCTTGCGATGGTGAAAAAACACCATTGAAGGCAGTCGTCGTGATCGTTGGATGGTGTCGGTTAGGCATTGCTTGATGGACTGATGGTTTGCAGATACGGTTGAAGGAGTCAAGTACGCGACAAACGCGAGACATATCCACAATAAGTTTAGTTAGATCATCCAAGCAACTAGGAATCTTGATTTTTTCCAGCTCGTACATGATGTAGTATCCACGCTACTATTCAGTGCTTAAATACAATATCTAGAGTTGAACCTAATATTGCTATAAGATCTGTTACACCTTAATCAAATATAGTCAACTCAGTTTAAATAGCTCAGCTTCTTAATATATAATTATAGATTGTTCTATCATCTCTTTTCTCTTTACCTTATTCTGAATAAAGACACAACATAGTCTCATCGTATTTTCTACTTTGTTTAAATCTATCCAAACCCAAATACAACACATGACATAAAGTCCTGTTGATGGCAAAACTAAGACATAAAACTAACTACTCTTCCAATAATCTGCAGATCCAGCACACCTTCCATGTTTTGTGCATCAAGAGCATTCTTGCAGAATATACCAACGCGAAGTAGATTCCGACAAATCGAATAATTGTTACCACCTTGAGCAGCTGACTTAGCTTCCCATAACCATGACTTGACGTCCATGTCATCCCATGTAAACGACCTATACATATATCGGGAAGCTTTGTTGATAAATCTTCATGCTTTCGCGCTTCTAAAGTTATTTCATTAGTCCACCGTAGGTATATGCCCTCGTCCGAATCGTCAAATAAATCAGATAAAAAAGGATCAACGTATCAAGTGCTAAGTTCAAATTCGTTAGTGTCTTCTGCAATAGGTATGGGAGGAAGCTTCTGAATCAAATCGATTATGCATTTTTGAACTTGTTTTCATCTGTGAAGAGGTCCAAATCCAAAAGATGTGCAATCGCTTTATCTCGACTGAGTACTCCCATGGTAAGATTTTGAGCGATGCCGATCATGCTGGTAGTCATCACCATTGACATTGGAAGCTTTTTAATGCCATACTATGTCTCAATCCCATTGATGGTTGCCTTGAGGTCATGATTGCTGAAATAGGGTGACAAATCCTCTGGGTACTGATTTCGTGACAAGAGCAAAATGTGGGTGGTTGCCATGGCGCAGTGGATGTGATTTTCAAGTGGTAGTTTCCATTTGTGTTGACATAATAAAAGCTGCAGCTTATAAAACGCCATTGATGCATCGAAGTTTTGTACCAACAAATGGTCATCGTGATCAAGAGGCGAAAACGATAGACATAATGGATCCAACAACTCAGTTCCAAGGATATTGCTTAAGCGACGTTTGTTAGGCTGGTCTTGGCTACTGTAGCTTTGTTGTTTCTCTGTCGCTGGCTCTTCTTGCGATGTCGTCTGTGGTTGTTCGGGCAAGGTTTTTAAATGGTTGGCATAATAATGGGTCTTCAACTTGTCGATTTCTATACAATGAGCGATGCATGCAGGGCAGCCAAAGTACTTCTCAGTGTCATCGTGTGAGTTGGTAGACTTAACATAGGTATATTCATTATTATCATATCGTCTGATTCCTGTTATTCGATGTGGCAATTGTATATTGTGCTTTTGCATGTGTTATCGAAGGGATTGTGGAGTGCTATATGTCTTTTGACATTCAAAACATTGGTATAAAATGGTAACAAGTTTTGTTTTACTCACCATACCAACCATAAAAAAGAATAAAATAAAAAGAGGGAGAAACAACAAAAGTAGGCTGGTTCACAAACAAAAGAACGAAGGACAGAGAGAATCTAGGGTGTCAGAAGAGGCTATTGGGGAGCGTTCCAGGTACACGCTAGAGAGCAAAGAGGGCGGGACAAGCGAGTCAGAGCAAGGACCATGAGGACAGGCTAGTTTTGATTTGTGAATCTTTGAACACTCAAAGGGATATTTGATAACTGCTATAAAGAAGCAAAAAAAGGACTCAATTAATGTGAGTTTTTATGCTTTTTTTTTTTCTTTCTTTTCCAAACAAGTTTCAGGACCGAGTATCTAGGACAAGGAAATCATGTCAAATAGGAGCAATCTACATCGTGACCATTCAAGAATATGCATTACCAAATATGACTACACGTTCTTTTGATATCATGGAAAAACCGAATAAAGAATTTAAACTTTTACAAAGAGACTAAAGAGGATTATTCTAATATCAAGTTAATTTCAAATCCAAGGCAGCCCACCTGTTAATATTACTGTCAAATGGGATAGTGACCCATATTGTTTTTGTATTTGTTATTACTCTGATAGCATTACAACGGTTTCAATACGACATCTAAATCTGAAAAGCACAACATCCAGTCTCAGTAGCAGTGTCATTATTTTTTGGAAATACAGTATATCCATGGAAGTGCCTACGCAGAGTATTTGGTGGTTCTTGCAAATCCTCTATAAAAGTAATACTACAACTGGCGAAGTTGCCGACTATGACAGAACGTACCCATATACTACAAGCGCAATTCTTCTTACGATCTCTGCCATTGCCAGGTGATGCGCTTCTGGCTTACTTACTTCCACATATCCGCCTCTCCACAAGTCATTCATAGTGGTATACTATATCAAAAACGCCACTGTGGAAACGTTGTGCGCAATATACTGATATACTAGACAAACGATTATTAAAGAAGATACGTCTGCAATACCTGCAAGGCAACTTAGAACAGCGGCGTACTGCATGCAGCTCAAATCTGCTCTCGCTGTGTCGCCCAACAATCTCTTCGGATCCAATCCTTTGGTTACCCATGACAAGGTTAGAAAGAAGTCGGTGCATACGGTGGTAACTTGGTTGGTTACCCAGTTATAACACTACTTGCTGCTTTCGACACACCTCACAGCTCTCTACAAAACAACATACCATCTATTGCCTCGACATGCGTCACCGTCTACAAATACCGAAGTCTATAACTGATCCTCTATCCCTCCTTTTAAATAAGCTTCCCACTTGAAAACACGCTCCTTTCAAACAAGATCGTTTTGGACTATCAGATGGCACGTGATCTGCGCTATCTTACATGAGCTTGATCACCTATACCATGAAAAAGAGCCACCATCACCATCTGACCCAGGGCAGAAACTGCATAAATGGTTATTTAATTCTTCATAGCAGTGTTTTAACACATGTTCCGTGAATCTGTTAACCAAAGTATTTTTGCACTCGAGTTCAGCAGGATTTTTAGATTCTATCTCACAATATGAACTGGCCAGGGCAAAAACGATATAATAAAAATATCACGTGCCCCTTATGGCCTTTCTATTTTATAAATGAATAAATTTTGTTTAACCGTATAGCAATGCAAAGCGGGGATTAAAATATATTTGACGGCTGTCTTTACCTGAAATTTTTTCCAAAGTGCAAATGATCAGTCTTTTTTTTTCTCATTTTAGATCAACAATAATGGGTTACGGCAGAAAGAAACGTGCATATCGTCAAAAGAAGGTTAATTATAAAGAATTCACTAGTGTAATGTAATGTATTTATTGACACTGACATTCAACCATCAGACAACTGACGAAACAGCAGCCAGTGGTGAAGATAAACCAAAGCAAAAGTACTATGATGAACGAAAGCCATTTGCAAACATTGAAAGAGACAATGAAAAGTTTAAGAATTATTATAAAGTACGTCAAACAGTATTGGGGCTGGAAACATGATTAATCATTTATATGTTAGGCTCAAAACATTCTATCTGAAGAGGAGTTTGACAGGTTTTATGAATTCATCAAGACGATCTTGCCTACAACATTTAGGATCACAGGCAGTCGAACGTAAGACGTTTTTAAGAAATTGCAGCTCAGGGGTATTTATATTTGAATTTTGTAGAACTGCAATGGAGATCCTGACTGTTGTTGAAAAAACCTATGTACCAAAGTTACAGGACGTTGTCATTGATGGTATCAAGATTGAACCGCCTAAACCATTGCCTTTCTATCCCGATAGATTTGCATGGCAAGTCAACGTGCCTCGTCTTTTAATCAGAAAATCACCCGAGTTTGCAGAATTCCACAAGTTTATCGTTACTGAAACGGAAGCAGTAGGATCAATCAATAAAGACTAAGGAGGGGGAAAACTAAAGTATAGATTAGGGTAACATTAGTCGACAAGAAGCAGTCAGTATGGTACCTCCCTTGTTGATGGATATTAAGCCTCATCAATGGGTTTTGGATATGTGTGCAGCTCCAGGATCAAAAACGGCTCAAATCATTGAAGCAGTTCATTCAAATGACAAATTAAACGAGATACCTCGTAAGTTCACCTTTTGCTATACTAAAACAATGGAAGATGATGCTTATTCTTTTTCTTTAGTTGGTCTTGTTGTAGCAAATGATGCTGATTACAAGCGTAGTCATATGCTCATCCATCAGTCCAAACGATTGCAATCACCTTGCTTTATGGCCACTAACCATGACGGCGCACAATTTCCTAATGTCCGCTTACCAGGAACAAACACACCATGGAAATTTGACCGCGTGCTTTGTGATGTGCCATGTAGTGGCGACGGCACAATTCGTAAGAATGAAAAGATTTGGGATAACTGGACACCAGCAGCCGCTCTTCAACTTCACTCTACCCAAGTGCAAATCTTTGCTAGAGGATGTCAACTGTTGAAAATTGGTGGTCGTATCGTCTACTCCACATGCTCATTCAATCCTATTGAAAACGAAGCTGTTGTTGCTGAAGTCTTGCGTCAAACCAAGGGCGCTATTCGACTCTTGGATGTCTCTAATGAACTTCCTGGATTGAAGCGTAAGCCAGGCTTAAAAACTTGGAAGGTTACAGACAAAATAGGCAACTTTGTGAATAATCTGGAAGAAGTTGATCAAAAACTACGCAAACGATTCCCACAGAGTGCTTTCCCTCCCACAGAAGCAGAAGCGGAAGAGATGCATTTGGAAAGATGTATTCGTATCTATCCTCACGAGCAGAATACCGGTGGCTTCTTTGTTGCTGTCTTTGAAAAAGTAGGTGCTTTATCAGCTGCTGATCGTATTGCAGCCAAGGATGACAAGAAGGAGATTGACGCTGACATGGGTGAAGAGAAAGAGGAGATTGTTCCTTCCAAGCGCTCTAGTCCCGAAAACGACAGCAATGATGAGAGTGAAGGTGCGGCAAAGAAAGCCAAGACAGAAGACGAAGCAGACGAAGAAGAGGAAGAGGTGAAGCCTTACGAGGGAAAACCCAAAAAGGACGTACCTGGTATCAAGGAGGCACCCTTTGAGCTGGTTCCACCTGATTCGGACGATTTGAAAGACATTACTGAATTTTATGGCCTCGATTCAAGCTTCCCTCGTGATCAATTCTTGTTACGTTCTGAGAATAATGCAAAGGGACGCAGCTTATATTTTGTGTCTAATGCTATCAAGAAAGTACTCGAATCTAAAGACTTTAGTCGTCTTCAAACCGTTAATACCGGTGTTCGTCTCTTTGTTCGTCAATCATCACCCGTTGATAGTGCATCACCCTTCCGCTTAACCTCTGAAGGTCTACCGTTGCTGGATAGCGTCTTGTCTGATAAGCGTAGATTTGAAATTGGCTTGGATGAATTGCGTGTGCTACTTGTAGAAGCATTCCCCACATTAGATCGTTTCCCCGAGGCAAAAAGAGAAAGATTGGAAAATATAGCGCCTGGTTGCTGTATTGTTCGTTTAGACGAAGAAGGTTGCAAGAAAGCAGAATTTGTTGGCTCACTCATTCTCCCGGTATGGAAGGGCAAGCATTCGCTTAACGTCTTGTTAAATAAGAAAGACAAGAGATCGTTATGTGAGAGATTATTTAATGCTATACCCGAAGCAGCACCTGAACATCTTGTAAAGAAATCAACTGAAAATCAAGCTGCTGCAGACGCTGCAAGAAGAACAAACGCACCTCAAGAATAAGAAAAAAAAAAAAAGGCAACTATTTAATAGATCAATAACAATTAACACTTTAGTTGATTTTCTATGTCTTCTTTATTGTTTAAAAGACAACATGTAATAATACATAAAATGAGCTTGATATTTTTGAATATAAAATAAATGTGGACAGCACTTATAAATAACACGTAGCTGAAAAAGTTGTTAGAGACTTCATATACATAGTCTGATCTTGATTTCTTTTTCTTTTGTTTCTTCTTTGGACCAAAAAGTAAGACCAGCTATTCCCCAGCTATTCCCCAGCTATCCCCCAGCTAGCCCTAAGGTATATTACATTCTTTACTCTTGCAAGAAACTGATATGTAGTATTATAGATCATAAAGTGGAAAACACTACCGGTGTTAACTGGTGGTAGCTTGGTTCTTACCAAACCTTTATCTTATCCGCTTTCTTTCTTGCTCGCTTCTCTTTTCTCTGGCTTGCTTCTTTTTTTTCCCCCCTTCTTTCTCCGGACTGGTTATCGCCAGCCCTATTTAATGCACTTCGGATAAGATGTTAATAATCTCTATAAGTTTACTCGCTTTTCTTGCTTCTCTTTTTTTCTCTTGTAAATCCTCTTCTTTATAATGCAAGTATTTAATATCAACGTAAATAACTGATTTACTAAAAAGCACTTTTATATCTCATTCTTTTGTTTCTGATGAGCTCTCTTTTATTATTAATTTGTTGCTGTCTTTTTTATTATTATTTGTTGTCTGAAATTATCAATGTGCGAATAAAGTGCAGAGTGATGCTATGTAATCCAAACAAACATATATATATAAAAAAAAGATGATATAAAATCGCATGTGTTATTATCTATATATCATCTCGCATTAGGTTATTACTGGGTTCTACTAACGTCGTTGCTAATACTTCTTGTAAAGATGGTTCCAATATGGGTGAAAGGGGCTTTGTGTGTTTATAAAAAAGTAATTTTTGAGGATAGCCCTTTAGCTTTAACAGTATATATTCTTCATACCTCTTGATTGTCTTCATCAAACATTGTCTTTTCACGTTGATGACTACTGTGATGATTTGTGTCTCCTTCATTGTCGTCTTATTTTTGCAGATTATATGTTAGTTGCCGCAGCTTACAGCAAAAACGAAATCTATATTACCTAAGCCAAGCATCTGTAATACTTCGTTTTCTTCTACTGCTACACTATCTTCCAAGTTCGAATACGTTCTACAAAGCGGACAAGAAAAGCCAGGATAATTTTGATTGAGTAAGGGTCGTAAGCATCTATAATGATATATATGAGAGCAAGGGGCAATAAACAAGGCTTGAAATGGTGCTATGCAATATAAGCAAATACAGCACTCTTGGATATCTTCTTTTGATTTTGCTGCATCTGATAATTGATTTCTTAGCTGATGGAACGCGGTAAGATTATAGGTATTGGAGCAAGTTTCCCGCCATTCACGGCGGTTGACTTCCAAACGCATCTTGACTGCTCGATACATGGGCTCTAAACCTCCTTTATAATCAACGCCTAATTGAATGAGATCTCCATCAACAAGTTCATGAGGTTTTGTGCTTTCTGTGTTGGCTGGAGAGAGTCGAATGTGATTGACAAAGGTCCCGCTTGATGAACATGTATCCTTAATATATATCTAACAAAGAAATTGTTAATTACACAAACAAACATATATATATATATTATTATTATTATTACCTTCTTGTCTTCTCCTAGCCATATCTCTGCATGATATCGACTTACTACTTTGCTCTTGAACGAGAGTCGGTCCGATATAACTGTTCGGTCAGAGTATCGGCCCAACTTTAAGGAAGGTCCGCCTACGACCAACTTGCGATCAACGACATCAAATACAAAGCATCGATTGGTGGTGCCTACGTTGGGCACAAGTCGAATATGTACTGAGTTTTCTTCTGGTAGTGATTCTTCTGGTTCAGTTGTATCCATGGCTGTACATCTTGAATTATTCGTTTGTCTTGCCATAGTTTGCTCTTCTTCTGATGGTAAATGTAAGCTTCTAAATTGCCTATTTGTAATAAATGAAGGTCCTGCTATGCTATCCATGATATGAATATCATAAAGGAACATAAAATATTAAAAGGGGAGGGAAAGAAAATAAGGAAAATGAAAAAAGAGAGTAAAATCAAGTCTACCTTTACCCTTTTTTTACCCCCTATATTTATTTATATATTTACACACACATACATATAAATGCGTATTAGAAGCCTAAAAAAGAGAATGCTGTGAGAAAAAAGCAAGATTGATGTATTAATTTTTTACCGTATTTTCTGGCTGCATCACGCTTTGTCTTTCTTTGTTCTGCAAACATGTTGTCCAATTTCTCTCTGTTACTCACCGCATGAGCTGCCAAGGCCATGATGTTATTCTTTTTCAATTGTAATTTGCTTGCTGTCAACTGTTAAGTCGTTAGTGTCTGTTATATACTCTCTTTTTTTTTCTATCCTTACGGAAATTCCATCGTCAAATTTAGGAGCCTGAATCAATGCATGTTGAGCACGCCACTCCTCGCTTGGTAACATGTCTGCTTGATTCACTGTCTTTATTTGTATTTTTTGTTCTCCTCTTGCACGATGACCCACGAGGTGCTGTAACTAAAATATACAAGTTGATGCTTCTTTACGTTATTTACATTTCTTTTTTTTTTTGCTTACGTCGTCTAATTCATTATTATCATCATCGTCGGCTATTGACTGGCTCTCTTGATGCTGTTGCTGATAATAATAATATGCAGATGGGTCTGCTGAGTACATTGCGTTTGGATCATATTCATATGCATCCACTGCTGTCTTTTCTGGCTCTTTGGGCCTTTCAACCGTATATTCTAATCCTAATGTAGGCTGTATAGGTCTTGGTGTGCTTTCGATAACTGGTTCATCTTCCTTTAATTCTTTACCTATTCAGTTATTTAGTTTATGGCTTTTATGTGCTTTATACTACACTCATACCAATACGAAAGAAGGGACCAGTATATTTTTTTGGCTGTTCTTCAACTTGTTCTTCTTCTTCTTCTTCTACTACTGTTGCCGTTACTTCCTCTTGTTTCTTTTCTTCCTTCTTTTCTCTAAGCTTCTTGGCTAATGAAAGAGCCGCAGACGGTTTATCTGCTCCTGTCATAGTCAACCCCCCTCTATTGTTTTTAGGTGCAGGTAATAGATCAGCAATACTGAATCCTGCAGTTGTCTTGGTGCGTTTAACTGGCTTTTGATCCTCGTCATTGTCATCTAGACTATCTGCTGGAAGATCGACATAGATTGATTTCTTTTCTTTTGGAGGAGGAAGGATTGAAGATAGAGTTCTCTTTTGAGGTTGTGTGTTGACGACTTGTTCCGTATCGGACGTTTCTGAGTCGCTGCTATAATCTGGAACGAGAGACATGAAGAGAGAAAAGTAGTTTTAATGCTTATTTTAAAGCTGTAAAAGTTTCTTATGGATTCTGCATATTTAAACTCAGATAAATACACTGATTCTGGTAGTGCGCTTTTGTAACATAAAACGCAATGTTGTCAAAGAGGGTCTGAATAACCATCAGGCAGAAGCTGGTGAAGCCGCTGTCGGCTCATTATTACAGGATTATTGCATGAATTTATCCTGTTCAATTAGAATTGAGCATGATGCGTCTATAAGAACAATGAATTTTGTGGTCAGTCTTTGTTTTGTTCTTCAAGTACCCTTTTACAAGGTGGACTATTTGTAAGGTAAAGACCATAGTTACTCTGTTTGATGTGCAAATTGAATTACTTACGGTGTATATTATGTAAATAGCAAACCACGTATCCTTATGTTCTGCTGTTGTTGATTTCGACAACATGTGTCTATTGCTGAGGCTACACTAAAAAGGTGTTTACTTTTGTCGACATTATATTATCCTGCGGATAAAAATATACGATTTAGCAATAATAATTCTATTATAGTACAGACCATCGAGTTACCTGTTGATGCTGCTTCCTCCATGTATTATTATAATGTCAGAGACTTTCTCATATGCTCTGAGCTTTGTAACGTCGAGGTCAAGCCGTCGTACACTAAGGGTGCTATAATCTCTATGACCTATGTAAGTAATTCTATTGTCTGAAATAACAGGAATCATTAATTAATGATCAATCTTTTGAATTGTGTAGGACTTTAGCAAGGTCAATGGTTTGATCAACGAAACATCATGTTGTTCCTGCCATACCAACCATGGGGAAGAAACTTGTATATCAAACGTAAAAAACTTGGATTGAATAAAGTTGTCAACTGAAGATCAAGCTTAAGCATCCGTTTAAACTCGTTATTTTTTAAAATAATAGGACGCATGATAAAAATAATATATCTTTTCCAACCGAGGCAGGTGAAAAAGAGGAAATTGATCCCTTACTGGATCAAGAGTAAAACAAGTGGCAGGAAAGATGATGTAAGAGAAAGTGTATGATGCATTAGTGTGAGATGAAGAAGAAGGAAGCCATTCGATAAACGTCTGTCCGAGATGAAGTGGCGGATGCTTATTGTAATATGAGGTCTTTTGATAGATAGCATGCTCAAAAGGAAGAACAGCGAATCAGAAATAGCTTAGGGCATCTAGAGACAATGAACGGAATGAATATTTATTACGGAATTGTTAGGGTGACGAGGACAGGTTTTATAGTGGTCACCTGGGAGCCAGCCCAGATACCAACATATGCAGCGACTCCTTTCAGACCTGATCATGGATAGCCAAAGGATGGGATATAAAGTGATAGTTAGGCAACAGCATAGAATAAGAACAGAGGCATGCATGGAGCGCTTGTGGTTGAGATTGTCTTGACGGAACTTCCGTTGCATCAATCGAAATAAGCGACGATCAAGGGATTCTGGATATTTGGAGCATTGTTCCCAAATGCAATATATTAGTTTGAATATAGGGTAAAATATGCTTTTATTGGCCAATAACATACACGCATACATAAGCCATATTCACAAATCTTTACGCAAATTGATTCTGTTCTTTTTCTCTTCATTCCACAGGCTTTTTTTTTGGTAGTATGTGACGGTCTCCAGTCACAGAACAGTAAATTTTTGGCTCCGAAGACAACAAGTTTTTTTTTTTTTTTTTTCAAGGCAAAACTTTAACAGAAAGAGCTGTCATTCTTCTTTTTCTTGTATTTAGACACAAGCTTTTATCTGTAAATTCAAATACGCAACTTCTTTTTCTTTGTTTACAATTTATTCTTTAAAGACAAGACTTGTTGAAAAATAGACAAAAAAGCTTCCCCTTTGATCAAACCATAATACATCTAGATCATGCCTTCTGTCGATACAAAAAAGGCAGCTATAGCCACAACTGCTGAAGATTCCTCAAAAAAATATGAAGCACCTAACAAGATTGTGCTATCAAAAAGCGCTGGTGGTAACATTTCACAATATCCAGTTGAATTCACCAAAGATTCAAAGTAAAAAAAAAAATGATTGAAACAATCAAGAAAAAGAAAGCTAATGTTATACAATAGATACTTTTTCACAAGCGTCCATTCTAGTGTTAAAGTATACAGTATGGCTACAGGCGCAGTCGTCAAAGTTCTTTCCCAATCACCATCGACAGGAGGACATTCAGACAAGATCACCTGTGTGATACTGAATCCAAAGAATCACCTTCAGTTATATACTGCAAGTTTAGATGGAACGATCAAATTATGGGACTATAATGACAATATCTTGCTAAAGACATACATTGTTCGATCACCCATTGAATTCATGGTCATGTCACCAGAAACACCCAATTATGCTTATATTGTTGTGAAAACAAATGATGGTAAGAGTCAAAGCTTTAAACAAGACAGATAGAATTAACGTAAAGTGTAGAAGAAAACAATTCAACCATTTACCGCTATACATTTGGAGATGACAACGCTACTCGTCGGCGCATCTATTCATTAGAGGATTGCAGCTCGCTTGACGTCACAAAGGATGGTAAGTGGTTGGCTTTTGCCGCTCGATACAAAGCCTATGTCTGGCCCGTGAATGAGGAAATGGATGAAGTACCTGAGTCCCAAGTATTTGAACATACTTTCGTCGAATACCTCACAGTCCTTAAATTCCACCCTGAGAAGCCTATTCTGGCAGTGGGTGACAGATCTGGAAAGATTACACATATTGCAAACTACAAATCAGAAGACGAAAAGGACCATATTCGATCTATTCATCATTGGCACCATCTTCCTGTAAGATGCCTTACGTTTATGGCTGATGGATCTTATTTGATGTCTGGCGGTGAAGAAGCTGTATTGGTCATTTGGCAACTAGACACAGGTCATAAGCAATTCTTACCTAGATTGGGTGGCAGTATTGATTTCATCACCATTTCTCCAAACAACCGATTTTACTGTGTTGGATTAGATGATAATTCGATTCGGTTAGTCAACAGCATTACCCAAACAATCGAGCAAGTGATTCAAGGTCTTCAATATGCACAAGTGCATCACTCAGCTAACCCTCTCACGACCGGTTTGGTGATTGAACCTCGTAATCACCATATTGTCATGAATGGAGTACCAGGAAGTATACAATTCTATGATGTCAATACAGACAGTCATATTATGGATCTGGAAGTAGTACCGATGAATCGTGTGGTTCGAGCTGGAGAAAAGGAAATTGTGAATGCCCATGTGATGCATGTCGCATTCTTACCCAGCGGTGAATGGATGGCAACAGTAGATATGCGTGATGATAAGGTGACTACGCCTGAATTGTTCTTGAAGTTTTGGAGGTGGGACCCTGATACCCAGGCATATAAACTACACACACGAGTCGATTACCCACACACAGAGCCAATCACTTCCCTCGTCTTCAATCCTGTCTCTCGACGTGGTCCCATGGCTATTACAACTTCCAAAGATAAATCTTTCAAAGTATGGAGCCTGAATGCCAGTCAACCCAACACAGAGGCAGTGTGGATGTGTCGTTCAGTAGGTGTTTATCGTGATAGTGAAGCAAAAATTGCAGCATTTTCAGAAGATGGTAGTGTCTTGGCTGTGGCATTTGATCAAATCATCACCCTATGGGATCCTTATCTCAACTCCATTCAAGCCGTGCTGGCACAGCCTAACCCTGAGAGCATTGAAAAGCTGAGCTTTCTGGGTGACAACTGTCCGTTTATGATTGCCATCACTAAATCACATCTGTATGTTTGGAATCTGCTAACATGTAAAGTTTGGTGGAGCTACAAAATATCCGTGAACCACTATGCAGTAGACACGGCCTCCAATCATTTTGCGATCGTCTCCAACTCTCCAAAACTGAATCAATCTCGTATCATTGTCTTTGACCCCAAATCACACATCCCCATCGCTCTTCAGCAACACAGTAATACAACATTAGCTATTTCATGGCTTGCAAAAGAACAAGATGAATCATTTGGCTCCTATAGCAATCTTGTGTGTCTGAACAACAAGTATGAAATATCTATTTATTCTATACGATCAGCAGCCTCATTGAAGAACAAGAATGAAGTTACGGCTATTTTAGAAAATAATGTGACGCTTGAAGACATCAAACACACCGACCGCAACTTGCTGAATGAGATGTATGGTGCACGACAAGATGAACGTGAAACAGAAGAACAGGTTCGTCTGCGTCTGAGCACGGCACAGCAGATGCGTGAGGAAGCCATATCAGCTAGTAAAAAGGAAACAAAGGCCAAGCGAAAGGAAGATGGTTTTAGTGGCGACATGACTGGATTATCTGCACCTAGCCATGTTCTTCCAAACGTAGAAACATTATTTGATACCTTCATGTCCTCTATCATGGCTCTTCGCATTGAGCATGAAAAGCCTACAGTGTCACCAGCCACAGTGACTTCGATGGAAATTGATGAAGATAGTGTGTTTGATAACCAAGAAGAGAGTATGGACATGCTGATAGACGGCAGTATTGTCAATCCTCCTGAGCAAGATTTCCCTTCATTAGTAAAATATCTCTCTGAAGAATTAGGTGGAAAGCCATTAGATAAAAAAGCTATAGCTGCTACCAATGATTCTTCTTCTAGTGAAGATGAATCAGAAGAAGAAGAAGATCCTTCAAAGATTGATTGGTAATCTCTTTTTTTAATATAGAAATTTCTTTTTTTTTGTGTAAAAAGCAATAAATCACGTAAATATATGTCAACCAAGATATTTCACCGTCTATTTTTTATTAATAAAGATGTGATCATTAAAGAGCTCTGGTTACAGATGTCATGTCCTTTTTTGTATATCTATCCCACTGTGTCTCAAGATCATGTATCCATGATACGATCAGTGTTAACCGGTCCATAAGAGAATCTATTTCTAGTAGCCTGTATCGGTCTTGATTGGCTACAGGTAAAATAATAGCAGCCCACCAACAGAAAGATATCGGATCATTGGGAGAAGGTAAAGGACCATGAATGTTTTGAACAGACTGTAGCCAGACAGGACCCAGAAGCCCCTGCACCGCGTTACAAAATGAGTAAGAGGGATGACTACAGGAAAGGTCAGTGATGAAGGCATGAACACGGTTGGCCAATTCAGTTGTAGAGCTTGATCTATTGGGTACTTTAGTTTCCTTTGGGTTTATTGTCTCAAGCTTTAATTCAATATCGGCGATCAAATGATCCTCAGCTGCCTTGTGTATCTGTCTTGCTACAAATCGATCGAGTCCGATAATGTCGATGAGGATATCATCGCTCTTGTTCTCTACCCCAGTGATCTTGGCAAGGATACCATAATGACCCGTATGTGTTGATTTTGGTTTGTATGATATGGCTAAACAAAGACATTGCAGTTCCTTGCAAATGAAAACAGCGGCATGTATCATGGCTCTGTTATAAAGTGTGTAGATGGGTATACGGATCTTTTGAGAAGGGAGAATAGGAAAGTCAAAAATAATGATGGGTATATGGCTGTATCGTCTGTTGGGATCTGATAATGAAATGGTCTGGATGTCTGATTCGCTTGGTATGTCCAATGTATCAACTGTAGACTGCTCGGCCCTGTAAAGCGATTGAAGTATCCCATCGATTGTACAAGTTACTGGTTGATGTTGTATAAATTGGTAACTGGGCAGTCTCTTTTGACACTTGGGGCACGAATTAGTTGTGATCTTTTGCCAAAGTAGACAGAGTCTACAGAATGCATGACCACAGTGATTGGTAACAGGAGATTTCAATAGATGCGATCCACTGCTTGATGAACACATCAATGCATTTGATATAGTCCTGTAAGCTTCTGCTGAGGATATCTTGTCTGATCTTTGACTCAAACACAACTTGATCGTTTCATCTTCATGTAGGCTAGGGCCAAATAGATGTTTGTCTTTGACACAGCTTGGTACAGGACATATAAAGCTCTTGTTCTCTGTTGCTCGCACTGTTGATGGCAGGCATGGCAGGCATATAGTGTATCCACAAGATAGTGTGATGGGTACTGTTAATGTACTTGAGCATACAGAGCAACGGAATAATCCGATGGTCATTTTTCTTTGGCTCTGACTTATTCAAGAGATAAAAAGAAAGGAGGGGGACTATATTATATGATCATCTGTTGTATCCAAAGCGATTATTTTCTTTCAAATCAAATACTGTCTGCATAATTCTCGATTTATAAAAAATAAAGCTAGATAGAACTTTAAATTACCGATTAAGGATGTACTAAGCTATGGTCACTACAAAATGTCTAAAAAATGATAATTCCAGACAACAAAAATTATAAAGAAGAGGATTTACAAGAGAAAAAAAGAGAAGCAAGAAAAGCGAGTAAACTTATAGAGATTATTAACATCTTATCCGAAGTGCATTAAATAGGGCTGGCGATAACCAGTCCGGAGAAAGAAGGGGGGAAAAAAAAGAAGCAAGCCAGAGAAAAGAGAAGCGAGCAAGAAAGAAAGCGGATAAGATAAAGGTTTGGTAAGAACCAAGCTACCACCAGTTAACACCGGTAGTGTTTTCCACTTTATGATCTATAATACTACATATCAGTTTCTTGCAAGAGTAAAGAATGTAATATACCTTAGGGCTAGCTGGGGGATAGCTGGGGAATAGCTGGGGAATAGCTGGTCTTACTTTTTGGTTCAAAGAAGAAACAAAAGAAAAAGAAATCAAGATCAGACTATGTATATGAAGTCTCTAACAACTTTTTCAGCTACGTGTTATTTATTAGCGTTAGCCACATTTATCTTCTCTTCCCTCAAAAAGACAAAATTCAGTGCCTTTTTAATAATAAAGAAAGGTTTAATAATCAACTAAAATGTAATTGTTACTGATCTTGTAATGTGCGAATAATTTCTATGAATATAATTCGACTTCATCATGAACAAGATAAAAAAAGAGCAACTCAAACCGTCTGTCAATAAAACTATTTATACTATGAAACAAGCCTTTTCTGTGTAATGACCCGCCAATATCACGGCTTAACAGAGTGTCTCGTGTTTGCAGGAACGTGAATCAACTTCCGCAATCTGAGAGTAAAACATTGATTTTCAGTGTACGCACACACAAGTTGCTTTTTTTTTTCCAGTGTGTAAAGATATGGATTTCTCGTATTGCTTGACTAAAGATGTCCAATTGCCTGTTTCGATAAGAATGTAACTATTCATCATACATTGCTATAAACACGAGTTAATCGATACATAGCTCAACATTAGAAGGACAAAGTGGCACATGGAGAATCAAAGAGTAAACAGAAGAAAAAAAAAAAAAAAGAACACAGTAATCAGATGGATCGATTGACGTTTGTTAGATGAAATAGTAAACCATTACCAGACCTCTATGTTACTGTTCAACTCTTTGGTGATAATAAACCATTGACGGTGCCTGTGAGGACAAGTTACAAGGCATTTAAGAATCATTGGAGGTTTGACAAAAAGAATTTGTAAATAACTATTGTTTATTCCCTTATTAGCTGGAACGAATGGTTAACACTCCCAATCAAGTATTGTGATTTACCTGCTTCAGCACAGTTTGCTATTACAGTATGGAAAGCGAATGGACCGCGTAAGGTGCAACCCGTAGGCGGAACAACAGTTCGAGTATTTGGGAAACACTTGTAAGTTTATCAAATTGAAGTTCTGTTCATTTTCTCATGCATGACGGATAGTACATTAAGGAAAGGTAAACAGAAACTCCATTTGTGGCCAGATCGAGAGGCAGATGGAAAGCAAGATACGAGCACACCAAGCAAGATAAAGGCAAAGGATGGTGACGATATGAACAAATTAGAAAAGGTAAAGTAAAGGTTTATAAAGAACAAATAAGTGTGGTTGATAAAAAAAAATTTAGCTCGTGAAAAGATATGACTGTGGTGATATTCGTCCCGTAGAATGGTTGGATAACTTGGCATTTAGACAGATTGAAAAGATACATAAAGTAAAGCTGCATAATAAGTAAAGCAGAAGACTTTCTTATACATTATATTAGAATGCATCTGCTACACTTACCGAGCTTGCTCTCTATGTTGACCTTCCAAAGTTTGATTTTCCAGTCGTCTTTGGTGAAATGGTAATACATAACGGATATAGTTACTGAGAGAGTTAAATTCTCCTTTTTTTTTTCTTTTTTTTTTTTTTTAGGAATACACACTACCTACTCCATTTATCACAGATGATGCTAATAATGAACCTCAGCAACTGGTAACAGCCATGAATCAGCCTATTCACTCAAGTGATGCCGAGTTATTGTCGATCAACTATTCAATCGTACTTGATCCTGATCTGCATCGAGATAATCCAGTAGAAGCAAAACACCGTAGACTGGTTAGAAGTCATCGTAGTGGGCCACTGGATCGTGACCTAAAACCAAATCCAAAGATTCGAGATGAGCTAAACGTAAGCAAAGGAATACGCCCCTCCTTCTTTTGTTAGTTAACTGTTGCTGTTTGTCATTAGAGCATTATGTCTTATCCACCTACACAAACATTAACTTCTGAAGAAAAGGACCTGATTTGGAAATTCAGATTTTATTTAACAAGAGATAAAAGGGTACATGAAAAATTATATACATTATTAGAGTGTGCTCAACTGAATTATATATGTTAGGCATTGACAAAGTTTTTAAAGTGCGTTGTCTGGACAGATTCTACAGAAGTGAGACAAGCGGTGGATTTATTACCTCTTTGGGTTGATATTGATGTGGATGACGCACTGGAGTTACTAGGCAAAGAGTTTCAAAATAGAGCTGTTCGTTCTTATGCTGTCAATCAATTAAAGAAGGCAGATGATGACGATCTACTGCTATATCTTTTACAACTTGTACAGGCTCTCAAGTTTGAGCACTACAACGACAAAGGCATGGATAATGATTCATCTCTAGAAAGGTTTTTAATCAGTAGGTCCTACAGCAACCCGGTATTAGGAAACTACTTTCATTGGCAAGTATTCATCAATACCGTAGAAAGTGCTCTTATTGACTTGAAATTAGGTATGTTATGGTCGAATGTGAGGATCCTGCAGTACACAAGATGTACGCCAAGGTGACATATGACTACTTTAATGCACTTATGGAAGTACCAAGAGGATATGCCAGAAGAGAAGAGCTACGACAGCAGGGCACACTTATTCAGACTCTATCTCAACTATCCAAAGAGATTCGGCTGATGAAGGAAGGAAGGGCCAAGAAGGTTGAAAAGTTACGGTCTATTGTTGCTGATCCAAAGGGCCAACTTCATTCATTTCCACCGCTTCCATTACCGCTAGATCCTACCAAGCGAGTGTGTGGTATCATTGCAGAAAAATCAGGCATTTTCAACAGTAATCTTCAGCCACTGAGGCTAACATTTGTATGTGAGGATAAGAGTGAATACCCCATCATCTTTAAGACTGGAGATGACTTGCGTCAAGATCAACTTGTGATACAAATCATCTTGCTTATGGATAAATTGATGCAAAAGGAAAATTTGGATTTGAAATTAATGCCATATAAAGTATTAGCTACTGGCTCAGAGCATGGATTGATGCAATTTATTCCATCCATGTCCTTGGCTGCTGTATTAAATGAACATCAGAATAATGTATTGAGCTTCTTTAGAAAGCATCATCCAAGCTCAGAACCAGGTAATGTGTATGGTATTGATCCTCAAGTGATGGAGACTTATATAAGAAGCTGTGGTAAGAGAGACACATGAACAAAAGAAATTTGTATATCTTATTGATTCCAAACTAGCTGGCTATTGTGTCATAACATACCTGCTTGGTGTGGGTGATCGTCACTTGGATAACTTGCTACTCTCCCCTGATGGGCATCTATTCCATGTTGACTTTGGGTTTATCTTGGGCAGAGATCCTAAGCCTTTCCCTCCGCCTATGAAGTTATGTAAGGAAATGATCGAAGCTATGGGAGGAGCAAACTCGCCTTACTACATAAACTTTCAGCAATACTGCTATACAGCTTTTACAACTCTTCGTAGAAATGCTAATTTGATTCTAAACTTGTTTGCTTTGATGGTAGACGCCAACATACCAGATATCAAGATTGAACCGGATAAGGCAGTATTAAAAGTACAAGAAAAGTTTAGACTTGACTTATCAGAAGAAGCAGCCATCTCCTATTTCAGAGGATTGATATCTGAGAGTGTCAATGCGCTCTTTCCTCAGATCATGGAGACAGTACACAAGTGGGCACAATATTGGAGACGCTGAAATAAGCATAATAAAGAGATGTTGTATGAAAACTCAGTGGACCTCATATTTGTTGTAAAATTAGCTTTTATAAAGTGTGATTTGATATGTCATCCGCATTTTTGATAGACTAGATCATTCTATATGCTGTACATAAAAGAATGTGAGTCATTGTGTATGTATACGGTGTGCAAAATGGTAAAAATGGTTCCTGTACGCTTTACTAGACTGCTTAAACTGTGTAACAGCAGTGGATAATGCAGAAAAAAATGTCAGTTTTCGGGAAAAGCTTGTATTACTTGCGTGTTTAATCACAAGGTAGACGCACTGTAGACCAGTCTGAGCCGTAAAAGAGAAAAACTAACCACTTCCGACACCTTACGCGTGTTTTTGCGCGTTGTCATGCTGTTGCATGTCGAAGGGCCTTTGTCTTTTTTGCAATAAGTAAGAGCAAATGCTGGATGAGATATAGAATGTCTATTGCATCGACAAATGAAATAAAGGTGGAATAAACATAGCTGGCCATAGCATAGGTGTTAGTTGCGTAAAAGCTTTGGTTAAATAATATTGCTTGGCATGACTATATTCTCTGGCAAAAAGGATTGATGCGCCAGAGAGAAAAACGGCCTTTGATAGTGCGACGTATGATAATCAGCATAAATGACGGATGTCGCAAGTCAATTCCTACATGTTTGAGCGATTGGCCTTGAGACTTGTGTATGGAAATAGAGAAGTATAATTTTACAGGAAATTGCTTTCTTGTAAGCATAAATGACATATCTCTTTCCAGCATTGAAAGTAAATCACGGAATAATCTCAATCTGGACATCGTTACATATCGACCCACATTGGCATATCCACACAGAACGATGCAGACCGACCAACATAGGCACAGGTCGACTCACATCGACACAGATGTGGTTTGTTCCTCAGACGAACCCTAAGTATATACTGTCCAGTGTGCACCATGATCAGTCGATGCCGTTACAATGGCCTTTTTTCTGGATCAATGTTTTTGAAGAGCATAATCAGCGCACCAGTCTTTAATTCTAGACGTGAAAGGGAATACGGTAGGATTTAAGCTTTGAAGAAACTCTGCAGGGATGTTGTGCAGGCAATCAGCATCGTTGATATCAACACAATCAGTTGACAAAAGTGTAACCTTTTCACCAGGCATTTTTTCTAACAGGATTCTGCTGATGCTTTCATTGGCAGAAGGAGTTCAGGATTTGAAGGGGGGAAATCGTTTCTGAGAGAGTTGATATTACCATGGCAATTGAGGTGGACGGATAACGATAAAGAGATTGAAACCGACCGGTTTAACGGGCAGGAGAAACTTGGGATAAACACTTACGGAGGGAGATGTTTTATTGCTTGAGCTAAGCTATCTCAGCCGTGCTAGCAGAAAGTACTTGTAGTTACTTCATAATTAGAATAGTATCAACTTGGCTCTGAAAATACAAAACTGGTTTTGATTGGCAGAATAACCCAAGCGTTACCAATGAAACATTTTATCCAAGTATGGAAAATCCTTTCACTGGCCAGAATGACTCACTATTGAACACAATAGTAAAGATAATGAAAGGTTTGTGGCATCGAACAAAGAGATTCAGAAACAACTACTCTCAATCAAAATGGCTAAGAATATAAAATCATCTAAAGGGAAGAAAGATAACGAAAAAGATAATCGAAACATAACCAATTGTTTATTAAATCTAGACTTTTTTTTTTTCACTTAGTTTGGTTTGTCCACATTTTGCTGCGCCAAGTCCTTTCCAGGCACTTTGGTCAAATCAGTCATCTCCGTGTTTTCGCTTTTTGCGGACATTTAAGCGAACACTAATTGAAAGATTGCCCATGTGACTGCTGTCATTAGGCATTCTTTTAAAACTATAAATACCACAGAGCTTTTTATCTACATCATTATCTTTGATTAAACTCTGAATATGACCATCAAAATGTTACAGATCGATTCCAGTTACGCCTCAACTCTCTCAGAAATTGGTGCAAAGCTTTTTGCGGAAACGTTTGGTGACGCCAATACCCCTGAAGACCTCAAGGAATACCTCGAATCAGCCTTTACACCAGAAATTCAAACACAAGAATTGAACGATCCTTCCATCTATACGTATATGGTATTCGATGATGAGGATAAACCGGTTGCATATTGCCAGTTGAGGCAGAATAAAACGGTGTATGACTTTGTTGGTGATCCAGAAGCAATAGAATTATGGCGAATCTATGTTGACAAGCGATATGCCGGAAAGGGAATTGGAAAGAAGATGCTTACGCAGTGTATCTCCAAGGCAAGAGAACTCGGCAAGAAAACAATCTGGCTTGGCGTTTGGGAATTCAATCCATCAGCAATCAGGTTCTACAAGAGTCAAGGCTTTCGAAAAGTCGGTGCTCATACTTTTAAACTGGGTGATAAACTGGATACAGATGAAATCATGATCTTAAACATTTAGAACGATATAGAAAAATAAATAATATTTATTATGCGAAAAAGATCTTGTCTAATGCTTGCTTTACTTCGTCGCTAACGTCTAAAAGTGGAGGAGGGCAGTAACCGACGGGAACGCTTTTCTTACGTAAGATGTACTTGATGCTTGGAACCATTCCCGCTATTTGCAAAAGTTGAATTCCAGGGGCAATGTTTTCCCAGATTTTTTTGGCTTGCTCGATTTGATTTTTCAGTAAATGATCAACAATACTCTTGCATTGATCCGGATAAACATTTCCGGCAATCGATGTTATTCCAGTGTATCCTTTCGTTACGAATTGGTCAATAAAGTTTGAATCGCTCCCGGTAAAGAAGCTATATGTGTCTACAGTGTCCCCCAAAGCAGGCTTGATTTTGTTTACATTTTCAGGATTTCCGGCTTCCTTTAGTCCGCAGACATTATCAACTGTTTTCGCAATACGAACAAACGTCTCTGGTTCCAAGTCGAACCCAGTTCTGGGAGGATTGTTATAAAGGAAGATGGGCAATTCTTTTGCGCTTTCTGCGACTTGCTTTACGTATGTCTCAGCTTCTGCTTGTGACGGGCGGCGATACGGAGGGAACCCGAGCATTATGCCCGAAAAACCGGCTTCTTTTGCTGCTTGTGCTAGTTCCTTTGCATCTTGAGTCTTGAATGCAGCAACGCCTGCGTAAAGTTGACATCTTCCAGCAGCAGCCTTTGCAACCAAGTTATACAACTGCTTGCGCTCTGCAATGGTCATGCAGTGTTGTTCGCCTGTCGACCCGCTGACAAGTAAACCAGGGATATTTTGATCCAGATAGTATTTCACCACAGCTGGTACAGAAGCCACATCAAGACAGCCCTCTTGGGTGAATGGAGTGACCATTGCAACTGAATAAGGAATAAATTGTGCCATTGTATAAGGATAAAAGCAACACGAAAAGTAAAGAATAAAAAACGGGGCTTGACGCTTTGCTTAAAACCTTGACGGCTGACTAAGAAGTAGCCAATGAAAACAGTTCTTAACCACTAAACACAAACAAAAACAGTAGAAGCACAAAAAACTAAAAAGGAAAAAGGGAATTTATCCAGGCTGCCGAGGATTGCACTGCTGATCATTTTTTTAAGACCGACCAAAATCATTGTCTGTTGATGAATAGAAAGCTGTCATGGTTGCATACTTTATCAATATATCACTCAAGATGGTTATCCTATAATTTAACCCGTAGTCACCTATATATTTGATTATTAGCTGAATTTGCTACATGATATTGATAAAGCATGAGCCACAAAAGGTTTTTATAAATATCTAAAAAATACTATTGACTCTACTGCAGAATATCTTTTCGCTTGATGTCTCAAGACAGTCACCGCCTTTGAACTTTACTACATGAAAGATTGACGGTGGTTTATTTTTTTATAGCTGTTTGTGCTATCGTAAAAATTTAAGCTTTATTCGTGTTTTTTGTCAATTGCGGCCTCTTTTAATGAAGGCAAAAGAACATGAATATTCTTTAATTTATAATTGCTTTACATGAGCATATCTTTATCTCATTAGTAAAAAAAAAAAAAAGGATCATCTCACATATATTCATATCTTCCATTACATTAAACTGAAACAAATTGAAGAAAGAAGGCATACCACACGTTTTGCTGCGGTGATTGAATATTTCAGCATCTGGGGTAATTGTCCTTCCCTTAGTTTTTGCTTATAAAGAATCCCACAAAAGATATTAAAGGAAAAGAAAGAGAAATAAGTATTAAAGAAAGAAAAATAAATAAAAGGGAATAAAATGACAAGGTTCAAGTTAACGTTGCCCTGGTGATAAAAACAAGGGCAAATATTCCTTTTTAAAAAGGAACTGAGCCCTTTCATGGGACTGTCAGGGTCTAGGGGAGTAAAAAAAGAAAAGCGGAGATAGAAAATATGATTTTTGAAAGTTTGAATTCTAAGAAAGGATCTATTTCATCATTTACATTTCTTTTTCTTCTTTTCTTCTTTATTTTCTCACTTTACAATAAAAATGATTGAATTATCCAGCTTTTTAATACCCAACTCAGCTGGTCGTCATATCAACCTACTTAATGACAACAATCATGACTTTCAACCACCGGATTCTCGTTCCGACGTGATGAAAACAAACTCACAAAAGATTATCAGTGAAGATGGAAAACGCAGGTATGCTTGTACTGCACCTGGTTGCAATAAAGTATTCACTACAAGGTAAAACATATTTAACTACTTACAAATGATTAAACTATGATTTAGCGGTCATTTGTCAAGACACAATCGTATTCACACAGGGGAAAAGAACTTTCCATGTCTCTTCCCAGGCTGTCAATCAAGGTTCTCTCGTCAGGATAACATGATGCAGCATTACAAAACACACATGTCGATAAGGACAAAAAGAAGAAAATCGCCTGTAGTGACAGACATTACGTATCTAAAACCAAAGTTATATGCACATCATGAAATTGATTCAAATTCTCTTGATCGTCCATTGACCATTGATCAGCATTTACATGTATACCGCATAAATAAGCAAGTACAAAACCATCCCTTGAAATACAACATGCCTGAGCCCTTAAGCTCAGTGGCTGCAGAGCGTGTGTCGAGACGTATGAGTATCAAACCAGATGAACAGCCATCTACTAGTTTACATCAACAAAAGAAAAATTTAAGTAGGCTGACATTCTATGAGCATACCACTCTTAGCTATCACAAGGAGCTGAGTAAGCTTCCTTATCCGTTCACTCTCCTACATCCAGATAAAAAACAAGATGTACAGCAACAAAAAGATCATTATGTATCACCTGTACTAAACAAGCGTGCTAGAAACGAGTCACCTCCAAAGGAGCACCACTCAGAGCAAACGCAATTTATACCACCTACATTTAGCGGATCTCATTTGGCATACATAACAAGTACACTTGATTAAGACACGTATCTAATAAACATACATCAAAAGATTTATAAATGCATTGGAAGAGATTACAATCGGATTTTGAAAACAAGCAGGTTGTGACTTGTGACTTTTTTTCTTGAAGCTGCCCAGGTTGTAACCCCCCTTCTCTCTCTCTTTCTTTCAAATGAATATGCTTCGATTATTCAACTTTTCAAAGAACACATTAAAGCCCATGGAATGGGCTAGACAGCTGTCAACAACTAGTGCATGTAGAAAATCAAAAAAAGTTGTGGGAGATAGTCCTGAACCCCCTGTGATGCCAGCAGTAGTAGGATCCACCATTCTTCAACCTAAAGAACTTCCCAACTCTCTTAATCCCTACCTTGGCCGATCTATTGGCAATGTGCATAATCCTAATATCGCTTATCGTCGTTTAAACAATATTTTGATGCAAAACAACGTTCGTAAGGAACTACGTGCTAATCTTCGTTATGAGAAACCTGCTGTAGCCAGAAGACGAAAGAACATGGAGCGTAATAGAAAGTTGTTTGGTGCTATGGTCAGCAAGAAGGTTGCTCTCATTATGCAAATGAAGCAAAGGTAAAAACAAACATTGAAAGAAATAGAAAAAGGAGACTAATAAGTAACAATAGAGGAATGTAATACTACTATCATCAGAGTCATTAGAGAGTGTATATTTATATAATAAAAAAGAAGGAAAGAATAATACTTTTACATTTATATTCAAGTGTGTGTGTGTATACATTACTATTATTATTATTATTATTATTATTATTATTATTAATAGCCTAATCCAAGATTGACAGGTTTGTTGATGCCTTCCATACGGCACAGCTCTCGTACAATAAAGTGCCAGGCATCTTTCTCGAGACCAACACGGCGACCATACTCCCAAAGTTTCTTTCGTTTGTATTCATAGGTTGCATCATCAATGTTTCTCAAAATTTCATCCAAGCGGTGTACTTCATCTCGTCGCACCCGTACAATAAACGAGTCCCAATCAACGTCAAATTCAAATGGCTCGATGATACCATCTGCGATCACGACAGGTACTACACCAAATGCCATAAATTCCCAAATACGGGTGGTATCCAGAGTCCAGCCCATGGGACTCAGACCATACTTTGCTCGAGCAAGCTTTTGCAAATACTCTTCATCAGCTAATGTATTACCGACCTCATATCCTCGATATTTGGAAAAATAGTTGAAAAAGAGATATCGGATGCCATTTGAGTATTCATCTGTTTCCTTAACATTATCACAACAACCTTGAAAGAGAACAAAGATATCTCTTTTGCCTGATTTTGGATGGCCTTCGTTTGTGAGATAATCTAGAGGATCAGCACGGAGATGGTGGATCATTCGAGTGGCTGAAGGAATCACAATGTCACGGTGATAACGGTGTCTATGCATCCATTTGGTTCTTTTGTCTCCTACTGTCTTGAGAAATATCGCAGGTTGAAAGCGAGGGTTGCTCTTATAATAGGTAAATGTCTGATCCATCGGATGGATCATGATGTGGTTTCTACCATTGGACCGGTTCCAATATGGATAGTCATTGATGACCATGTCCATCATCGGATCTACATATTTGCTATCGACATCACAACGTTCGTTCCATTTCCAGTTGTTCTCATACCAGCAGTTATAGAGATAACAACTTCCAAAGAAAGGTATAAAGAAGAAATCGGCTTCATCTGGATTTTCAGTAACGTAGTGATTATAGAACGGACTGGTTGGATCAGTCAGTTGGTTATGGAGAATGATTTCTGAATTGTAGTTGGATTCGTGGCATTTTGAATCTTGAATATGCTTGGACACTTGGAAGCTGTCGGGTGCCTTGTAGACGTATATTTTAGGTTTGCATACGGCCTGTTCTACAGGTGTTGGCCAATACGAAGGCAAGTCTATAACAGGTAAAGGTGGAGCTGGAGTAGCTGGTCTATGTCTTTGGTTGATTATAAGGAATGTGATAAAAAAGATGCCAGTTATCAGCAAGAGAATATATCTCTTGTTGAGCCTTAGAACGGTATTCATTCAAGAAAACAAAAAAAAAAAAAAAAAGGAAAAGGGGAAGAGAGAGATCGAATGAGTGTCACACAGCAATTTACCCTTGGCGGGGAAAATGCAAGGTCGTACTTTAGCATGTTTATCTTGATAAGAGTGTGTAAGCTAAAATTGACCTCTTTTCTCTGACAGTTATGTCTTTAACTACCTAATTTCTAGGCAACAACCTATTTATCCCCTTTACGATGATCAAAATTGGTGGCTTCTTTGATAAAAGTGTGCTTATTTATTGATCCTTCGTTGCCAATCAAAAGGAATATGTGATAAAGTTTTTGTATTATTTCAACATTTTTATTGTAAAGACAAAACAAAGACAAGGTTGCTAAATCATGATAGTAATTTTGTATAAATGACTGTCTTACAAGAGGAAACTACCAGCTGGGGAAGCAAATGGATCTGAGCTCTGACGATCATAGACAACAGTTCCTCTCAAGATCGTTTTATCTACAAGACCATAGAGCTCCTTTCCAACATAGGGAGACAGCTTATTCTTAAAGTAAACCTTGCTTTCTTCCACTTTATAGCTCGCCTCTGGTTGCCAGATGACAAGATCACCATCATAGCCTGCTTGTATCTTACCCTTTCTGCTATCCATTCTTATTCTTCTTGCAGGTGATGAACTAAGCCACTTGACAATCTTTTGTAGTCTAAACGAATATGGTCAAACAACTGTTGGTCTATTCAAACTCTCATCCTTACGTGACTCCGCGATCACGGCCCTGTGACCAGAGAACAGGTAATCCAAACTGCACACTAGCAATACCGCCCCAAGCTGTTCCAAAGTCGCCAGTCTCTGGGTTCTTCAGATCTGCCGTACATGGCGAATGATCACTTACGACGTAGTCAATAGTACCATCTAATAAAGCATCCCAAAGCAACTGACGGTTTGATGCTTCACGAATAGGTGGACTGCACTTGTAGTGTGTGGCGCCATCCGGAATAGATTCAGCCGTAAAATTAAGATAATGGTAGCATGTTTCTACCGTAAGAGGAAGACCAGCTGCCTTTGCAGATCGAATGGCGGGAAGCGCCGAAGCTGCAGAAAGATGCACAATGTGTGTATTGACCGGTTGACCCTTTTCGTAATATTCTTTGGTGAGACGAATAATCATGTCAATTGCATGTGTCTCTAGCGACTCGGGACGAGAACGAAGGTAACTCTCGTACGTACGATCGATTGGACTGGATTCATGTCCATGGCAACAGCCTTCCATTTCGGCATGGAAGAGCAAGACACTATCTGTGTTGACCAATTTATCCATAGCAGCTCTTACTTGTTCCTCATTCACACAAGGGAATTCGTCAACACCACTTTCGATCAAGAAGCACTTGAATCCTCTCACACCTCTTTTGATCAGCTCGGGTAATTCGTCTGCATTATCTGGAATAACGCCGCCCCAAAAACCGATATCTACATGACATTGTTCCTTTGCAGCATTCAGTTTAATATCAAAGTTCTTGACCGTAGTTGTGGGTGGAATAGCATTCAGAGGCATATCGACAACAGTTGTGATGCCTCCAGCAGCTGCAGCCTTAGTACCTGTCTCGAAGCCTTCCCACTCTGTCCTTCCTGGTTCGTTCAAGTGGACTTTATAAAAATGAGTACAAATAAAAGCAAAATATAGTGTCCCTCTTACCGTGAGCATCGACTAAACCTGGCATAAGTACTTGACCTTCTTCCAACTCTATAGTCTCTACATCGTTTTGTTCAACTTTGCTCTTGATATCACCCGTTGTTACTTCAATTATTTTGCCTGTGAGCCTATCTATAAGAATTGTTGCCTGTCCCTCATGGTCAGCTGAAAGAATGACATGTTGTGCTTTGACACATAAATAGCGTGGGATCTCGCTCATTAGAAAGGAAAGAGTATAAAGAAAGAATAAGTGAAAAAAAAAGAAGAAGTTACAAAAAGTATATCAGTACGAGCCCCCCTTTTTAAATTCAAATATATTAGGTATATCAGAACACCCCATCTTTATCTTAAATATACACCTTGTTTTCGTTGCTCCGACCACCGTCGGTTGGTTGTCCTGGAGAGAGCGAAAAATGCATGTGGTAGTTGTGTAACGTAAATGGCATGGCTAATATTTTGTCATTACGACAAATATTCACAGGCTTTATTTTAACTACTGAAAATAACTTGCTTATTTTTAATAATTGAATTAATGCTTCATATTTAAATATAAACAACATCAAATGTCGTATATAGACACAGGGAGCCCAAGTATCAACATATTGCATGATTGAGAGCTCCTTGAGGAGACTGATAAGAGCATGGTACACTTTGAATTTATCATTCATTTCAAAGTATTTGTATTGATACGGTTAAATGGCTGTAATGTGTATATATATAGAATATGACATATGGGCTAATTTCTATTAAACTTTAAACCAACAGAATGAACCATTTGAATAAAGCAACACATTTCAAAATCACAAACAGAACAAAGTGATGAAATCAACCAGCCATAGACTAGCAAAAAGATGTCAATGATTCCTTTGTTCTTGTTTTTTCATGCGCTTAAAAAGAAAGTCTCTGTTTCATGCAATCGGACATTTCTCTCAAATCGCATAGAGACTTACTATATTTGAATAAAGTTTACACAGACGCTTCTCATGTTACAAAAAGTCCCTGAATAAGCAAATGACGTATGTCACAGTAGAGTGAATATAATAGTGGCATAAAACAGAAATCCAGCTTCTTTTTCTTTATACAACATGGTTGAAACTGGAAATACGGATCACTCAATATCTGAACAGCTACAAAATGATTGCTCATTAAAAGAAGAGCAAATTCCAACTCTGTATGGTTCTTACATTGATGAAGCTTCTTGGAGAGTACGAATTGCTTTGGAATGGAAAGGCATCGATTATAAACAGGAATCCATAGACATTGATCATGGAGAGCACGTAAGCCATTTGATCCATCTTTTTACATTTCTTTTAACTTGCTTTTTCTTGTAGCTGTCAAGTCGCTTTTACAAGCTGAATCCATGCAAGAAACTACCTTGTTACATGACAAGAACCGGGAAAATATTAACACAGAGTTTGGCTATTATTGAGTATTTGGAGCTCAATTATCCACGTAAGACATGTACATATCTCTATTTGATTCATCTAAAGGGTTCTCTTTCATTATTTGTAGAACGACCCATGTGGCCTAAAGCAATCTACCATAGAGCCAAGGTAAAGAAGAAATAGACCCAATCAATATGGTGACTAACATACGCAAAGGCTATAGCCATTACTCAAGATATTTGCGATATTCAAACCTCAGAAATCAAAAAGTACTTGAATATGATCGATATGGATCCAAATCAAAGACAAGAAACTATACGCAGAGTAATAGAAGGAGCCTTGGCAGGTGGGGTTTGATCAAATATATAAACAGATGTAAGCTAACTTGTATTATAGGACTAGAGAAAAAGATAAAATGTAGCTCTGGCACGTACTGCATAGGGGATCATATTAGTGTTGCTGACTTCTTCCTTGTACCTCTGCATTTTACTGTCACCAAAAAATTTGGCATCGACATGAAACAGTTTCCATATATTACTAGAATTCGAAATACACTCATGACTTTGTCCGAATTCAAGAATACGCACCCATACAATCAGCCTGACTGTCCTGAGGAGCTTCGAGGCTCTGAGCTGTAACGACCCTTCTCTTTCTTTAGTTAGCAATAGTAAAAACCTTTATAATAAAGCATTAATATCAGTGGCTATGGCCAATATTGAAGAAATACAGAGTCTTTTTTAAAAAACATTTGTTTATTTCTATTAAAAAAAAGGGTATACTAAGCACACCTTTCAAAGGCTGGCAATATTTTAGAATGAATATCCTGTTCATCTTTTATGGATTCTGCCAGACGACCTTGTGCCATCTCTTTTTGTCCTCCACCGCCGCCTTTTACATGCTTTAATAGTTGTTTTAAAATCTATAAAGTGTTATATATAATAATCAAACAAGCATTCGTTTTACTTACAGAATTGGCTGTTTCTGTCTTGATATTTGCGCCATTTAAAGCAACCAAGATGGTGTTATCCTTCAACAAAACATGAACCGATTCAGGTTGACTTTGCTTTAACACATTCGCACGCTTTTGCATAAATTGAGAATCAAGATCCGAATCGATCAAGTGAATCTTGACATCAAGATCTATATGATGGTTTAATACCTCTATTTCTTATTTTTATGACTTGGTTTACCTTTAATCTTGGATCCTATAGGCTTATTCACTATTTCTCCTGCAGAGGCTAGCTTTTCAGTGACAAACTCCACTTGCTTCTGAAGATCCTTTACTTCCTGCATTATCTTTTCTATTTTTACAACCATATCTTTTGTTTCATTGGCCTAAACATTTCTTTTTAATAGACTCTTTTATGCTTCAAGTATAGGCCTTACTCGTAATAACTTTAAAACATCTGGTATAGGACCATAAGCATTTCGGTACCAGTCTATGCATGATTGACCAGCCACTGCTTCAATTCTTCTTGTGCCTAATTCAAGTTAATATATATATCCTAAAAGAGAGATAAACGCCTTACCAGCGGCAACAGAAGTTTCATTTAGGATCTTGAATGGATACAATTTACCAACATCATCCACATGCGTTCCTCCACATAATTCCTTACTGACACCTGGAACATTCACTACTCTGACCACTTCACCATATTTTTCTGTAAATGCAGCTACAGCTCCAGAGTCAATAGCATCTGTCAATTTCATATGCTGGAGGGTAAACATTAAATATTTTGTTGTTGAGAAATATAGTCATACCGCGTGTTCTTACCTCAACACTCGTTTTAGCGCCACTTTGGGCAATTGTATTCACCCAGTTTTCAACTTGTTTAATCTCATCTGGCTTTAATGGCTTGCCATAGGTGAAATCAAAGCGCAGTTTATTTGGTTCGACTGTGGAGCCGGCTTGAACAATATCTTGTGACTTGAGTACCTTTCGCAACCCTGCATTCAAAAGGTGTGTTGCTGTGTGATGCACTTCTGCTCCCTGTCTACGCTGCATGTCAACTTCTGTTCTCACCAAATGTCCTTGCTGCAAGTACTCGGTATCTTCTTTGGCACGTTCTTTATCGACTGGAGAAACACGAAGCACGATGCCTCCTTCATATGGTTGTATGACATCAGTCACTCGCCATTGACTGCCGTTTGCTAACGTAAGCGTGCCTTGGTCTGGCACTTGTCCGCCTCCTAAACCATAAAAAGGACAAGGGTTGATGGCTAAATGGTACTCATTAGCTTTGTTTGTCGGTTGCACAGCCATGATTTCGGATTCTTGATGTAATAGACTGTGATCATATCCGGTGAATTGAGGTTGGACGCCAAAATGTCTCCATTCTATTCGATAATAGCCGTTATTTTCAGTTTTTGATGGATTGTGTGCTGTCTATACCTGAAAGCTTTGCTATATCTGTGACCTTATCGGATTTCCAAGACTCTCTTCCAGCCATCTTTTGCTTTTCCTGCAGCTTCTCCACAGCTATATTTATATTACAATGACTGTAAAATTGACGATTGAATAAACTTACCTTCTATATCCACTGTCCAACCTCTTTCTTTAGCAATAATCAAGGTCAAATCAAAGGGAAATCCATAAGTGTCGTAGAGTTGGAATGCAACATCAGATGGAATTTCCTTTGATTGTTGAAGGTCTGGTTGACTAAAAACGCCTTCTAGCAACGTCATGCCTCTATCCAAGGTTGCTAAAAATGATGTTTCTTCATTCGTAATGATGCTGCAAATGGAAGATGCACGGCTATTTAACTCGGGATACAAGTCGCTGGGAAAACTCTTTAATAAGGAAGGATACAGGCTGGACAAGAAGGGCTCTATCATGTATATACGGTTGGCTTAAGGAAGAGCTGCTGTGACAAGCGCTTACCATGAATGCCTAGTTGCCTTGCAGATCGAAGCGCACGTCGGATAATACGTCTTAGTACATAACCTCTACCTACATTACTGCACATTTATCAATACAACAGAAATAGAAAGCTAAACTGATCGTCCTACCTTGGAACAACTCCATCTCCTATAAGAAAGCACATGGCTCTAAAGTGATCTGCGACAATTTTTTCCTGAGGACTGGGATCCACACTATCTGAACTCTATCATAGATCAATGTAAGTCATCTACTATCACTAGAGATCAGCACAAACCTTCAATCCTCTCTCTTTGAGAATATCTCTTAATCCATCAATAACCACTTTGAACTGATCCACTTGAAAGTTGTTTTGTTTTCCTTGAAGCACCGTCAGCATTCTTTCTAGCCCCATTCCTGTATCAATACAGGGTGTAGGCAAATCAGACAGGTTGCCATCAGCATCTCGATATTTCTCCATAAACACTAAATTCCAAATCTCCAACCATGGGTCCTCTAGTGTTGGGTCTTGCGTATTCCAAAATATTTCTGTACAAGGGCCACAAGGCCCCTCTCCATCACCCATTGTCCAAAAATTATCCTCAGGTCCGCATCGAACGATCATCTCATCAGGCAATCCTTGCTTTTTCCATAACGCATACCCTTCCTCATCACCTTCCAATACTCTACGCAGAGAGAAATGTATCAGTTACTGTTTGATCCCATTGGTAGTCTACATACGTTACGCGAAGTCGGTGGATAGGCAACTTGAGTTCCTGCAGCAAAAACCTCCATGCATACTCGATCGCTTCTGCCTTTGTGTACTGTCCAAACGAAAAGTTGCCCATCATTTCAAAAAAGGTATGATGACGAGGTGTATATCCTACATTATCCAGATCGTTATGTTTACCACCGGCTCTCATGCATTTTTGAATGCTAGTAGCGCATTTGTAAGGTGCCGTGCTTGGCTTTAAAAAGTACTCTTTGAAAGGAACCATTCCTGCGTATCAAGAAAAAAAAATCAGCATGTTATCTCAGGCACACAGTTCTTTTGTTGATCTTGCCTGCATTGGTGAATAATAAACTCTTGTCATTGTGTGGAATGAGACTTGCACTTTTGACAGGTACGTGGCCATACTTTTCAAAATAGTTTAAGAACCGAGAACGAAGCTCAAAAGAGGATAGTAGACGACTTTGGTGTCCTCTTGGTCCAAATCGCTTCAGAAACGCAAGTCGTGTTTGGTTCATTTCAAGAAAGGATAGTTGTCTTTTTTTTTTTTTTGGACAGGGAATCATTTAAAATGGGAAAAGTATACAGCCAATCAAATTGATGTATTCCTGTCCAATAAGAACAATAATGCTCTTGTCCATACACACAGTTCTTGTATTTTGATGTTTACCCTCTCAGTAAGTCTTTGAATAAAAAAGCAACTTAAAAGCTTTTCCAGGGGTTATAGTCATCATATTTTAGATTATGCCAACATATTGTTACAGGATAAAGAGAAATGACTCGTCTTCAGCACAAGTTGTATCATCTAGTTTGAAGCCATCCTCATCATTTGAAGCTATATGCAAAGAGGGAGTAACTGTCTTGAAAATGTAAATAATAGAGCTTAATATGAAAATTTCTCGCAAGTGGGCTAAGCTTCTTTACTTATATTATTATTCATGGCTTCCTTTTTTATTGTTCTTGATGCTTTAGCTGTCTTGGAGTTCATCAAATGGACTGTAGTAATGTTTTTTCAAAGTGTTTAACAAGTCTGTATGCCTTTTTATTTGATTGATTGCGTGCTCGTGCATTAAGAGCCCTTATATTCACAGCTTCTCTCAGAAAAAATTCCTTGTTATTACCCTGATTTTGCAAAGAGTATTGTCAAAATGCTTGAGATTCATATAAGCGCTCTTTCAGTATGTGAAACATGCTTTTACAGCTTGTTGAAGATGTTGTAACAAGTATTTAGCCACTTCCATATTGGCTCGATGACAGTACTATTTTACCCACCTTGGCAACAAGGATAAGGGAACCGAAATACAGGATCAACATGAGGCCAAAATTAATGAATGAGTTGAGCCATACTAAGAAACTAAAGGGTTATTGAAGTGTCATTGATCATGTGAATGTTTAGTAAAGATCAGTTTACTATGGTATTGTTGATCTAACACATAAAATATTGTGTAGATAACTCGTTATCACCTTGGATTTTCTCTTTTTCAAGTTTAGTGTCTTGACACTTGATTCAGCAAATGCGCTCGTTAAAAACGAACTTTGATAACACAAGACGCGTCATGAGTTACAAATAGTTACTTCTCTATCTATAAATCTAATAAAGGTACTCTACGCTTAATTTTCCCATGACACAGTCTATTGGAAACAGAGCATCATCAATCGACACACATGTTTCTTACTGGTCGAAATCTATATTCATTGTTTATGAGCCACGTGGAGAACACAGATAGGGATTATGCATAACTGTCACTTTGTGAGGAATGCTATAAATATAAAAGTGGCGAGATTGCCTCTTTTAAGAAAAGTACACACCACATAAAGGGTTTTATTTTAAAAGATCAGCGAGTATTTTAAGAGAGGCTTGTAATCTTTTCCTGTTTAGACACGGTTGGATTGAACATACAAGTGCAAAACTGATACCTGTTGCATCAAATGAAGGAAACAGGGTTCGTGATGGTAACACTGCCTTTGTTATCCTTCTCAATGACACATTTGTTTTTATTAAATGTTTTTTTTATAATCGTAATGTTAAAATCTTGATCTGAAATAAATCTATAAAGATGATGGTGTAGCATAACATGACTAAGCTGACTCTAATACAGATTTATGAAGTACGGAAAGCCGAGCATCAGCCAGGTTATTTAAAGTTTTATCCTTTATCATTACTGTTTTTCCTATATATTTACACCTTTTCGTTTATTTTCTAGTCTAATTTTATATCGTGATTTTGAACAGTAAAGCATAAGGCAGTTCTATTCATATTTAATAATAAAAAAACAGGCGATCTGAGTAATTGACAAGCGGAGAGCAAAACAAAGGACGGAAAGTATTATCACGGTTGTTCATTCCGGAGTCCCCCTTGGTAGTCAGGGAAGCGGAGACCAGCCATGTTACATCTTGAATGCATTATGAATAATGACCAAGGCTGAGATAAATCATTCTTTTGCTCTTATTCTCTTTAGGTCTGATTAGAACAAATGCGTCAAAATCAAACAGGGTGGATTTGAGCTTATTTCTTTATCATTTATGCTTCTTTTCTCTTTCTCATAAAGCTGAAATCAGATATTAAAGGTATCTCTACCAAAAGAATATTTTTGATCACAGCATTGTGCGACAAAACAGTTTTGAACTCCATCCTATTGTATAAACACGAGTGAGTCAGAATAACGGGTATATGAATGTAAACAAACAATAAACAGAAAAGAGAGATAAGACATAAATATACAGAGGTTTGTTTAGAGAGGAGGGAGAGAAGGGGAGTTTGTTTAGAGAACAAGATGTACTCTATGCAGCGTACATTTTGCTAACCTGTCGATCTGAATCTCTTCTTGACTAGAAGAAAGGTAATGTCTCTCTCTGAGTGGGGGCTTTTAGTTGAATGCATAAGCAAACTTAAAAGAGAAGAAACAAGAAGTAAATAAAATCAGGAATGAGTAAACATGCGCGGTCATGAATCCTGTGATCAAATAATTTTTTTGTGTTCATTCAAAAAGGTAATAAATCAATAACAATTTTCTACTTTTTTTTTTTTTTCTTTATTATTTATATTAAATGCTTCGCGTACAGTCGATTTTATACATTGAACGTCTCTGGTCTTCTCCTCACGTCCACCATAAGCAATACGCCTCTTACCTATCGTCATCTGAACATGCAGAAGTGCAGGAGGTGCAAGAATCAGAGGATTTAATACAGCAAGTTCAGGCACAACCGAAGGCTATAGCAACAGAGCAAGGTAAATAATTAAAAAAAAATGGGGGGTTATATTAATATGTCATGCAGTTCTTGTACAGGAAGATATTCCTGCCATGGATACGACCGCTGAAGCAGATGGTAACCAAGTTGCTGCCATGACTACTACTACTACTACTGTTACTACTGTTACCACTACTGAAGCTGAAGCTGATAAAGACATTCCTATTGGTGTTTCTGAAGTCATTGAGGTTACAGAAAAGCAAGCCCATTCTGAATCAGAGTACAACACAGGCAACGAGATCGAGCAAGAGGTATTCATACTTCAGGTGGATGACAAGCCTGTTTTGGAAAATATGCAAGTAGTCGAAGAAAGCGTAGTACTCGTGGTTGATACTCAAAAATCCTCAAGTGACGAAGATAACAGTCAAGAGGATGAAGAAGAAATCACATCATCCTCACCTGTACTAGCCAATACATCTATCATTTCATCTGGTTCCTCACTAACGCCTGTGACACCTACGTCGATTGATTCTCCTCTTGAACTCAGGCCCACGTCCACACGAAACTCGATCTTTCGTCGAGAAACGACCAAGCTGAATCATAAACGTAAGACGTTGACCAAGAAGTTAAAGAACGTACTCGGTCATCCTACCAAAAGAACCTCCGTGTAACTAAAACAGTCATGCTTTATTTTTATTCATACCCCTTATATATTTATAAATATCATCTATCCATATATATTTATGTATCACCATAGCAACAAAATATACAAAGCAACGTCTTGTGGCATATTATTATTATTATTATTTATCAGTAGCTTTTATTTTCCATCAATAAACAAGTTTTTTTTTTTTCCTGTTTACTTAAACATCATGTCTCTGTAGCCTGCAGCGTTGATAACTTTGATACACTAAACAAAATGGCCAAAGACAACCTTGGACCGAATTTTGGAAGTGTAGTTGGGTCACGTTAATTGAAACTTAAACATTTTATATATCGAGACTAGCATGCCTGTGTAATGTATTTGCATGGGTGAATGAGATATAAAGTTGTCTCGACAGGAAAATGACCAAAACAGCATCAACTACTTTCACACGGCCAATTCGACTCTTTACACAGGGAGTCATTTTGCAGGCCAAGGCTTATTCTTGGCGGTTTCGAAATATGTACAAACTAAATAAAGACTTGATATTTTTTCATTGCTTAGATGCACAGGGTAAATGGTGGAGCTGGTTTTTATTTTACAATGCGTTTATCCATGATGGAGTGGTTGTACAAAGGGTGTCAATGAAAGTAAACAAAGGCATTTCTTTATGCGGTAACCAAAATAGGCAGGTGTGAGTCAAAGTTATTGTCCTTTGCCTTGTACTCTTTTTTTTTTTTTTATCGTCAAAAATGTATGCTGACAAGATAAAAGTATAAATCCTTTGGTGAGAAACTCAGAGGGTAGATTTTGATTTATGAAAGCAGTAAACATAAGGCCTAGAATAACCCCCTCTCCAAAGTGGTGACAGTTTTTACATGTTTTTTTTATTATTATTACTATTATTAAAACTGAACCAAGTTATCTGTATTGAATGCGTTAGAAGGAGAATGTGTATAATTGTTATTGTTATTGCTCGCATCTGTCGCCGATGATGAAGTAGACGTCGACGTGGTAGGAAACATCATTGTATCATGTAATGAAGACACGTTTTGAATGGCGCTCATGGTTGTACCATTGGCTTGGGCTACTTTACAATCCTTGTGAGCTAATAACAATGTCTTCAAGTTGATCACTTCTTCTCTCAGTAATGTCGCCTGGGTCTGCAGTTGTTCATTATCTGTTGCCAAGAACTCCACCCGATGTTGCAGGTCAGCCAACCACTGCTTTTTTCGTTGTCGACATTTAAGAGCGGCTATTCTATTACGTTCCAAAAACTGACGTCGTTGTTCATCTACCGGTTCGCTCTTTTCTCGACTTGATCGTTTAGTATTACTTTTTTGACGTTTGTTTGCTGCTCCTATTTTTGGTAAAGATCCTTCTGTGTAACGTCTACTGGCAGTAATGTCACTGGTAGTTTCTTTTGATGCTGGTAGAAATGAATGTGTGTCATAAATGATGGGAAGACTTGCTCTGTGAGGCGTGTTTGAATTTGTCGGTCCTATTAAAGCAACGTTGGTTATTTTAAATAATTATTATTATTAAAAGTAAAACATTTACCCGCCATGTATTGTTGTGTTGTATAAGGGAATTGGTCAAAGACGTTTTGAGGATAGTCAACAGGTGGTTCGACTATAGATAGTCAATGAGTAAATCGACTGTATTTAATCATAACCTACAATTGTTTTCATTCACTTGTGGTTGATTCGGAGGTATCAAATTATACATGGAGTCACTTAAAAATTGCTGTGTATTCAGAAATTGGTCTGCAGATGATATTTCATTTTCTTGAATTGTATCTTTTTTAACACTTAGTTCATATACCAAATTCTGTATTCTCCTTTTATCTATTTACTTTACCCATTGACGCTGACATTCAATCAGAAAATTGATAAATATTAAAAGAGAGAAAGAGAGAGAGAAAAAGGAAGAAAGTAGAAAAAATAACCAAGTTTTTTTTTTGTATGGCTCAAATGGGAATCTTACTTGCAGGATTTTCGGACTTTTGTACATGTCCTCTGTTTGGCGCTATTTTTGTAACTGATCATGGATCTCCCATTCACCTCTGGTCAACCATTGGTTTCAGTGCATAAATATGGTTTCAAGTGAATTTCCCCGATTTATCCTTATTCGTGATGGCGCCACTGCTATGATGTTATCTCTGCCATACAAAACAAAAAGAGAAAAGGGATATTCGATTGGGTTCTACTGGACTATATCACTTGACCCTTTACTTTATATAAAAGTGTACCATGAATTGTTCTAATCCATTCTAAGCGGCCGTTCATTTTCCGTCTTTTTTTTTCATCAACAGCTCTGGGGGGAATTATGTGTGTGTCATGTTCGGAATTAAAAAGAAAAACGCCTTGTAATTAATAAAGGCAGATATAAAAAGTAGCCGTAATAGAAATATGCAAGTAGAAACATGACTACATTGTATTGCTATGGTTACAAGGCATAAACAAGTTGATTGCTTGTTTTATATATATAAAGATATTAATGCATAAATGTATAAAAAGGGGGAAGCTCTATGAACATTTTTCCATTTCTTCTAAACTAGATGGTATTTGAGGCCTTTGTCTTGTTTGAAGCATGGCAAATAGGTCATCCAGGACTTGTTCATTATTGGCATTAGGAAGAAACTCATTGATCATTCCAAATTCATTTTCCATAAAGGGATCAAACGCAAAGTCAAAATCAACCTGTTGATCCTGCCAAAAGTGCGCCATAGTCGCTGGTACCAGACCAGCAGGGTCGGCTTTTTTTGTGGTATCATGTTCAGTCGAGAGCTCAATCCCTTTCCCTTCTTCTTCACTTGTTCCTTCACTTATTCCTAGTGCTGTTACTACTGTTGCTGTTGTCGTTGATGGTGGTGGTGTCACATCTGATTCAACGTTTTGTTGTTGTTGTTGTTGTTGTTGTTGTTCGGTTATGGGTGTCTGTGATGATGGTAGTGGTGAGGCCGTTGATGCCGCAGGAATATGGGTGCTTTGCAACGCCTTTTCATCTACAGGTTTACCTGTCAAGAGGACAATATGATGCTCGAGCGCGGTCACTCGTTCTTTCAGTTTTGTATTTTCTTGTCTCAATTCATTCAGTTCTTGTTTCGATTCCTTGGCTTCTTTTGCTTGCTCTTCCAATTCCTTAATATACTGATCTCGTCGTTGCCGAAAGGCCTTTTGGGCTGCTCTGTTCTGTGCTGCTCGCTTAGATGCGATTACTCGTCGATTCTTTTTACTGTCATCTAGAGACGATGACTCGGGTGAGATGGGTAAAGTTGACATTGGAGGTGGAGGTGGAGGTAACGGTAGAGCTGTATTTACAGGCTGTGGCCTTGAAATCATGAAATGAAATGGATCTTGACGACGCTCTATATGCTCATTATATAAGCTTCTCTTATTTTGTTTCATTACTGACATCACTTACCTCGTAATATTCTCCAGGTTGGAGCATTTGTATTAGTGCTTGTTGTATTGTCATGTTGGGGATTGATGTGATTCATAAATAAGGATCTATGTATAAAAAGTTAAAAAAAAAGAAAAAGACAGCAAGGTAATAGTAAGTAAATAAAAATAAAAAAATTGGGTCAAAAAGAATGTGTGTATGTGTATGTGTCTCTCGCTCTCTGTGTGTGTGTGCGAACGGAAGATAATTTAATCCCCCCTCTCTCTCTATCTTTTATACGCACACACACACTTACACACCAGACACGCACAATACACAGATAATTATATATATATGCATCTACTTTTCTTGAAGAAACACACTACATACCTTCTATTGATATACTATGATGCTTTCTAACCTTGATTGACAAAAATGCATCACATGATGCGGTCACAGCCAAGGATGATTCAAAAAAAGACGAAAGAGAGAAAGAGAGAAAAAAAAAAGGGAAGAAAAGGGAAGAAAAAAGATCTTTGTTTTGCCCTCCACCACTTTATTGTCAATCGCCAATTGTACGACACAACGACACAACAACGCATCATCCCAAACTAAAGAATATCAGCTACATCTTTTTTTCTTTTTTTAGTAGACTTTATTGTCAATTTAAGGTTCATCCAAGGGAACCATTCGCACCCATTTGTCTTGAGCAAGCATGCCACTTCTCCCAGTTCCCAGTTTTTTCCAGTCCCTCCCTTTCCCTTTTTTGTCATGGTTGTTCTGTATTACACTACCTTGTTTTTTGCTATTCTTTTTATACATGCACTCAACTACGTTCAAACATCTGGTCGATATTCCTCTGTGTTTGGTACTGTTTCAGTTGAAATAGCTTCTACTGTCATTTAGCCTTAGAACAAGGTTACTTTACCAAAAAAGGCAATGTGTATGTTTATATAAGCAAAAAAGTCACGAATAAGATGACACAAAACCTTGGAAAGAAGATAGGTTATATAAACCGGCTTCATTTCCCAGCCTTTTCCTTTCTTTCTTTATTATTTTCAATAAGAAATGTCTTCTTCTGTACCTTCTTTTGATAGCCTTGACAAGATTTACGATCCCAGTGCTGTTCCTAAACAAAGGTAAGCAACTTTCAAAGCGAAATTCAAACCACAGAGAGAGAGAAAGAATAACAAGATATATAAAGCAAACGATACCAACACCTTATTGATGAATTTGAACGTGCTCATGGACGCAAGGCCGAGTTTGTCGTTCGATCACCTGGTCGTGTCAACTTGATTGGTGAACATATCGATTATTGTGGTTTTGGTGTTCTTCCCATGGCTATCGAACGCGACGTGGTGATTGCTGGTGCTGTCACGGATGAAGACACAAAGGTGCGCATTGCAAATGTCAACAGTGCCAAATATCCTGCACGTGAATTTGATTATGAAGGAAAAGAAAAGGTGGTCTCGATCGATTCAACCAAGTTGGAGTGGTCCAATTACTTCAAGTGTGGTTACAAGGTACAGAAAATAAAAACAAACAAGAAAAAAAAAAATAGTATTCATAGAGTGAGTTAGGGCATGCTTGAAAAATTCCAGTTGGACAAGCCAAAGGGCTTATTCTTGCTCGTAGACGGTACTGTACCTGCCGGAGGTGGACTCTCTTCTTCTGCAGCATTTGTGTGTGCATCTGCCCTTGCGGTCATCACCGCTAACAAGTTGACGATATCCAAGACTGAATTAACAGAAATTGCCATCGTTGCCGAACGCAATGTCGGTGTGAACTCGGGTGGTATGGATCAAAGCGCATCTGTGTTATCTGAAAAGGACTTTGCCCTTCACGTTGAGTTTGTGCCCAAGCTACATACATTCCCTGTGCCCTTGCCCAAGACCGATCCACAGCTTGCATTTATTATTGCCAACACACTGGTCACTGCTGACAAGCTTGTCACAGCTCCTCGTAACTATAATCTTCGTGTGGTCGAAACTCGTATGGCCGCTACTTTCCTTTCCAAGGCACTTCAACTACCACCTGTTGATACCCTCAAGGAAGTCTATGATGCTTACTTTAAAGATTCAACTCTCAAGACCGACAGGAAAAAGTTTGAACACCTCTTGTCCAAGGCCCTGGAACACTTTCCTCAAGATTCGACAAATGGCAACGGTTACACACTTGATGAAGTTGCAAAGATGTTGGACATGTCTGTAAAGGAAGTACAAGAAAAATACATGAGTCGTTTCCATGTCGAGACCGACTATTTCCGTCTTGTGCATCGCACCAAGCATGTCCTGACAGAAGCCTCCCGTGTGGTCGAATTTGACGCGATCTGTAAACACAGTGATGGTGAAGATGGGCTCAAAGCCCTTGGTGAACTCATGAATGCCTCTCAAGTCTCTTGCTCACAAGACTTTATGTGTTCTTGTCCCGAGATTGAGCAAGTCTGTGAAATCGCTCGTAAGCATGGATCCCTCGGCTCCAGATTAACAGGTGCTGGCTGGGGAGGAAGCACAGTGCATTTGACAACCGAGGAACGTGTGCCTCAGTTGATCCAAGCTCTCAAAGATGAGTTTTACCGCAAGGCGTATCCCAATATCACCCCAGAGGAATTAGAGGCTGCGATTATTGCTACCAAGCCCTGTTCTGGTGCTGCTATCTTTACTGGCTTCTAAACAAAAATACCTTTACTTTTTTTTATTTGTGTATATACATGTCCTCCTTTTTAGTTTTACGTATACATAGTTGATTTTTATTCTAGTTTCATGAAATAAAAAGGTTTTATTTAACCAAAGTTGATACCTTGAGCTAAAGGAAGTGCTCCAGAGTAATTGATGGTGCTGTAAAAGAGTGAGCATATAGTATATAAAGTCAAAATTTGATCTTACCATGTGCCTCGTCGGCAGTATTGCTTCCAACTATCACTTCCACTCTCGCGTCCACCACCTGTTTCCTTTTCTCCGCCAAAGGCGCCTCCAATTTCAGCACCATTGGTGGGGATATTGACATTGATAATACCGCAGTCTGAGCCAGCAGGACCAATCCACTTGAAGATCGTGCTAGGGTTTGTAGTAAAGATAGAGCTAGATAAGCCTTGTGCGACACTGTTGTTGATTTGAATAGCTTCATCCAAGGTCTATTAAAGTAAATTATGTAAGTTGTTGTTTGACGCGTATGATTAATCTTACCTTATAGGTCATCGTGTGGAGAACGGGCACGAAGGCTTCATTTTGAACGACTTCCATATCAGGACGAACACGTGTCATGGTAGGCTCGACAAAGTTGCCGTGCTTGAGAGGGCCATCCTCAAGAACACGACCACCAATGATGATTTCACCACCTTGTTGCTTGACACGGTTCAATACATTCTTGTAGACATCCACAGCCTGACGTGTGTGAAGAGGACCACAGAGGACACCGTCGTCAAGAGGGTCACCCACCTTGACCTGAGCATATGCCTTCTTGAGTCGTTCGATCAAGTTGTCGTACACAGACTCTTGTACGATCAAACGACGTGTGGTAGTGCAGCGCTGGCCAGCGGTGCCTACAGCAGCGAATAAGATAGCTCTGGAAGCCAAGTCCAAATCAGCGTCCTCTGTGACGATGATGGCGTTGTTGCCACCGAGTTCTAGGATTGATTTACCAAATCGACCTTGAACGACCTTACCAACCTCGCGGCCCACTTCAGTAGATCCCGTGAATGAGAGAACGTGAGCACGTTTATCGTGTGTCAAGGCCTGACCAACATCTGTACCGCCTGTGACAAGAGCGCAAAGAGAAGTAGGCAAGTTGTGTTCCTTGAGTGCTTGTGCAATGATCTTGGTGACGGCAATGGCACAAAGTGATGTCGTAGGAGCTGGTTTCCAAATCGTACCGTTGCCTGTGACAAGAGCAATGGCGCAGTTCCAGCCATACACAGCAACTACAAAACGCAGAAGATAAGCAAGCGCTGCACTTTTTTTTTTTTAAAAAAAAAAGACTTACCGGGAAAGTTAAAGGCACTGATGATGCCTACAGTACCAAGAGGATTCCAAGTTTCGAGCATGGCATGACCTGGTCGTTCAGAGGGAATAATAGAACCTTGAAGTGTACGAGATAAACCGAGTGCATATTCGAGAATATCAATGTACTCTTGGACCTCACCGATTCCTTCAGGCAAAATCTTTCCCATCTCTAAAGCAACAAGCTTGCCTAATGGCTCAAGGTTTTGTACAAGTGCGTTTCTCATCGTCAACAAGACCTGACCACGCTTGGGCACAGGCATCTATCCTTGCCATGTGAGTACTCGGATGCGCGCCTCAGCTCTCTCGATTCACTTACCTCTCTCCAGATCTTTTGTGCTTCAGCTACCTTTTCAAAGGCCACATCCAAATCCTGAGGCGTGCCCTAAAAAATGACAGTATGAACGTGGGAAACTTTTCGTGGGAAAAATACATTCAACTTACAGTAATCACTTCAGCGATCACTTCGTTATTGACAGGATTATAAGAAGGAACAATGTTACCAGAGCCCTTCCATTCACCGTCAAAGACACCTTTATTGTTTGATTTGTCTAAACCGAGTGCATGAAAGACGTCTTTATGTTTATCAAAGGTGGATAAACAACGAACGTTGGTATAGGCGTGTCGATGAATAGCAGTGGCGATTGTGCGTGTCTTGAGTAATCGAGAAAGCATGAGAAAAAAAAAGTAAGAGATATAAAAAAGAAAAAAAAAAGGAGAATTGCATATGTGTGATTCCTTTTATGCAGTGTCGAAGCTTAATTGGCAGTCTGAGACTGGTCAATTGAGACAAAACGATTGGCTCTGCATGACAAATGAGAGAAAAAAGAGGGTAGTTTGATCTCAGGGAAACATTGGCCGTTTGTGTTGTGGGTTTGGTTACTTTATGATCCACATTTTCGCTCTCTTTCTATATCTCGAAAAGAGCTTTATTTGAAACAAAAGCGCACTGCAAACTTAAGGTTGATGTTTTCAACAGTGTTGCTATGGTAACTCTATGATTTTTTTACGTTGACTTGATGTGATAATATTAAAGTAGGAGACAATAAGATACAGTAAGACTGAATCAATTCTTTTATTCATAAAGAGTGGCTCTTATTTATACTTTAAGTTTACTGTAGGACTATAGCTGACGTGAATCTAACAGTTGTTCTGGGATAGAGTAGCTTAATTAAGGGCTTCTTAGTTTTACTGCTGTGATGTCTGAATCAAGAAATGATGTTATGTACTAGTAAGTGTTATTGTAAGGGTAATTTGCTTAGTTTCAATAAGCGTCAATTATATTCGGATACGACATTTGGATACTTGTCGTACAAGCTCAATTAATTTCCTTTTGGCTAATCAACACTTTTTGATCTCCCAGAATACAGTATACTAATAGGTATATTTTATTTCTTCATCTCTAAACAACTACCCGTTGCCTCTGTCGCGAAATACTCACGCTTTCCTCTACTGGGTCTGGCCCCACTTTGCATATACAAATAACGCCGTTGTTAATGTGGAAAAGGGTAATACCATTACCTCTGTCTTGATGTCTCTACATGATACATCATACCGTACAAGTAGTGCCTTTATCTAGTTGATTGAACCATTTTTTTTTAAAAAAAAAAGCAATGAAAACGAAAAATACATTTTATTCATAATATTCGTTCACTTTGGAAAAAAAAAAATAGTTGACAAGATTTACCAAGTATTCTACTTGATTAATGCATTGTGTATTAAAACCAATACCACCAAGCGAAAACTTAACAGAGATTATGCGATCACCTGGAGCCAGAGAGCTTGAAGTACTTATAAGACTAGTGGATGACGAAGCTCCATAGTTCATGGTAAAAGGGGTAGTGGTATAAAAAAACTCATTCTTGTGTAATTCTATAGTAAAAGAAGAACAGGTAAGTATATGTACATCAAGGAACATGGAAAGATGTCTGTTCCCTGAACAAGCTTAGCTCGAAGCTGCGCATTCAAAAGGTTTGTTGACGACATCACAGGCAGCGCTTGTAACATTAACCCTCTCATGGATTTCCTCATGCGCGTAGTGTATACCTTGAACTTCAACAATACCAATTCAAAAAAAATAAATAGTGACGTAAATAAGTTGACCTCTGCATACATAAAATCCATTGAATATATTACAAATACTACCGATTTGACTATTCCTGTTCCAATGTTTGTTGTACGATTTTATGGTAAATACATTTTGTTAGTGTTTTTTTTTTTTTTTTTTTTTTTTTTTTTTTTTAGCGTACATTAATTCTGAAATAACTTTAGATGCTAGTATATACTTCGAATCAATAATTAAATCTCTATGTTCGCAAAACCTATACAATAATACATGTACCTTCAAGACCCACTCTATTACAAGAATTTGTGGCCAAAACAGAGGATGTGTACCAATGGAGAGAGACTGTAGTAACTTTAGTCAGAATAGCTAGTAACAAAAGACAATTGTGTTGTTAAAAAATCCTAGTCATTAAAACTATTGAGTTTCCTTTACGTGCAAGAAAATAAAGGTACTATTATCAAGCTCCCAACACTCAAGACTGAAAAGTAGATTGCAGTACGGTGATTGAGAAAGGATGGTATTAATAAAATTCTTGAGATACAATATTACCAACAAAGATTCATGTGTATATAACATTGATTAAGATGTTATTTAGCTTATCCACTCAAGAACGGTGATCAAAAGTAACTTTTCAGACAAGCTGTCTGTGTTTCTATACTATCAGAGCTAACACAGATAAATCCAATGCCTTGAAGGTAAACCTATTCTTGCCTTTGATATATACAACAGAAATAACCCGAGCCAACAGCAAATGACTTGAAGAAAACCGCTCATTCAAAAAAGTGCCTCTAAAGATCAGGATGCCAGTTATACTCATTGAATTTTGCAGATCACTTTCAGGACTGGGGACTGAAAAAGTGGCCTTATGAGAAATAAGCAAACATAGATTATGGAGGCAAGATTAGACCGCAGGGGAGGGAGAGGATTGGACAAGGCAAAGGAATTTGGGGTAGCAAAAGGTAATCAATGAAACTAGGAATGTACGTATAAGAGTTCCTTGAGATCTGATCTATTTTTTGGCAAATTATGGAACTAATGTTACTAGCAAGTCCGCTTGAAGAGTAGGTCGAGTAGGAGGTTACCTGTTTGGAGCAGCTGGCGGCAGCGAAGTTCAGCATAATCATGTATCAAACAGCATATTGATGTAGGATGCAAAAGAGGGTGCAGCCAACGGGAAATACAGAGAACTTTTGTTGAGTGCCAACACTTGAGATACTGTTGCATACAAGCCTGCAGCCACGCTGTACCTGTATCTGACTTGGATCGGTCACATCACAAGTATTGCAGTGCTAGCTTGTTGATTATTAGCTTTTCGCTCAACCTAGTCACAATAAAAATCGGATCATCATCTGTCAATTAACATCAGAACACTAAGAGCTAGTGTAAGTACCAATGATAACCCTTGGTCTATACGTAGTAGCTGCCAAGCTACAGCACCCAGCACCCGATTAGCTATTATCGATAGTGCTTCAGCTCATATACCAAGTATGATTGATTCAGTTATCGTTAGAAGTGGCTATATATATGTGTGTATATATACCAGTACATCTTTCTCTCTCCCCTGTTTCACTCGTCCGAGCTTAATTCTATTGAGTAATTATGAGCCGTCTTAAAAAAAAAAAAGCAAAGCGAACAAAATTTATTAACATTGAAGTTAGTGAATCTATTTCTGATAAGCATTCACAGCACTTTATTCAGTATTCTACTAATCAATTTGATGACAGTCTGCAATAAAAAAAAATCCCATCTAAACGTCTTTTCTTTTTCGGATCAAATTGTGTGTAAAAGACCAATCAATTTTTCTCTAAAGCTTGACCACCTTTTTCAAAAAAGTGACCAAGTGGTAGTGGAATGACTGTACCTAGATCACTGTGTGGCTGGAAGTGCCTGCACAGGTTTTTTTTTTTTATTTTTTATTTATCCAAAAATAAATCAGTATAGCTGTAATCCAAGGAATTAAAATAGAATCTTACATACAGATTCTATATAATCTATTCATTGTTATCTCAAGTATTTTTTCCTTCATTTTTATGTTTTATGATAAATACACGCTATCAAAACTTAAAAGAGGTGTAGTCTGTATGTTTCTACATGAAAGAAAAGGGTTCATATCAACGAAATCAAATGGCAAAAAAAGTAAGTAAAACAATGTATTTATGCAGTTTGAAGCGTGTGAGCAAACTTGACCAATAGAATTGTTTATTTAGAAGTTTCGTCGTCTATAAAGAAATAAGTAAGGATGACCTTTGTTTTGTTACAAAAGGGAAAAAAAAATACTTACTTGTCAAGATACCTTGTTCAACCAGTTTAGCTCGATCTGGTCTTTCATGAAGCTTGTTTTCAAGACTATCATGAATCATGTTCCGTTCAAGCTCAAATTGATTCTTTTGAAGCGCAGGTGCAACTTCAGTAGGATCGGCTATGAAAACCCTCAGATAAGAAAATGCATAAAGCAGAGGGGCAAGTACTGTTTACCTTTTAATATGTTATGCTGAACAAGCTCTTCGGGAGTAGGACGATGATCAATTTTATGAAGAAGTGATTCTTCAACCCTTCTCTTTTCTTGTGCATCCATTTTAGGATCTACGATATAAAGTAAGTAATAAATATATATTTTAACAAGTATTTACCTTTGATGATATTCCTTTCGACCAAGTCTTGAATATCTGGTCGATGAGCTAACTGAGCTTCAAGTAGCTTTGCGGGATTTTCGGGTACAGCTAAAGAAGGTTAAAAGGACTAGTTACTTACAGTCAAAGTTGCTTACTCATTTTTACTGAAGAAGAAAAAAAAAAAGAAAAAAGAAATTCATTAAAGATTGTTTATTTTTGCATTGAATCATGTGCGCACTTCCTCATTTCGCATTTCATAAAAGCAGCGCGGAGAATATAATTTAAACACAGCGCAAATCATTTTAACTTGTACTTCACGATCTTTTTTGCCCTTAAAGAACAAGCAATAGCTGGACTAATATAGTCTATATATGTCCTATGTTATTCTTCTTATCTTGTTACGTCTATGATTGTTTAACAATATTTACTACAAAATATTTACGCGTGCTTACAAGTAACTCTTTAAATTTCGGCTAAATTTTAGAAATATACGGTTTTGACTCTCTTTTTTTCTCATGACTTCTTCTCTTCAACAGTTGCCTATTACCGTAATTGAACTTATACTTGAACACATTACTTTAAAGCGGCAATTGCTACAGCTCAGACTGGTCTGTTATAAGCTGTATTTGGTTTCAACCAGAAAGTTATTTAGACGTATTAATCTCTGCAGTGATTATTGCATCCATCTACTCCATGACCTATCTACCAACTTGCCTCAGCCTTATAGGTTACTCCAAATTGGCAATTTTGTTAAAGTGATATCTATACAATGGTACATACCATGCTACGATCCAAGACCATTCATACCACGCCAAGCTTTTATAAAGTTGGCTCAATCGTGTCCGAATGTGGAAGCAATTGAAGCGCCACCGCGAGTTTTCAAAAAATACATATTGATAGCTCTTCTTTACATGGATGACAACTTAAAATGGAAACTGAAGAAGCTGCCTGAAGATAATTTCACTATGGACTTAATAACCATTGATCACTATTACAAGTACAAAGACTCTATCACTGAGCTTAATGCTCCTTTGGGAGTTCATGATTTGCGCTTTTTAAAATCATTCAAAAGGCTTCAAAAACTTAATCTACGCAAAATTAGTGTGGCCACACTGGAGGACTATATGTCCATCTTTGATCATTGTCCTGATCTATCCCGCCTATTTGCTGGTATTAGCGTGCCTGCATCTGAACTTGTTCCAGTGATTGAAACACCGCATCAATATATGAAAGATATGAGTCTCCATGTCACGTCCGATACGTTATCAGATGCAGTCGTTGCTTATACCACACAGAAGCTTGTTAATTTATCAAATATACGTATTAGTATGGGTAATCCACATTCGCAAGCAATCAGCCACAGATCATACGATCGACTCTTTGATTTACTCATCAAGCACGCAGATAGGCAATCTCAGTTCACTCTGGCATTAAATGAATACCAACTCGAAGATGATCCAGATGCTGAAAACATCGTGCCCCTTATGGTCCGCATCTATCTCGAGAGTTTGTTCAAGCTACGGATGCCCAACTTGAGTCATAGCTTGGAAATAATCCAGCAATCATTTATTAATGAGAATCCGGTTCTCAAGACTATTTTCAGAAGGATAAATGGCTTTATCAAATGTTTTACTAGATTATACGCACCTTATCATAATCCAAGCATGAGATTGGGTGAATACGTGGGACGTTCAGTGCCATATATACACAAGCTATATGCTAAATCAGGGAATACTTCAAGACATAGAATCCCTGACGCTCTATGCTCATTCATAAAGAAATGTCATTATCTTCAATCACTGGAATTCACAAACTATGAACTACCCGGTTTATCAGAATGTACCAATATATCTATTCAAATAATAAGGCTCAACTCTATTGTAGTGTCAAGTGGATTATTTGAAGACTTGGTATCTAATTTCCCGAACCTGAAGCATCTTTATATAAATGATGTCTTTGCTGCTGGCAGTCCGGATAATTCAGAAATAATAGTCATAGATTGGCCCAGTATATGTCTTGAAACACTAGATATCTACAACTTGCAACCATTACATGGTAACGATGAGGACAAGGAAGGAATGTTTATCATAACAACATCTCAAAAAAGGTCATACTTTGAGACCGATGTTATAGTTCCCATCCATTATATTTATGATGAAATGATAACAGAAGAGAAACTACAAGATGCTGGTTTCCAGGTATATATCAATTGTCAATCGATCCAGCGATTTAGACTACAGAACGTTGAATTTAAACTTGATTCAGAATAGAACAAGTATTTACTATTCAATAAACAGGTTTCTTTGTTATAAAAATAATGTGTCTTTTTATTTGATAAATAAGATGTGTACATATAAATGAAATCTTATACTGCCAATGATTGTATGACACCATCTGCCGAATTTCCAGGCACAGTATTGTTGGTATTGTCTGCTAAAGTGTTGTTGGATTGGGTAATAAAGTGTTCCTGAACCATGTTTTTAACCGTTTCCAAAAATTTATCATTGTCTTCAGGCGTCATGTACAAGTGTACTCTTAGTGAAGACAAGAGCTTGTCCAATCGAGGCTTTTGAGCAAATGTCATTGTCATGTCAATCTTACTATAGACATGAATTAATAACAAGAATGGGTAAATTAGTCATTTTTACCTTTCATAATCCTTATATTCTTGCAACAGGTTATTAAATGTATTCAAGACATCTTGAGATACTTGTGGCTTTTGTTCAACTTGTTGTATGCAAGCATAAGGAAGACCTAAAGGATATGTGTAAGATACTTTTAAAAAGACATTCGTATAAACCTACGGTACTGATTGGTTGTACTCCATCTTTTACTGATATGAAGACATTGTATTTGTGATCGATCGGTTGCATACTCTTGATTATAAGGAGAAATGATGAACCCAATAAATGGTTCATCACCAGAAGCTTCATTGCGAAATAGATCCTAAAAGCGGAGACCTTGTTTAGTATTTCTTTCATAGCCAAATCATCGTTTTCTTTACTTGATATGAAGTTTGATTCTCAATGTCTCGAATACTTGGCTGCGGCTCAAAGGTAGGATGCGAGTGATACCATCCGACGACATCAAGACCTTTTTGCTCAAATAACTCTCTAGCAGCCATTTCCGATACAGGGTCCATTTCACACTGATAATAGTCATTAGCAATCAGATAGATTTGTTATATATATCTGTGACATACCTGGATGCCAGTACTTGTGCTGCGACAAGGGAATACATACTCAACCTTTAGCTTATTCTGGCCACCATCTGGATCCTTCAAGAATCTTCCACCAAGTAAGCCAATGATTTCGGTGAAAGCTAAATGAGCATGAAACTCCATAACGAGCTACTGAAAATAAGCACAGATACAAAAATAACATAAAAAGCACATTCTTACAAGGGCATCACTACCGATTTCTACAGTAAAAGGAGCGTCCTTTTGTTGGGTGTAGTAACCCAGAGGAATTAACGTAAATGGATCATTATCGCCTCCTATACGGCCATTGTCCCCATAGAAACCATCACGCCTTCTTGCATTTCTTTTAGGTCTCTTTTTACCATCTATACAATAAAGTTAATAAAAAGATAAACACTAGTCTATGATGATACCTTTGGTGACAGTGTATTCTACTTTTTCTTTATGATCCTTATCATCGTCGTCGTCGTCGTCACCATACACTTCCTCCCTAACACGGTTATGATTTGAGGATATAGCATTGATTAGCAAAGTACCACACTTACCAATAGTATCCAGGTCGTCTTTTCTTTTTATTTGCACTATGAGATGTGTGTGTTAGGTTCTTGTTTCTCTCTCTCCCATTTTTTTTCAGGAACCAAAAAAAAGCCGTCATTTACCCATCTTCGCTGCTGCCACTTTTACGACCAGGTCTTTTTCTTGTAGTAGGAGAAACAACGCAGTTTACGTTGATAGCGTGAATGCTTTCGAGGTAACTATGTATTCTGCCAACAGCGTTCACATCACCACAGTCGGGTAAATTTTTACGACCAGCTGTCTTGGTCAAATAGTTTGGACGCGTCTCTCTCCAGCATTTTAATATGTGATTTCTTATTCTCTTGTATCTTTCTGGTGTCTTGGCTTGCTTTCCCATAAACCACTCAGCATTTCCTTTCTTCTCGTGTTCTGTAATGTCATTTTCATCAAGTACCTGAAAAAAAAAGTACATTAGCAAGTTGCATATAAAAAAGGACAGCTTTAATTCTTACAGTTTCAGAGATAGTATTTACGTTTTCGACTTGTTCTACTTGAGTGGTCTCTGTTGATGGAACAGAAGGTGAAAGGGGAACAGCAGCAGTAGCCGTATGACTCATGGTGGAAGGTTGTGATATAAAAAAATTTGCATTCGGATGAATATTTTGGGAAATAGAGATTTGTGGCACCATGCTTGACGCAGGCGGTAACCGCATCGTTTCATTGGGTACTGGATAGGCGGCCATATGCGATACCTGTGAAAAAGAAGGTAACAGGTTTTCAGCCATCGTCATGGATACTATAGGTTCATACTTCCCTATTGTGTTGAGAGAAAGAGTTGCTGTTTAAAAAAAAAAGGGGGGTTTACCTTTGGTTTAAACTCTGCTCTTTGACGAGCGTGATTTTTACATTGTAGAGCGTTCCGGGTCTTGACATGATCAGCTATAGCTTTCCAACTTCCATAACCATAGAGTCTCTAATGAAGAGTGAGTTATTTGTTTATACAAAAAGAAGCTTTATTACAATAGCATCCAGCAAGAGCGCGTCCTCTTCTGGAGTCCATCTCATGTTGTGTGAGGGTAAAGAAGCGGATGAAGATGTTCCTAACAAGATGGTTACACATCCTTTTGATTTAGCTTTGACATCTTTTTTTTCTTTTTTACTTGGCTTCACTGCTCTTTCTTCCCCTGTTTGAAATTGATTAATATTTGGCTCAATAGGTGATGATATCGTAGTATTCAGTGTTGGTTGAAAATGATGATGTTGTTCAGTCATAGGTTGAGACAAATGATCATAACCATAGTAATAGTAATGACGATGCTCATCCGATAATAAATGTATATTGTTCATATCTCCCATTCTTGAATTGCTGTCAGATTATTTAATAAGAAAAAGAGAAATAGAAAAAGAAAAGGAGGAAAATATTGATAAACAAAGAGTTGAAGGGCTATTTTTATTTACGTGTATTACAAAAATAAACATATTGTAGTCAATATTTATGTTTTGAAGTAGAAAGATGGTCCATGGCCTCATTCCTATTAAACGAATAGACTTCTTTACATTGATCACAGTACCAATATGTCTTCAAGTGTTCTGAGATAGGTATTTGATCAATAGGAACAGGTGAAGCACAGGATGGAGCATCGATACTGTCATAATATAGACTTGGGCTTATCTGAATTCCACCTTGAATGACCTGTCTTGAATTCCATGTTCTTGGTAAATTATCTTCTCTGTTCTCATCTGGTTTATATTTTGGATACTATTTTTATATGAATAAATCAAACAAGATTTAACAGACTTTCTTATATACCATCTTTATCAATTCAGATGCCTTTCCTATACTCAATTCAGCAGAAATTGACGTTTCCATAAATTCAACTAGTTTGTCTATAATGACAAATGTCAGTCTTGTTATTCACATTGACTGATACTTACCACAAAGTGATTGCATCTCTTTTCTATATCTTAATTCAGTTTCAGGTGTCCACATATCAACTCTATCAAAGCCTTGAACAGTTTGACCTTGTTCTGATAAAATGTGTTGAATGCCTAAAGGAAGCTTTTCTTTTGTGGCTGGACTGATGATAACGTTAGATTCCTCTTCTACGACCTAATTCATAATGGTTAAACGAGAATCATCATTCCATATATATATATATATATACCTTGCCTAGACCTTGGCTAATTCGAAGATTAAGCAGCTTATTCCATATGCTACGAAGTTTGGAAGATAGGTAAAGTACATATTCAGCAACAGGTGTCGTACGGAATCTTATTATATAGTATTTGTCAACCACGAGCAAGCTACAATCAAAATTCGTATCAACTATAAAACAATGTATGAGGCCTGTGTATGATTAATATATATAAGAAACATACTGGACTTGGCAAACAAAAGCAGTACATGAATTCCTTTTTGAAAGGTTAGCCTTGTTTATCTGTACAAACTTATTGTCTTACCGGGAGTTCTGGTTATATTTAGTATATAGGGCTTGTTAGTCTCCAAAAGCTGTAGGTAGCACAGTAATTGTTGCTGCATAGCATCTTCTGCTGTTTGATCATCTACAAAAAGAGGGTTATACTTTCTTGTATTGGAGTAATGTCTCATTTACCTTTTCGTCGTTTTGGGTCATCTCCTTGTACCCATTCAGGATGGGATGCTACGACACTGGTAGGATGAATACATAAGAAGCTCTTTACTATCTCCTGACGTTAGTCCCTTTTTTCTTAAGGTAAATAGATTACCTGTCGTATGAAATACGAGCTCATTGCTATTCCTGTGTGGATTATGCTCATCTCCAATGGCAAATTGAGGATATAAAGCAGAGCAAATGATCAACTTGACCAGCTCAACCTGTCGTTTACTTAAACTAGATGCCCTTGATCGAAGTTGACGCACGTCATTCATGAGTGCAAATTCAAGGTCTCTGATATCTACTTTATCCGATGGTTCGTCTTGCATTGTCAAAGTCATAAGTAGCTTGTTCTATATATAATCAACTGAATCTCTTACCTTCTTGTTCGTCAAACGTATTCATCTCAAGTACCTTTCGTCTTTTATTCGTCTTTTGATCAAACTTTTCTCTACGTAATTTTTCCTTTATCTGATGCCGTGATTGTGTACTCTAATACCGTTAAATACAGGTTAATTTCTCGTTATCATCTATACAAACCTGGTTTACTTCATAATCATCAGACTCCTGTTGAAGGCTTTGTAAGAGACCCGGTCGAAAGTCATTCAGAATCTTTTCAAACTGTTTCTTCATTTTTGTAATCTATGGCAAAAGATAAGTTACTTGCACACTTTTCCCTCTTTCTCTCTCTTATATTACCTCATATAATCGCTGTTCTTCAATACCGTGTCTTTTACACCATTTACGTGAGGATTCCTATGAATAACTTATAAGAAGTTATCCTGTCACAGTTCTTTTTTTTTTGTTCTTACTTTGCGATCATTCTTCACGTCTAACCATGCTTGCCAAACATTCAAGAGCGTAAACGAGTCACCATGTTTGGAGTCAAACTGACTTCGATTCTATACATATATATTGGCGTTGGTTTAGCCCTTAGAAGCACGTGTGCGCCATACCTTGATGATTTCCGGGTTTCTATTAGAAGTAATGCGAACAAAAGGAGATTGAACACTCATACCAGCAGCAATAGTAACAATAGGATCAATTACATTAAATACCTACAGAAAAAAGGAAGGATAGGTTGAGTCATATTATTCTATAAATGCTGATTATATACCCCCTACCATGCCGAGAATTAACATCTTTCCAACAATGGCATCCACAGGTAACTGAGCTAAAACGGCGCCTAGCCCTGTTATATTCTCGTTTGAATCAAGAGCCCCCAAGTTTTGCAAAAAGTCAATAGATGCATTGATTGCGTCTATAGAAGGAGCCTATACAAGCTAGAATTAGATTATATCTCTCAAGTATGCCTAATTGAACTTGCTTCAAGATAATCAAAGTGACGCGGGTCGCCTAAATCCATACACTTGATTTGCAACAAAAGTGGCTCGAGTGGAGCGCGCTGGATTTCTGGGATTGCAAAATCATGAAAGTGATTATACTCATTTTCAGAATAAAGTCGGAAGCATTCTCCTGGGCCTGTACGCCCTGCACGACCTGCACGTTGCTTTGCACTAGCTTTGGATATCCAAAATTCAGAGAGACGGCTCATTTTGGATGCTGGATCATGGTTCATCTCTTTTACTTTGCCTGAGAGTTTTTTGCGTAAGAAAAAGAGAGAAAGGATTAAGAATAATTTTATTACCTGAATCAATTATGAAGCGAATGTCATCAATAGTTATACTAGTTTCTGCTCTATAAAGAATGGTTAAAGACATGTCCATAGAGTGACCTGGGCTAGCAAGACGCACTTACATGTTTGAACTAATGATGCATTTACGAATTCCTTCAGGTGCAGCGTCAAAGACCTATATTTTGTGTGTGTGTGTTATGATAGGATATATGACACTATACGATATTACCTTTTCTTGTTCTTCGACTGAAAGGGATGAATGTAGCATAAGTACAATCCACTTTCTATGTAAGAAATAAAGGATTTAGTATATATATAACTTGTGATTGCGGACGTTTATACTTTGATTCTCGGGTATACTCTATTAATGCTTCAGAAAGGATTGATATCTATTCAATGTGTGAGCAAAAGCAGCACCTATATGACTATGTAAATGACCTCATTTATGCCAGACATGAATATAAGTAAATCGCCTCTTTCTCCTGCAGGAACAGATTGATCAATATAGTCCATCACTCTGATATAGGGTGCTAATCCCAAATGTGAATAACAAAGTACGTGTATGGTATCTATATCTATATATATACCTGGATTAATTGGTTCAGGCCGACTGGGTATAGAACTCTAAGCAAAGAGAGAAAGAAAAGTTAGCGTCTTGTAGCAGCAGATAAAAAAAGCTACATATACCTTTATAACATCAGTCTGTCTTTTTCTATGTGCAGCCTCATTCACCAAATGCGTATCCTCATCTCCTTGCGGCCAATAATGCATCTTAACACTGTACATCTTTCCTGGCACGACTAATGTAGGTGCATCAAAATACTGTGCAAACAGTTCTGCATTAATGGTGGCGCTCATGAGGACAACATAAAGATCTTTGCGCTGTGCCAGTGTCTTTTTTAAAAGAGATAGTAAAAAATCACCCATCATGTGTCGCTCATGCACTTCATCGACTATAATCACATCATACATCGAAAGCATATTATCCGCAGTGTACTGTCGAAGCAACAGCCCTTCTGTCAAGAACAAAACGCGTGTACGGTGTGTCCTGTTGCCTTCAAACCGCACTTGATATGCTATTTGAGATCCATACTCATTCAGCGTCTCATAACTCACACGTCTTGCTAGTGAAGAGCAGGCGATACGTCGAGGCTGTGTACATGCGATCTTGTCAAATCCAGCCTTCATTAAGATTTGAGGCACCTGTGTGCTCTTACCACAGCCTGTGTCCCCTGCGACGAGTAATACCCTGTGCTTTCTGAGCGTTTCCACAATTGCATTTGCAAAGGGAGTTACAGGCAATAACTGTCGATTAGTTTCGATCTTTTCTCTGAGAATCCGTTTTTTCTTTTCAGTAAAGTCATGAAATAAGACTAATGCATGACGAATGAATTCTCCTTCTTGTTTTATGATGGACATTGGGTCTCTTTTAACAGTTGCTGGCTTTTTATCCTTGTTTACGCTTTCTTTTAAATTTTCATAAAATCCTATTTATGATATGAGGACTTGTCTTACTTTTCCTTGTGTTGTCTAATATATACTTTCAAATTCATAATAGATGGGTGAGCCTATTGGCATATACCAAGAGACCATGCCTCGTTTTCTCCTTGAGAAGAACAAGTCATCTATCTCCTCTGTCCAACAACGTTCGTGATCAATAAGAACCAGAGCTTCTTTTTCATTCTTTTTTGCCTTTACAAAAGCTTGTGCATCCTTCATTGCTTCATAGTATTTACGCTGATCTCGAATCTAGATGAATAGATCGTCAGCGTATATAGAAAAGTGTCTTTTTTTGTTTTACTATTTCTCTAAAGTCCCAAGTTGATTTTTTATTGCTGTATTCTTCATTCTTTATCAGTGTTCCATCTATATCATATCTTTCTTTAGGAATGTACTCTTGTTTGCGTTTACGACCCGAAGAGTGCTGACTGGAGTTCATATCAAAGGAAGACAAAATCCACACATGCAGTCGTTCCAACGCCAAAGGACGGGTTTTCAAAAAAAAAAAGTGCGGTTAATAAATTTTTATAAAGAGCGGTTTTGATTTTTCCCAAAGGGTAGTTTTTACGCTTGGTGAAAAATATCTTTTTTAATTGAAAAGTAACATTTACAGTGGCTCACCACGTAAGCACTTCGCAAAGCAATTGACAGAGTACTGAACAAATGCTTAAAGATGCTTAGGAGGAGCAGAGTTACAAGCTTCAATAATTCGAGTAGCTAAATCCTCAGTAGCTTCGAATGAGCTACGCTTAACCTTATTTTTGACAGTTGCCCAAAACTGCTCTATTGGATTAAGCCCAGGAGAGTAACGAGGGAAGTAGATACTTTTGTACCCCCTTGCAACTATCACTTCGTCAATTTGATCGGATGTATGAATAGGTGCATTATCCATTACGATGTAGTAGCCCTTTAACTCAGGAAAATAATACATTTCATCCATGGTTTTTTCAAGAAACCTCAAATAATGACCAGTGACAGTAGCTGCAACAGCAGGCTTTCGTTTCAATGACCATCCGCTGGGAGGCCTCATGTTAATATTGAATCCAGACTTATCGACAAAATGCAATTTTCCAGGTAATTCATATCCGTTGCAGTCCACTTTTTCACCCAATTCATACGCTCCTGAATCTTAGCTGGACTATTTCTGGCAGCTGGCTGAGTCGTCAGTTTTCTGAACGAAAGGTTGCATTCAGTCTTCAAAAAATTATGAACCGTGCTCTTCTTCACATCGAAATCTGCAAGCTTTTGAGTGAATGAATCCATTGCGTCCACCACTCGTGCTTGCAGATTATCGTCATAGAAATTGAGAAGGTGAAGCTTGTGCTTACATTTAATTGTGGTTTTTCTCTGTTAACCAAATTAGCCTGTTTTTCAAAGATATCCCAGACTTTTTACTGCTTAAGTCTTTTGGCCCATTTTTGTGCCGTTCTTTCCTTAATATCACCTGCTAATCGTCCAGATTTGATGGCGTTGAATAGTTTAGTTCCATTGAAATACACAAATAAAAGTTTTTGCTCGTTCGAATACTTATTATAAACCTTTATCTATTTTTTAACTGTGTCGACAACTTTCTCCATGATACTATCCAATTCTTCCTTAACAAGTGCTTGTTCATCTGCTTGCATCTCGCAGTACTGTCTTATACATGTTAAAGTTGTTAAATGAAGTGGCATAACTTTTTCGTCCCAATCCATGGCGCCATTCCCTTGCTCATCAACTATTCTATCTTGTCCATCTTCATAATAAAAGCGAATAGTCATCTTAAATAAAAAGTTAAAAACGAAGTTTCGATGCTATATTCGTAAACAAAAAGGGGTGCATGAAATCTGCAAACGGTTAATGCACGGAAGTGTAAAGTATAACAAGAAGGCGTCTACTGGGGTCAAGAAATCATCTGCTGAAAATGAAAGCAAATATTGTCCTCTTGCTTCACTTGATCATCCTAACAAGCCCAGAAAACAATAATTGCTTTTGGTGATGATATGTTTAACAGCAGCCTGAGAGGAAACAGAAGGGCACCTGTCCGCCTTATAAAAAAGGCTTTGCAAAAATACTGCGAAAACCAATTAGAAATATGTATGGTAGATGAATATTTGACAAGCAAAATATGCAACAGGTGTAAAAATAAAAATATGGACAATGTTGTAACTGAGAAGTCAAAACGAAGAGTACATACGATATTGAAGTGTAAACAAAACACTTGCACACAATATCTTGGACATGTTTCTATTCGCTGCAAGAAACAATAATCAGCGTCTTGGTGTTTTCATGCGTCAATGTACATCTAATGATTAACCTTCCGTATAACTGATATGTCTCTCTCATACATCCTCACAGTGTAAGTTGTATTAACTATGAATTTAAAAGTGCGAAAACTGTAACTAAACATTTTTGTTAACGTTGAGACGTAGCATCTTTGACTAGTAAAGTGAAAATACTCCATGGTAATTGTAACAAAAACTAAATTTATTATGTATTTATATTCTTTCCGTGCTTAAAGCATTGTAAAGTGATTTTTGTAAGCTATGACACAGCTTTTTTAACTTGTTTGACTGCTTCTTCTATTCTTACAGCAAATGATTTTGCTCTTGATAAGGAGCGGCTTTTGTACTCTTCAAGGGGGAGGGACAGATTCAAAGAGGCGAATATGGCGGTACAAAACTAAGTGATGTAGAACATCTGTTGCTTTGTGAACTGAGTCACTGTTCATAATAGTATACATATTGAGTAATCAAGGCCTGTTAAAGGGCAGGTACCATTTCTCCTATGGTAACCAATATAGTTCTCATAAATGGTCGATTGTCTTCTACATTCAATTATTAAATAAATAATTAAACGATACTAGAGTCATGCTTGCTATTATATGATGGCTTTACCAGGATATCAAGAATATCATGCAGGTTAATAGTATTTCATTTCTGTCCTTTATCAAAATTCCTATATTTAAATTATCAATAGTTACTATAGGCCAATCTAGTTACCTATAGACTTGAACAAAAATGATATCAAGGCAAAACGTTCTCGATAGA